TCTAAAATAATGAAACAACAGTCTTACCTTCGGGAAAGGACTATAAACTCCTTAAAAGAACCGTCAAGTCACTCTATTAGGTGGTTCTTGAGAAAACCAAGGACCACCGGTGACAACGCCATTCTAGAATTCTATAAAAAATTTGTACCGTTATGACTAATGATATACGAATGCCGATATACAACATTATTAATACGAAAAGTTCGTTATACGTTATAAAATGGTGATATATAATGTTATATAAATATTGATCATAAAATGTAATACAAACGAAGCGTTCGTATAGCGTTTTACAACATTACATTCTAGTACGTTGGTGTCATTCTAGAATACTATTTGAACGTTCCGTTCGTATAATGGTGTAGAACGTTATATAAAAATTCCTGATATAAGTAATAATTTCTGAAGTAGAAAAATTGCTATATTTAACTAGTTATTTATCTCAGGTAAGAGGATTTTTGTTGTCTCTTACAAATAAATGTGAGAAAAATTCAAATAAAAAATTAATAATTTGATATCTACAGTAGATTATATAAAGAGAATTTTTGTATTACATGATTTTGATTAAGATAAATTTCAAGTAAATGTTTCCAATATATGAGGTAAGGTATGTATTCGATAAATATTTTTATGTTACTTAATTTAGGTATCAATAAAAATAATACTTCAAGGCAGGATTGGGAATTTGTACTATATTGTACTAGTACTATAAAATTTTCAAAATTTAGTATATTTAGTATATATAAAACATGTGATTTATTAATTTTAATTGGTTAATAATTTTAATTGATCTTGTGATATATTATACTTGTGCTAAATATACTAAATATTTTAATACAATTTAGTACAATGTACTAAATATTATAAATCATGTGATATTAAATTGTATTAATCTTTATTAATAAAAAAAAAATTACATTATTAATTAAAAGGACAAGGTAAATTATCTTTGAATAAATATTTAAATTCCATTTAGCTTGAATATTTATTACTGGATGATTAATATTTTCAATTTCATTTTTCAAAAATTCCAAATTTTCTCTTTTTGTTTCAAGTATTCTTATTCATTCAGATAAATGATCAGTAAACTTTTGGAAAATATCTTCTATATCTATATTATTATTTTCATTATCTTCACTATTATTTGATACTTTTTCATTTTCTTTAATTATTAATTCAATTTTAAAATCATGATCTTTATTTTGTATTTTAGTTTCTGAATTAACTTCCTGTATTCTGGTTTCTAAATCATTATTATGTGTTTCAGTTTTTAAATTATTATCTTGTATAACTAAATATCACTTGAACACATAATCTTGTACTACTATTCTATGATTAATTAATGTATATTACTGAATATAAAATTAATATTTACTAATTAAATTTTAAACACTATTATTTTTAAAAATTATTATTAATTATTTGCAGGTATTTTTAGTATTGTCTATTATATTTTTAATTATAATAATTTCATTTTGTAATAGCAATGGTATTAACAAGTTTGTGATTCTGTTAGTTTTCAACTTTTGTGATATAAATCAAATTGTCATTTTTTTAACAGTAAGCATTAATGTGAAATTGATAATTACCAGTATTATATTCTGCATTATGACTCTCTTTTGTATATACTTCTTTCTTTAACACATATTTTCAACATCTTGTACATATGTAAATATACTGCTGGAATATATTATTCTTTTTATTTTTTTTATTATAAGTAATTGTAATAATAAAACTTTTCTTTAATTTATAGTTTTTAAGCTATTTTAATTAAAAAAAAATTTAATTTTTTTTAATAAAAACAACATCTCTAAGCATATATATACTTATCAAGTTTTGTTCAATCATTGAAAAATATCTCTATTGTTACTGGATAAAGTAATCAACTTTCATTAAACTCACTAGAAAGAATATCTTCCAAATTTTTAATTAAATTGAGGTTATAGATATTATTTTGATCAAATAGCTCTATTTTATATATTTTCTTTAATAGTATTTAATTAGACAATTCTATTTCAAGTATTTTTTCCAGTAGCACTTTAAGTAAAACTTTATTATGAAAGAAGTTAAGAAGAAAAGTTGAAGAAGTAAAAGGAGAAATGTGAAAAAATATTATGTTATATATGACTAAGTATGATTAAATGTGATATATATTATTTGTTATAGTATAAATATATTATTTCTTATTTTGATAATTACATTTTTAAAAGACTTTCTTGCAAATTATATTTATTATATTTGTTAACATGAGATCATGTTAAAGTTATATAATCACATGATATGATGCATGACACCACTAGTGTAATTTAAAGTTTTTGAAAAATAATTGATAATATAAGTAATGCATTTATTTTAGAAGCCATTGTAAATTTCTATTAAATTTATATAGTGAAAGTGATATAATAAATATTATTATTCAAGTTAATAAATTATAACTTATTGAATATAATAAAGTAAAAGTTAAAATGTTAAATGGAAATTATATAATTATATATATACTACCTAAATCTCAAATTATTTTGACATTTCAGTTACCAAAATTCAGTTTTCATAGTATTTGGGATTTGGTATAATTTGGAATTTGGAATTTTGACAATTAGTAATTTGAAATTTGAGATTTGAAATTTAGCATTTTGAATTTGGATGGTACCTATATATAATTAATTAAATAATTAATTATATTTGTTCTGTTCTAATAATTATTAAGAAAGTTTAATAATAAAGTATTTATTTAATACTAAAAAATAATATAAGGAAGTTATGAAAATACATTATTTAAGGATAATAAAATGAAATTATGAAAATGATCAATAAGGATATTAGGATAAAATTATAAAGGATACTTGGAAGTTAAGAGATATAATATTAAAATGGATATATTATGACTAAAGTGTATAACTATTAGTTTATTAGTTTTATTTAAAAACTAACTGATGTTTTCTAAATTTAAAGAAATATTCAAACTGAAAGTCTTGTACCTATGGACACAGATTAAATATAAAAGATATGTTGTATCAAAAAGAAATTATGATTTTAGTTGATTTATAATATAGGATACAATAGAATAGTTAACTATTACTAGTTTTTAGCTAATCTATAATAAAGGAATTACCATTTGATACAGTAATTCTTTTGCATTTGACTAGTGAAAAAAAGACTATAAACTTCTTAAAAGAACTGTTGAGTGGATGTTAACAAAAACGTCCATAACAATGGTTAATTTTTTCTGATTTTTAATCTATTATATAGGAATCACTATTCAGTACAGTGATTCTTTTGTATTTGACTAGTGTTAATATACTGAAGACAAGTTTACTTATTAGATAATAGGTTATAAGCATGTCTCATATGAGTTAGTTTGAGTGTTATCTTTTCAATAATATTAAAATAAGTTATGTATTTGTTTTATGAAAATAATATATAGTGACTTATAAAAGTTTGTAACACCTGAATCTTTTTTTTTAAAAAAATTCAGGTATTACAATACTTTTGTGAATTACTCTTTATTTTCTTAATTAATAAATTTGAGGCAAAACCTTAGAACAAAAAATTAAGTTGCAACTTCTGTAAATAATTATAAAAGTATCTTTAATCTGAATTTACTTTCAAAACTAGATTCAACCTTTCTGATATTGGAAAACACATTAAATATCTATTTCAATGAATTTATTTTTTAAAAGACCTCTTTTTGATATGTTTTATAAAGTTACAATAGATATAATTATAAAGAGAGATCTGACTTTAATTATATTTTTAAAGATTACAAATTAATTTAAATTTTTAAGAAATGTACAGTATATTGTCATACTGAACTTATATACCTATCATGTGATATTTGCCGTTTAGAAATAAATACATCCCGAAACCTGTGAATTTAAATTGTTGTTTTATTATCTTCTTCCCTTTAAATATATCATCCTTTTTCTTCCGCTAAGTTGTAATTCTAAATCATAGACTGGATTTTCTAATATAATATTCATTATTCCCAAGCATAATATTTTCTTATCTTTTCATATAGAATTTTTTAGACTTGCAAAAATTTTTTTCTTTTGTCATTGTTGATTTTCCGGTCTTTCTCAAAAAAAATTTTTTTTTTCATAAATATCATCTCCCTTTTTAATCAATTTACCTCATTATTTGCCTATACTTATAAAGTAATATTAACTGTAATATTATATTAGATATTACTCAAACTTTCTAAAGATTTGTACTCCGGCATAAAAAAAAAACTTCGCCACTCAAAATACCGAACTGCACCAATATAAACTCAGACTCCTTTTAAATCCAAATTTTTTCTTTCGTCTTCTATTACATTTTATATTTCCTATTCAAATCTTCAATGCCTGTTTTTTCCGCATCAGCAAGCCCCATCAACGGTAACATTAACGGTTTGCCGGACAAATATATGTGCGTTGATGGTGTTTGCCGGGATCCATCTCACAAGCACTACGCGGAATCACAAAAAAATTATCAAGAGCAGTTAACACAGCAACAATTAGCGCAAAAACGAAAACGACGTCTTTCTCTTACAACCGAGATTTCATCGGTGAGATTGATGCCCACAACAACTTGTTCACTTTACTCGGGTTCAAAATTTATAGGAAAGCAAACAAGCGGTAGTCATAGTTACGAAGTTGCTGTTCATATTCAGGTAATTTGATTTATATGAAAAAAAAATTTTCAAAGGTCATATATATATATCATGTTATAAAATATCCAAATGAGATTGAAAATTGTTAATACTATAATAAATATTATAACGTAATAGCTTATAAAACCATTTTTATGTTAACTCTTTCTCTCAAATTTTTTATTTAGCATGTCGATCTTTCCGAGTCATTTTTGTGTGGCTATCTTCATATAAAAGGTCTCACAGAAGACTATCCAGATTTAACTACTTTCTTCGAAGCAGAAATTATTGGTCGTAAATATTCATTTCTGACCAAAAAATGGGATGCTGATGACAAAATTGATATTCAACATTGGGTAAACATTTTTCAGCTGTAATTTTAAATTCATTTATATATGCTTATATTATCGCTTTTCATTAAATAATTGAAAAAAAAGACAAAATTTCCGGCATTTCGACCACTCCACAAGCATGTAAAAAGGGATGGATTCGTCTATGATTTTAATAATAAAGATTTCATTTTTATGAGATGGAAAGAACATTTCTTAGTACCTGATCATCGAGTCAGAACTATTAATGGAGCCAGTTTCGCGGGATTCTATTATATCTGTTACCAATTGAGTACAGGTATCATCACTGGATTTTATTTCCACAAAAATTCTGAAAGGTAAATAATTATATTTTATTGACAAAAAGTTTTTATCACAAACTTTTATATTTTACCGTGAGATTCAGATAAAATATTTAATATTATCAATTTTCTCCTCTATTTATATAGATTCCAAGAATTACAGCTACATCATTGTGCGGATAGATCATTCCCATCTTTTGAATTTCGATGAAAAAATCTCTTTCCTTAAACTCCTATTATATTCAAAAAACAAAAAAAAAACAAAAAAAAAAAAAAAAAAGAAAAAACAAGCTAGCAAAACAGGAAACAAACAAAATAAAGATTATAATATTAATGTTCTTATTTAATTTTATATTAATTTCGATCATAATAACTAAGCTATTTGTTCGATTATATGGATTTTCTATTTGCTAATGACATTTTTCATAATCCTACGGTAGGGGGTTTTTTTTTTGCGGGGATTGATTGGCTTTTATTAGACTTAATATTTGATAACGTAATCTATAGGTAAATTTCTACTATTCGGGCATTGGATATTTTTTATATATATATTATTTTCAATTCAACCAATTCAACTTTATTACTATATTATATATATATATTATATACTTTATCCAATCTTTCCCCTATCATTTCCTTTCCTTTCCTTTAAATATTTTTATAAAGATGTCATAAATAAATTACTACATCATTCACACATACCCCAAGATTATAAACCATTGTATAAAATTATATATTGTATCGTTCCCTCCATCCTATTTTACGCATGTGACCGCATTTCGCTTCACATCACCAATCACATTATCTAATTTGTGAGTGCGTTTGCAGTCCTCTGTTATATATGCTTTAAAAATTCTGTATTTAATCTTTTATTTATAATTTATATATACATAGCTTTATTTACATACTTAACACTACATATTACATGAAAAAGAAAAATCATATTTAAAGAATGAGGCTAGCAAAAAAAAAAAAAAAAAGAAATTATATTAAAATTGAGAGAAAAACATTAATTCATTCATTCATTTTTTTTTTTTGTTATTGGAATTATATAAGTTTATATTTATTATTTTTATTTCTTAAATTTATATATGATATCATTTTTATTAATTTTTTAGTAAACCAATTTTGTTTTTTTTATTATTATTATTGTTATTATTAAGGGATGCGTGAAATAGCCAATATTTTTGGGGAAGGATTTTGAAAAAAAACATTGGCGTTTCTTTCTTTTGGTAATTTAATACATGGATACAATTTTGTTTTAATCCTTTTTATTCGTCATCCCTTATTTTATTGACATTCTTTAAATTTACATTCACAAATTAGCATTTATTATTCGAAAACTTCTGATCAATTATAATAAACGGAAAAAATTGCTTCTATCTCAATCAATTCAGTTCATTGTTTTTTTTTCTGTTCTTTTTGAAATTAATAACAAAATTGAAAAAATTGTTCGTTCATTATGAAAAAAGTTCGTTTTAAAATGAATTTACGCGTTTTATTGACAAAAAAATATATTAAGATAATATTCTTCTTGCTGTAATTATATAATTCACATCCAATTGGATTCGTGTTGGTATCCATTTATAAAATTCAAACCACTTTCCTGTAATTGGATTAAGACCAATACCTGTTATATCTGTTACAAATCCCCATTTTTCAGAAACAATACCAGAAATGTTTGAAATGTTTTCATTATTTCTTTCATTATTAATGTTTTTGTTTGTTTGAATTTCTTGAATAATTGCTTGTATTTCATCAGGTTTGATGTAATTATTAAAATCATGAGTACCACTTGGTATAATTTTAAAAACCTTCTCTGCGAGTAAGATTGTTAGAAAGTATGAAAGTGGTGTGCGAGAAATAGTTGATAAGAATAAATGTCCTCCTCCAGGCTGTCGAAGATTTCGTATATTGTATTAATATGATAAAGCTTTTTTTTTTTTAAAAAAAAAAAAAAAATTTAAAATCTAAAAATTATACCTTTACCAATCCAGTGCATGTTTTCAGAAATTCCATAGGATTATTTACATGTTCAATAATTTCCATTGCACATACAATATCAAAAGATTCTTCTTGTTCTAATAATTTTTCTATTATTATAATGTAAATATATGTTAAATATATTTTAATATGTCATATATATTATATAATAAGTGGAAGAAAAAAAAATACCTGCAGTTATACATCGATATTCAAGATTTCCGGGTCCTGAATACAACATTGGATCTTTAAACGAATGTATTTTAGCAATTTGAATGTTTTCTAAAGATGCATCTGCTCCAACTACTGACGCCCCTAATCGGACTAGTGACTTTATATAATTGGTATAATTGATACAATTGATACAATTGATTAATAAAAAAACCTAAATAATTACTCGGAAGTTAATTTTCTCGATTAAATCAATACCTCGGATAATAAACCACCACCGCAGCCCATATCCAAAATTCTCAAGCCTTTGAATGGAAATTTAAAGTTCTCGACATCATTAAAATCATTAAAATTTTTATTCAATTTGAAATTAACATCCAGTTTAGATTTCAAATATTGTCTACGTATATATAATACTCTCAATGGATTCATACTGTGCAACAGTTTTATTGGTCCATTTGGTGACCACCATTCTTTAGCAAGTTGACTAAATTTTAAGACTTCTTCTTCATTTATTGTAGAAAATTTAGAATCCGAGATGGTTGAGAAGAATTCATTCTGTAAAAATGAAATTTGAGATCTAAATGTAGAGCTTTAATGATGAAACTTAATGTTTAATAAGCCAGAGTATTGAATTTAAAACACGAAGGAGGAAAGAAATCGCATTTACCTATTAGTGCATGGCTTTGCATAAAAGTTTGAAAGTTTTATAGACTTTGAACATAACCGAACCATAACTTGGGATAAGAGTGGCCCATGTGACAGATAATGTGACATTAAAGAATTTGACGGATAATGTGACATTAAAGAATTTGACGGATAATGTGACATTAAGGAATTTCTTGAAAGCGTACCATCAGAAATGTTTAGAGATAACAAGTATGTCTTATAAACTAATAAAGTCTCTTCTTTGGTTTCCTTTGACAATCAATCAAACTTCGTTAATCTTGCAAAGACTTTCATGTCCTTATCTAAATAATAGTTCACTAAAATTTATTGCAAGTCAGCGAAGAATGGTTGGTAGTCAAAGGTTAGAACAATAACTCATCTTGCAACTAACGAGTAAAAACGAAACTATTTCTTATTCCTTTATATGATATTTACAGTCCCAAACCAAAGAAGTCAAGTGTCTACACCAGAACGGGTGACAAAGGTAATTTCCTTTTTTAGCGACTAAAATTATTGAAATTATTCAAAGTGAAACGTAACAATTATAACTTATTTATTCAAATGTTATAGGTTACTCTAGTCTATATAGTGGAGAAAAACGACCAAAATATGATGATATTTTTCATGCATTAGGAACTGTGGATGAATTAAATTCGAGTATTGGGTGAGGAAAGAATTTACGCGAATGATGAGAAAGTACTTGTTCAGTATTCTTTATTTATTTATTTTTTTTTTTTAGAATTGCACTTCATTATTGTAAAAAAGTTGGAAATGAGTTGGATAAAAACTTGGTCGAAGTAAATATTTTTTAAATTATAGCAACTATTTTTTATAATTTACATATAACTGATAAAATTTATTTCTTTTAATTTTTTAAAAGATACAATGTAGATTAATTGAGATTGGATCAAGTATCGCAACTCCACGAAGTACTTCAAACGAAAATAAATTATGTAAGCAAGAGAAAACTATTATATAAACCAAATTCATTATAAGATTTCTCATATAATTCATTAATAGCTTACACATCCTTTGACGAAGAAAATGTTTCAAAATTGGAATTTTTAATTGATGACCTCGATTCTGTAATTATTCATTTTGATTTATTTTGATTTATTTTTGATTTTCTCTTAAATTTCTATTGATATTTATGTTTCTTTTTTTTTTTTTTGGATGTAATACAAATAAAATTAATATTGTTATTTCTTTTTAGAAACTTCCTTCTTTAAATAATTTCATTCTCCCTTCTGGTGGAGAAAGTGCGGTATTCTTACATCAGTGTCGTTCGGTTTGTATTTCTTTCAATTTTTCAATTCTTTATATTAATTTTAAATAAAGATTATTACATGAATTGATTGAAAATCGTCCATTAATAGATATGTCGTAGAGCTGAACGAATCACAATACCATTAATGGAAAAGGGTATAACAGAGAATACAATTGGAAAATATTTGAACAGGTGTTGATAAATTTCTGTTGCTTTTAATTATTTTTTCAATTTTAAATATTCTCACGATTATAAAAAAATTTTTTTTTTTAAATAGATTAAGTGATTATTTCTTTGTTGCAGCAAGATACGCTGCCATGTATGAAGGTCAAACCGAAAATATTTATATACAAAGAAGGACAGATAAACCAAGTGAATTATTAACAAGGGAATTAAAGAAAGATTAAATGAAATTCCATATAATTTCACGCAAAAAAAAAAAAAAAAATTCCAATAAAATTTTCACCGAAAGAATTAATAAAAAAAATTCCGTCATTCTGAAATTAAATGAATATCGTCTCATCATAATCAACACCCAAGTTATTTATTACGTATCGAGACCATAAAAATATTATTTAAAATTGTAGATTTTCTTAATAATATTTTTATCTTAATTTCGTATAACTTGTATAACTTGTATAATTTATGCTTAATAAAAGATTGACATTGGGTTAAGACGTTTCTAGATTTTTTCTTAAAAAAAAAACTTATAGTCGAACCAAGAACCGCAGCGCATTCTTGGTAAAATAATCATACAATAGTAAATAAAACTGTTTGACTTGAATAAAGAAGAGGAAATTTATGATGCTTTTTGTATGTTATACGACGATACACGCGTTCTTATTGCATTATTATTTACATTAAATTTATTGAGTTTAAAAAATTAAAATTAACTCAAAAAAAAAGTCTATAAACACGTATCTTTCAAAAATATGTTTTGCTGCGGAGAAAATTTTTAGAATAATTGTTCTGCAATGTTAATCAACAAATAGACAATTATAGTCTAGGAATAATTTTTGGACCTTTGTCCTCTTTGTTTGAATTTGAATTCATTCACAAGTTATATAAAACTTAGTTAATTCAATCAGCTTTATTTAATCCGAAATACTATTTTGTTCTTCCTTTGTGCGGATTTCTTTCTTTCTTTCTTTTTTGTTAGAAAGTGGAACGAACAATATATTCCGTATCCTTTTTTTTTTTTCATTAGTACAACCATTTATTATATATATATTATTTATACCACCAAAAAAAAAAAAAAAAATTGAATTCAACTGAACGACGAAAACAATTACAAAAGTGTAAATATAAATTGTTGTGTAATGTAATTGTCTATACATCCAATGGTAACGATTTTCTTTGTATTGTAAATTTATATATTTCTAAAGGAATTTATCCTTTTGATGCATCTAATTGATTACAAATTTCCTTAATTGTTCTTATCCTCTAATAAAGTTTTAAAAACCCTCAGATTACTCCTTTTTACATTTCATTTCCCACCTTCACTATCCTTTTTTTTTTCTTTCTTTCGTGCAAGTCGAAGAAAAACTTTTACAAGTAAAAGCATTCTCTTGCACTTTTTTTCTTAAACTATACATCATATCTATGTATTTAAAATACTAAGTCTTTTTAAACAATTTTTCTTAAAAAGTCATATAGACTTAATAGATTTTTTTTACATTATATTTTTTTTAATTTAAAAGAGCCCTGTGGGCCATTTGTATCAAATAAAGTCGTATTCATTTATTAAGTTTCTTTCCATATAATATTTATAATATTTATAATATAATAATAATAATAATAATAATAATATAAAAAAATGGGTTGCTGTATGAGTCAAGAGGAACAAGAAGGGAAGAGAAAAAATGAAGAAATCGAAAACCAAATAAAAAAGGACAAATTATCAATGCGTAATGAAATAAAAATGCTTTTACTAGGTACGAGTATACTATATTTGAGTGGACGACTTGTTGTCACGTGATTAATTATAATAGTTAAAATAGGTAATAATAATAATAATAATAATAATAATAATTTTTATTATTATTATTGTTATATATAAATGTAGGTGCTGGTGAATCTGGAAAATCTACAATTCTTAAACAAATGAAGCTTATTCACGATGGAGGATATTCACCGGAAGAACGAGAGTCATTTAAAGAGATTATCTTTTCCAATACGGTACAATCCATGAGAGTTATCTTGGAAGCAATGGAAGTTATGAATATTCCATTTGATAGTGAAGAAATTCAAAAGCATGCCACAATAATTTTGAATCTTCCTAACCAAATAGAGGGAGATCATTTACCACAAGATGTTTCATTGGCAATTAAAACACTTTGGCGAGATTCTAGTGTACAACAATGTTTCAGCCGATCTCGAGAATATCAATTAAATGATTCAGCAAAATAGTAAGTTAAATAAATAAATAAATAAATAAATAGAATTTCTTTAAATTTTTTTTTTAATTCTTTTAATAATAAATTAAATATTTTTAATATTTTTTTTTTTAGTTACTTTGATTCTATTGATCGTATCTCTCAGGCAGATTATTTCCCAACAGATCAAGATGTGTTACGATCACGGGTAAAAACAACTGGTATTACAGAGACAACATTTTTCATTGGAGAACTAACTTATCGTATGTTTGATGTTGGAGGTCAACGTTCAGAACGTAAAAAGTGGATTCACTGCTTTGAAAATGTTACAGCGATTGTATTCTTGGTTGCAATTTCTGAATATGATCAATTATTGTTGGAAGATGAGACAGTGGTATGTATTAAAATTATTAAATTAAGAATTTTTTATATATTTTATATTTATGTTATTAATTTTTAATTTTATTTTTAATTTTAATTTTATAGAATCGTATGCATGAAGCCCTAACATTATTTGATTCTATCTGTAATTCACGATGGTTCGTTAAAACTTCGATCATTTTATTCTTGAATAAGATAGATCGTTTTGCAGAGAAATTACCAATTTCTCCAATGGAAAATTACTTCCCAGATTATACAGGTGGTGATAATTATGAGGCCGCCTGTGATTATATACTTAATCGATTTGTTTCTTTGAATCAATCTGATATCAAACAAATATATACACATTTCACATGTGCTACTGATACTCAACAAATTAAATTTGTCATGGCAGCTGTGAATGATATTATCATTCAAACAAATTTAAGAGAAGTTGGTCTACTATAAAATCACAACCATAACATATATATATATATATATATATATTTATTTATTTATTTATTTATTTATATATATAAAAAAATTATTATTTAATTTAAAAATTGTTTCTTTTTTTCCTTGCGATATTTATATAATTATCTATCATCACATCATATATAATCATCACATCATATATAATCATCACAAATACCACCTAATCAGCTTTAAAGACATCATTTTTTATATACAAGGAAACCAATTATTCATATGTGTTATAAATTTGTGTAAAAACAAATTCCTTTTTTGATGAGGAATTTTTTTATTATTAAATATGTGAACAAAAAAAAAAAAAATTTTGTTTTTAAAATTTATATTATTTTTTGGATATAATTAACAATTTTAATTTATCTACTAATATATAAAATATAGAAAAATATTAGAAACAAAATTTAGTAAATAATGTAAATTTTATGGGAAGAATAAGTAAGTATTCATGTATTGGATATTCTTGTTTTTAGAAAATACAAGCAAAAAACAGGGGTTAAATTATTATATTAAAGCTCAAATAAAAATCCTTGTAGCAATTTTTCACCAAAATGATTGTCATATGGGGTGAAGTTAAGAATTCAAAATGTTAAATGCGATATTTTTATACCAGAAAAAAGATTTACTTAAAAATTAATGTCCATTTTTTTTTTAATGAAATTATAAAATATTTCTCACATTACCTTAATAAATTTTAAGGAAATTTTGTTTTCAAAATTAAATAACTTTAATAATTCTGTTAGAAAATTTAGTGCTCTGTTCCTTAATAATTTTTTTTTTTTTTTTAATCTTCCATTCTAAAGCTTTTATTTATTACTATAATCAAATCTTGGTTCTTTTTCATACCAAATATTTAGACAAATTTCTTTCAAATTGGGTGGTAGATTTCATAAAATTGTTCTGAATACTTACTCCCTCCGTTAATCGTTAAAATTCTATTTTTTTTTTGAAATGGTTTATTGTAAAAAGTTTATTAATTTCATCTATACCCTAAAAATATGATTAGTAAAAATATTATTTATTGAATTAATTGATTTGAAGACAAAATTAAATTTTCATCAGTGAACAAAATATTTTTCGCTATTATAAAATTTATTTAATAAGGCTTGCGCCACACATGTGCGAGATATATGTATCATTTTCATTTTCATTTTATTAAGAGTTTTTGTTGAAAGAAAAGTTATGTACTGTATTTAATTCATCACCCAATCGAATATAAAACAATCTTCTGTAATTTTTTCAAAGTATACAACCCTTCATTTTTTTCTTTGATAATATTTGTTCGACGACATAATAAATTTTCAAAAATTCCCAATATGGTATTTGAAATAACGTATAATCTATTACTTGATTAAGAAGTCAATGCAGAAGATTAATGATTTTACATAGGGCGAAGGGTTCCCACGAAAAAAAAAAAAAAAAAAAAAAAACACTTTGTATTGTGTCAGCAAGTTCACCAACTGCCTATGTAAACAAAAAAAAATCAGTTTTTCCAATTGTGGAAATATATTTTTTTATAACAGAAATATATTTGTGTTTTTTTTTTCTTAATAATATGAAGTTATAATACAAAGTTATATGTAGAACAAAGAATATCATATAAAAGAAATTTTTCACACTAAATATTGTTACTTATTATTTATTAATTATTTATTATCCAGAGAAAATTTCTGTAACGTTTTAAAATGATCATTCAATGAAAAAAAATGATTGTGAGAAAATTGCACGTTTGAGACTATTTGGTTTTTGATCAAACATAATTTATTGGGCGGAAAAAAGTTTATTATTATTTTCCTGAAGTTTTATTATAGTCATATTGACTTAAACTCATTGTTTACTACATGTTACTATTTATGTGATAATTTAACTATATTTATATAATTTTCTTTTAGAAAAAAATTATACCAAAGAAAAAACATTAAACAAGATTTTTTGTTTATGACTCATTAAATTATATTTAGCAAAATTAATTAAAAAATTTTATTGGTAAACAGTAACAATGATATCAAACAAAATATATGTTTTACATATATATTATTATTACCTTTTCGCTATAAATTATTAATTGGATCCTATATTTTACCATTTTGATCATAGATTTGTTATTACATTTAGCCAAATTAAGAAAACAAGTGAAACTGCAACTAAAGTTCACACAATCAAATGATTCACAAGATTTAATTTTAATGAAACCTGGAAGTAATATATTTACCTATAATACTTACAATACCTCAATACCTACAATAGAAATTTGGAAATAGAATTGGAAAAGTGACTTAAAAATAATATTGTATTGTTCCTTCTTCCCCAACAAAAGAGACAAGGAAAAATGCAACAAAAAAAAAAAGCGAATAACGATTTGGAATATTCTTTGATTGGTTTATTTTATTGTATGTTTTACTAATGTTACTAAAAATAAAATTTAACTACCATAATAATAGCATTGAGTATTGTTGGTCAAAGTGTGAGAAAATGTGAGAAAATGTGAGAATAATTTGAACTTCCATTTATTTATTCCTTTTAAAGCGAAATAACTGGATGAACTTACGACATCGAAGTAAAAAAAAAAAATCATCCCAAGTTTCAAAATAATAATCTTTGATGATCCTTAAAATAGAATAAATAGAATGAAATGATTTCGACAAAAAAAAAAAAATAGAAATTTATTGGTTCCTGCATGATCCCTCCCCAAGCATTAAATATAGCATGATAAATATTTTTCTAGAACCATACTCATTACAAATATATTTAAAAATATTTCACAATTGGATGACTCATTCTACACTACATTCCTCCCCCAAAAAGAAAATTTTTGTATTACCTTTTTCAATCTTGGTTTAATGCAAGTAATTTATAAGTATTCTCCGTATAACAAAAATATCAATTTTACGTAACACGTATGAGTAACCCTTTACTCTCCCTATATATATAAAAAGGATATAAAAACGAGTCCCTGCTCACCAAAATTATTTCTTTAAATTATTATAATTTTCAAAGAAAAAACAAATTAAATTATTTTCTACAAAACAACACTATATAAAGATTAAAAAGATGTCTTTCGCTTCACAAATCGCTGATGCAATCCTCTCTCGTGATTCATATTTAGCAGCCTATAAATCTGACTTCGCCACTTTCTATCATTATCGGGAACACTTACTTACAGAACTTCTTCGTCTTTATCAACATCGATTATTCCCCTCTCAGTTAGATGCACTTCGAGAACGATTCGAAGTATCGTTACAAGAGGTGGTAAATGCCACACCTATTGATGTAGAAATACTTGAACGTGATTACGAGCATCAACCCGCCATAACACTGGAAGAGCAACGTGATTTTGTTCAACGTAATCATTTTGAACAGGCTTTTTCTAGACTACGAGAAAGTGTCCAAAGTGTAGTTAGAAGTACTACTAAATTAAGTAGTCATGGTTCTGTTTCAGCTCATTTGTAAAATATTTCTGATCTGAAAAGGTGATGAGATATACAAATTAGTAAAAAAAAATTTTTTTTCAATCTTAATATTAATTTTAATAATATTAGCATTTCTCATAAAATTCATCGCATTATATAGAATTTAAAAATCAAAATCAATATTATTAATATTATTTAATAATATTATTTAATATTTTTTTTCAATTTTATTATTTTCTCTCTTAAAAAGTATTTATATTTCTTATTAATGTTTTCTTTCTTTATAACACTAATTTTTTAACTTGCTTGGAGATTACCTAATGTAAAATTCTTTTATGTTAAAAAGAATAAATAAATAAAAAAAAACACGATATTTTCTCAAAAAATTTATAACACGCGTAATGATCACTGCCACTTTAGTCTCGTGTATGTGTCTCGTTTATGTGTTACGTAAAAGTGTTGTACTGACATGAAAATGTTCCCACAGAATTTTTCGTAACAAAAATTATTATAATACCGAGACATAAGAGATAAAGCAAAGAAATACTCATAAAAATCAATAAAAATGGGAACTATACATCTTGCTAATAATCTCTTTCAAAAACTATTGCAATTAAATTATTATATTACAACTATTGAATCGTGTACTGGGGGACTCCTGGCAAATCTAATAACAGATATTTCTGGATCTAGCCAAGTTTTTTGGGGTGGTCGAGTGGTTTATGATAATAAGGCCAAAATTGCATTAGGTGTTAAACCTTCAATCATTGAATCTTATGGTGTTGTATCTTATGAAACTGCACACTCTTTGGCTGAGAATGGTCTTTTGGAATTAAAAAGAAGTTATATGAATAATAATAATAATAATAAACATTTTATTTGTGTTGCAACCACTGGATTAGCTGAACGGAATAATGAAAATAATGATAATAATAATAATAATAATAATAAGGAAGGTGGTGTTTGTTGGATAGGAATTGCTTCAAGTAATAAGGATACCATTTTTGTGGAAAAAATTGATGCTTCTCCTTTACTTTCAAGAAAAGAAACTAAATTGGAATTTGCAAAGAGAGCATTTGAATTAGTAGAAAAACATCTTTAATATTTAAATATTAGTATATTTAATTATTTATTTTATACTATATATTATAATAATAATAATTATTATTATTATTATAATTATTATTATTATAATTATATTATTTTATTATTATTATTATTATTATTATTATAATTATATTATTTTATTATTATTATTATTATTATTATTATAATTATTCATTGTTATTATTGATCTAACTTTCAAATTAATTAATCTGCTTAACAATAAATTTTTATGAAAATTGTATTACAATAACTTTAATATTTAAATAATACTGTAAAAATTGTATTCACCAAGTATCATATTCATATTCCCCTTCAGTGGTAACAACTTCAATAATGCTTTGTGCCATTTGAATTCCTTCCCAAGAAATTCCTCCTTGTCCATGCGCATCGTTTAAATGTAAATCTAATTGTTTTAAACTTTTTCCCAAATGTTGAGTAATAATTGATAAATGTTGATCCGTAAAATTTCTACAAATCCACGCTGTAAATCTCAAACTTTCCAAATTTTTTGCTTTATTACATATTAAAAATTCTTCAAGTGTTGATATTTCAATTCCTGTCGCGTCAATTGTCAAGTGTTTTAAATTTTCTGGCATATATTGACCAAATAATCCCAAGTATTCAATATCATCTCCAAGGTCAAAACAAAGTTCAAAAAGCTTTTTGCATAATCCGATAATTGGCAAAATATCATTTGGTTCAAGTGTCGTATCCACAAACACTAATTTTGTTACATTTTGAAGCCATAGAGCTCCAATTGGTGGTGTAAAGTCAAAGAAATTAAAATCAATACAATCACGAAATATCAACGTTTTCAAATTTTGACAATCCGCAATAAATTTAAGTATTGAGCCTCCATTGAAATTAATGTGTACGAATTCAATATATTCTAATGATTTCACATGAACTATAAGTGAAGGAATGATTCTTGTTAAAGGACAATAATTTCCACAGCAATTCACTTTAATATGTTTCAATTCATTTTGAATTTCAATAAATTTAATAATACTCTTTGCACTTTCATCTAACCATCTTTTGTGTGATTCACCTATACATCTAATATCTAAAGATTCAACTTGATTACATATTTTTGCCATTTTCATCATAATTGGTCTCCATTGATCACTATGAAATGCAAATTTAAGATTTTTTAGTGAATGAAGACACCTTTCCGCTCCATCAAATTCAGTTAAAAATAAAAAATCTTTTATTGATGAAAAAAAACATTCATTAGACGGTACGTAATAAGTGAATGAAAGGCTATTGATCCATTTACTTTTCCTCATGAATAATTTGCATAATTCTTGTGCCACTATTAATGATTTATCAGATTGACAAGTTTCTCGAAAACTCCATAACCAAGATTCAATTGATTCACAAAGAAGGTTATAAGGTAGTTCACGTAAATAATTTGGATAATCAAAAATTGGTGGATATCGAAAAAAAAATAATTTGGAAGATATTTTCGAGTCGTCAAAATTGGAAATAAAATTTTTTGCAGTTTTTAGATCAGTCAAAATCCCATGATTGATAAGAACTTGCCTTTCTTCCTCATTCAAAAATTTAAGATAAGTTTGAATTAATCTTCTTTGAAGAAAAATAAGTCTTCTCTCACGAAAATAATTCTTATTACTTTCAAAATAAGGTTCTCCACATTTTAACATATCATTTGACAAATTCGACATGTATTTAATTAAGCCAGCGTAAGTTGTCCCAATTTCATATCCATTCCTATCAAATTCGTTTAAATCCATCATATTTATATCAAAATTTTCGAAATATTCTGAGAGACTATCATCATGATATTCATCATCATCATTATTATCACGAGAACTTTGACATACTAATTGGAATGGATTATTCCACAACATTGGCACAATTATTTTGCACCAAGTACGATTCACCAACAAAAATGAATGAAGCGATTTTTTATCATTTTCGAGATTTTTAAGGATTTCTTGCCAACATTCTATAGGCAATGAAGTGGAAGAATTCGTGTTATTGTTGATATTTTCATGAGAGGACATTTTTTTAGATATTAAATTTTTACGGTCACGTTTTCCGAAATAATTTTCTTAGTGGACCTTCTTTGGAGTAAAATTTCCCAATGAATCTCTTTTAAAATCTTTGAAATTTCTTCGTTGAAAATAGATTTCTTAACTGACCTTTCTTTTTTGGAAATTTGGAAATAAAAAGGAAAAAAAAAATATAATAATTTATTTATTCCAAATTAAATCCCATTAATTCACGAATATTTCATAAATATCTCATTAATATCTCATTAATATTTTATCGCGTATATTATTTATAATATTCCGCGATTAAAATTAAAATTGATTAAAAAAAAGATTAAAAATAGACAATATTTCATCGATCTATAATCATTTCAGTCATTTAATATGTTACTCAAAAATAAGTCTTACTATGATCTATTTAGTCTAAAAATTTTCGCCGCTTTTAGTATTATTTTAAATGATAAACGAAATACTAAGCAGTAACATTCTAAATTATTTATATTTTGTAATATTAATCGTTACTATAATATTTAGTCATTTTTACTGAGATAATTGAAATAATGAAATGACAATTCAATAAATTTCAAAAAAAATTTAAATAGTGCTTATATATATTATAGATATTGGATTTAGGGGTAAAAAGATCTTATTTTTGGCACGTGAAAGAGAAGTTAGATTGATAACACAAAAAAAAAAAAATCTGTGAAAAGCCAACAAAAGTTAATCAACGAAAGTACTACCGAATACAAAATATCTCTGTATACGTGTAACCCGTATAATCATTCTAAATAAATAAATATAACGAAATAAAGAATTAATTTTCTTTACCTTTAGTTCTTTCGTATAACTTTTGGTCTTTTTTTTTTTATTTTAAAAAAAACATTTCGTTTTTTTTTCATAAAAATTTATTTAGTTTTATTCATTCTATCATTGAAATAAAATTTAAAAAATAATTAATTCTATTATTTATTCTATTTTCATAAAATGGCAACAAAAATATTATTTACTTCTGTAAATGAAACTTATTTATTTCCATTTGTTTCCAAATTAAATGTTTTCATAAATCAAAGTCCTGTATTGGCTCCTTATTTTAAGAATATTGATATCTCGGTGGATACCATTTTGTTAATATGTTTTAGTTTGATAGTTGCTTTAATTATATTACTTTTGTATGCTTTGAAAATTATTCTTGTAAGTACTGAAAATGCGATGAATTTATGATAAAAAATTTGATATAAGTAAAGAAATTAAAGAAATTGAAATTTAGTATATTCGACCTAAACCAAACGAGCCTCCAATAATACCTTATTGGATTCCGTTAATTGGGTCGGCTATAACTATGGGCATCGATCCCATTAAATTCTACCGAGAAAATCAAAAAAAGGTAATTTGTGATTATTATATCATACATATCATTATATGGATTATTATATTTATATGTATTTTACGTACTATGCAGCACGGAAATTATTTTACTTACATCCTGTTAGGTCGACGAATGGTCACGTGCCTTGGATCGGAAGGAAACAATTTTGTATTTAATGCAAAACTTGCCGATGCTTCAGCTGAAGATGCATATCGAAGTTTGACTGTACCAGTATTTGGAGAAGGAGTTGTGTATGATGTGGAGAATTCAGTGTTGATGGAACAAAAAAAGTATTTCAAATATGCACAAGTTATTTATTTATTTATTGTTATTTGTTTATTGTTATTTTATTTATGATTTATAATTTTTTTATTATTAGATTTGTAAAATCTGGTCTTTCCGTAAAAAACCTGCATGCATATGTTCCAATGATACAAATGGAAACCGATGATTACCTTACTCGCTGGAATAAGAAATCTAGTGTAGTGGACATTCATAATGCTATGGCCGAATTGATTATTATGACAGCTTCAAGGTGTTTATTGGGTGAAGAAGTTAGATCCAAATTGGACGAAACTTGTAAGATTATTTAAATATTAAATATTATGATTATTATTATTATTATTATTATAATTTTGTAATATTTTTTGTAGTCGCCCAAATATTTCATGATCTTGATGGTGGTTTCAAACCAATTAATTTTCTATTCGATAATTTACCAATACCTTCTAATAAACTTCGTGATGAAGCTCATGTAAAAATGCGAAAATTCTTTATGAGTATTATGCAAGCACGTCGTGAAGCTGGAATTACCGATAGAACAGATGTCATGGAATATTTGACAACTCAATGTCATTACAGAAATGGACGAAAATTAACAGATATAGAATCTTCACATATTATGATTGCAATTTTAATGGCGGGTCAACATACAAGTTCTACCACTACAGCATGGGCATTGCTTTTCTTATCCGAAAAACCTGAATTAATTGAAAAATTACGGCAAGAACAAATTAAAGTTCTTGGATCATTGGATGTTCCACTTAATTATGATGCTTTGAAACAACTTACTTTACATGAAAATGTTGTACGTGAAACTTTACGATTAAGACCACCAATTATTCAGATCATTCGAAGAGTCAAAAAAGATTTACCTATTCCTCAAACAAATTATGTGATTCCAAAAGATTCCTTTATTCAATGTATTCCATCAATATCTGCAAGATCTGAAGAAAATTTTGAAAATGCTGAAGAATTTAACCCTAATAGATGGGAAGCCTTTGATCAACAGAATAAAGAACGTGACGATGATTTAATAGATTATGGATTTGGACAACTTCATATGGCTAGTGCTAAATCACCATATTTACCATTTGGAGCAGGTAAAATTATAAAAATTATATTTATATTTACTGAAATTATTATAAAATTATAAAATTAGATTATTTTTAATTATAAAAATTATTATTTTAATTATATGACAGGTCGTCATCGTTGTATTGGAGAACAATTTGCTTACGTTCAGATTAAAACTATAATTGCCACATTGGTTCGTAAATTTGATTTCGAATTGGTAAATGGAAAATTGCCAATGTGTGATTTTACCACGATGGTAGTGCAACCTAAAGATTCTTCGCTTAGATACAAGAGAACAAATTATTAATATTTATATTATTTACAATTATTACAATTATTTATTAAAATTTAATTAATTTTATATTCATAATTGTTTTTTTAAAAGTAATAAAATAAAAAATTTATATTTAAATGAATTTTTTATCATCTGGTATTTTTAAATTAAGAATATTTCCGGAATATATATAAAACTTAAATTAGTTTTAAGCATTTTTACTAATGAAAATAAAAGAATAAAATATATTAAGATACAACAGAATATATTCTTGCTGTATTGTCTTTATGTGGCTAACCCTCAGTCCTGAAATACATTAAATCTAAGGTTATTATTTTCGCAAAAACACTGTTTTTTTTTAATTCAGGTATAGATTCTCTCTACTATGGAAACAGGTACATATTTTGTCCTTAAAAGCTGAAAAATTGAAAAGTGGAATGCAGCAAAATAACATGAAGCTAAGCGAGTGATAAGTGCATTAAAAATATTACGAAAAGAAGAATGTACAAGTTAGCAAAATTGAAGTTTTGTTTCTTGCTCAAATTTTTAAATCATTTTTGTTTCTTGTTCTAGTTTTAAGTTAGCATTAGAAAAATTTCTGATGAAAGATCCTTAAAAGAATCTTTAAACATTCTTAAAAATTTATGAATCTATACTAATAAATGACTTGAGGGATTTAGGCCTCCAAAACTTTACTGATATTAATGTTTAAATTACAATGGTATTTTTATACAGAATATTAAACAACTTGATACAAAGCAAATAAAAAATAAAAGAAAAAAAAATTCCGAGGAATATCAAGCTTTGTGTGTAAGGGATGTGAAAGGTTAAAGGATAGGACATGTGCAAATGTTTCTTCTGCAAAATATGAGGACTAAATAAAAGGTCAACAAATAAATTCATTTATATAGTAATATAGTCATATTTTTATTTCACATACATTATAAACATACATTCATACATTATAAACATCATATTTGTATTAACCCAAGAATGCTAATACTTCATAATCATGAGCAGTCACTTCACGTCCATCACATGGGTATGATGCACCTTCCATCAAATGCTATTGTTTTATATTTGTTAAAGAAGAGAGAGAAAGAGAGAAGAAAAAAAGAGAGAAAAATAAAGAATAAATAAATAATACTCACTTTACCAGCTTTTCCAATATGATTATGTATTTTTGCAATGTATAATTCTTGATTATGCTATTATAATAATAAAAATGATAATTGAGTAAATAAGTATATTTAATACATTTAATGTTTTAACAGTTAAGAGTAGTTAAAAGATAATTACGTCGGCTTCGTGCCCAGCTTTTAGAGGAATAAAGAATTGAGGTCGAACTTGTCCTGAACTTTATATTTTATAATAATATATTTAATATATTTGAAATTATAATAATTATAATTATATTACTCACCTTTTAACCCAACGAAATTGACTTTGATCACCAGTAAGTACTTCATATTCAGGAAGACAATGTTCTTCACCACCCCAACCAATGACACAACCACGGCGTTCATGTGAGACGTATCCAATATGTAATCCACCTTTAAAACGAGCACGAGCGATAGCTTTATCGTGACATCTGAATGCATCAGGAGGAATATGACCTTCTCTTGAGTGAATCCATTTGGCGGCCTTAATTATCAATTAATAATAATCATATCAATTCAAAAATTTATATATTAATTATAACTTTTTTAAACTTTTAATCAATTATATACCCAATGTTCTTGTGCAACTGCCATGAAAGAAATTAAATTGATACGATTTTAAATATTCGGATATTAGAGTATTTGAATATTTTGATATTTGATATTTGTATTAGGGAAGAACTTCTTTATATAGAGAAAAATTTAATCGACGTGGGAGATGGCGTTAATTGCCAAGAAGTTTTTGATTACATAAATATATATACATTTTTTTTTTTTTTAATTAACCATTTCTACACTTTTTTTAATATGTATAAAAATAACTTATTTTGATTTCATGACAATCATCTATAAATTTGGGAATTTTATAGTTTGGCATGTTCGTTTTCTCTTTTGACCACTTTAAATTATTTTAAATTATTATTATTATTATTATTATGTTGATAGTATAAATTATTTTAACTAATTTAATTTTTGAAAATGGCAGAATTTGATAAAATAAATTCATTGTTGAATCAATTAAATCTGAATGGTATATTATTTAGTTTATTATTTATTTTATTATTATTTTATTATTTATTTTATTATTTATTTATATTATTATTATTATTATTATTATTATTATTTTTATTTTTATTATTATTTATTTTATCATTTATATTATTATTTTTTTTAGAAGAAGAAGATAACTTTATTGAAAATTTAAAATTATTAATATCTGGTCTTCGAAAATATAAAAATGTTATAATTGATCAAAATTTATCACCTAAAGTTATAAAGGATGAATGGTCTAAAGTGACGAAAACCATGGAAATATTTGCTAATTCTGCAAAGAAAGGTTATATATAATAATATAAATATTATAATTGTTACAATTGTTATAATAGTTTTAATAATTTTAAATGTTATAAATTCTTTCTATTGATTTTACAGAAAAGTCACGAGATCCACTTGGAAATATTGGAGCCATTGAATTAATTATTGAGTTTATAAATTTAAATAATCAAAATGATACTCAATCTTATTCCTCTGTGGTTGATTTTCAATGTTTTAGAGCACTTGCTAATATTTGTATTTCAAATGGTAAAAAGAATCATATATTATTATTATCATCATCATCATCATTATTGTAATTATTATTAATATATATTGTAATTATAGACAATAATAGAAAAAAGTTTTTAGATTCTGGAGGAATCAATGCTTCTTTGATTTGCATCAGAAAATGTAAAGATTTAGAGACAATTCGAGGAGCATGTGCAACATTATTAAATGCTGGAATGAATTATGGTATTAAATATCATATTATTAAATGTTATATATATTTAATATATCTAATATATATTCTATTTATTCTATTAAACAGATATTGTTAATACTGAAATTGTAAAATTAGATGGTCTGGTTATACTTGCTCATTTACTTGAACCTAAAAGTATTTTAGAAAGTCATGTTGACAATATTGATTTAGCACGAATGACGATATATTATTCTACTCGTGTGATGTTAAATTTAGTGGGAACAGGTTATTTATTATATTTTATTATATTTTTATCATTTTATTATATTTTTATTATATTATTATATTTTATTATTAATATTCAATCAATATTTATTATATTATATATTTTATTAATAATTTGTTATTCATACATAGAGAAGGGAAAACAAAAAATTGCAAACAAACAGGTTATTTCTTCTTTGGTACATCTTTTATCTTACACCTCATCAGAGAATGCCATAGAAGATGATGTTGATATATTAGAAAATGTTGTGGAAATTTTGGAAAGTGTGGCAATAGATAATGGTCATTATGTGTTTTATATTTTATCATTATTATTATTATTATTATTATTATTATTATTATTATTATAATATATTAATTAATAATATTACAAATTACTTGGTTTTATTTTAAAGATGAAATTCAATTAATTTTGGTTCAAGATGGATTATTTCCTATATTATTGGACTTTTTGGAATTGTCTAAACCACCAAATAATTGTGAAGAACACATTACTAAAAGTTATGGTGAATGCAAGGCTGCTATTTTGAAAGTGATTGTAGCAATAACAAGTTGTGGTAAATGAATTGTATTAATATTATTAATATTAATAATAAGATTATTATTATTATTAGAATTAATTTAGTCATTTTTAATTTATATTTTCTGATAGATAAAAATATGAGTCCTTTGTTTAATGATTCTGTTGTTTTTCATCGTTTTCTTCATTGGTTAAATTTGGGACCACAGAGGGATGATCTTCAGATGTGTGCTGCTTTGTCTTTAGGAAATCTGGCAAGAAGTGGTAATATATATAAATTTATTTAATTAATTTTTTACATCACTAGTTTATATATATATAATATATATTTACATTTATAATATATTTATATTTATTTAATAGATGAAAATTGTATAAAATTGGTGAATGAATTTAAAATAGCAGAACCACTTGTAAATGTTTTAAAAACCAGTGATAATATTAAAGTACAACATGCTGTTGTTGGTGTTTTAAAGAATTTATCACTTCCAGGTATTACAATAATTATTATAATATTATAATAATTATATTTTAAATTTAAAATTATATATTTATATCTATACTTTATATTAGATATTAATTAATTTTATCAAAATATTATTATTATTTAATATTATTATTTTCAGTTCAAAATAAGAATATCATTGGATCTCTTGGTATTATTGAAATTGCATCACCTTTATTAGAAAAAGATACTGTTCAACCTATTCAATTAGGAATAATTGGAATATTTAAACATTTATCCAACCAAAATGGTTAGTAATTATTATTGTTATTATTGATTATTGATTAATTATTGTTAATTAATTGATTTATTAATTATTGTTATTAATTATTTTTTATTAATATTTAGTTATAAATTGCAAAAAGATTATATTAGGAGAAAAATTAAATAATTCTGAAAAACCACTTGATCTTTTATTAAAATTAATTCAAAGAACTGATGAAATAGCTGTTAAAAGTGAAGGAACTCGTGTATTGGTTAATCTTGTTAAAAATATTTGGAGTGCAAATTCACAAAATGAACTTTATTTAAATTTAGGTTATTATTTTTTATTATTATAATTTATTATTATAATTTACTATTCTAACTTGACTTTGAAATTTATTCTTATGACTTAATAATAATTTAATGTAATTGCAGATACTTCCATTAATACTTTACGCTTAGAATTAAACAGAAAAGAAATAGTTCAATCTATTGTAAATATTATAATAGAATCAAAATATTCAATACTTCAAAATGAAGGTATAATTGCTTTGACCTTATTAATTATGGATGATTCAGCAAAAGTTGGTGGAGGTAACAATTATTTATTTATTTTATTTATTTAATATTTATATGAATATATTCATTATTAATTTATTAATTTATTTACATTTTATTCATTTTTATATTAATACATTCAATAAATATATTCAATATTAATGGGATAGGCACAAATTTATCTTTAGATATTCTTACAAATACATCAATAACAACTTCAACTGCAAATTTTCAACAAAAAAACGAAACCGAATTTACTGAAGATAAGGAAGATAAGGAAAAAGAAGGAATTACAGATGATAAAGAAAAAGAAAAGGAAAAAACAATTGAATCTAAACATTCTCCCTTACTTAAAGCTTTATTTGACATCTTACAAAACAATCAACAAAAATATGCTGATGAATTGAAATTTAACGTTTGTTTGTTACTTGAAAATGCTATAAATTTAGCCAATGAGAATGAGTCTCGTAAATAATTATTTTTATTATTATTAATTATTATTCTTTTTGTTATCAATATTATTAATTATTATTAATTATTATTAATTATTTTTAATTATTAGAAAAACAATATCTTCGAGAGAGAATCGTTCCCACTCTTAAATTATTGTTAGAAGAAAATAATAATAATAATCAAGAAACTGCAAATATTTCGGAAGAATTAAGAAATGCAATAGAAAAAATTACTAATTTATTTGTTATCTAACCAGTTTATCAGTCAGACCTATGTATAATCACCTTATATAATTATCTTTCGTTATAATCCCTTTTTTTAAAAAAATTTTTTTATATTATTGCAGTATACGTAAATTTATCACAATTGTATGCATCACGTTTAGATGCATTAAAATATAGGTATTTTAAGGATACGATATTGTTACACTTTTGCTTATATTCACCATTGTTAAAATTATATTTGTATAATATATAATCACGTGATTTTATTCAACATGATCCCATAATTAGACAAATTACATAATATAAATTTTATTTCAAAAAATGATAAATCATCTCACGAATTTAAAAGAACATCTTAATACTTACCTTTTTTTTTTATATAAGATTTCTATAGGAAGGTGAGCCAGACAATGTTCGAGACAAAAAGTTGGTCATGTAAAACCTCACCTGGAAAATGTTTTTATATATGAAGGGTGATTGACCTTATGACCCAAACATTTCGTAATATCAATTAATATAAAGCTTGGGTATTAACTAATGACTATTGATGGTAAAGAGCTCATTGATTTTCATTTATAGCAATTCGTTTTATTAAATACGTGAGAATAAATGCATAATAAAATATAAATATAAATATAAATTTATAATTTTTTCTTTAACTTTCGTTTGTTGAAGAATAATAATCGTCTCTATGAAACTCAATTAGTAATTCCACTTGTTTAGCATGTGGAAATAAATCTACTCCAACTGCTCTAACTGGTTTAAACGGAATTCCAGTAAATGCATTTGTAGATGGTCTACAGAGACTAAAGAAATAAATAGAATAATTGTAATAATTTATAAAAATTTACAATAATTAAAAAGATGAAAAACTTACTCTATAAAATTTCGAGTTGCCAAATTATAATCACATGAAATGTATAAGAAATAATCAATAGCTTGACAATTTCTCAAAGCTTTAATTACATTCTTATGGATACCAGCTCTGCCAAAAAAAAAAAAATAATAATAATAACCAATAAATTTAATAAATATAATATAATAATAGAATAATATTATTCAATAAGAAATTATTAATTACCTCGGTGGATCAACTATTGCAATGACTGTTCCTGCAGTCGAATTATTATAATTATTTAAAGCCCGCAAATTTTTCTCAACTGGACCAAGGATATATTCCGCATTCTTTATTTCTAAAAATAAATAATTGTTTAAATTTTTTAGAATTCATAAATAATTTCTTTGCAAAAATCAAATAAATCTTACCATTCAATGTGGCATTTATTTTTGCATCTTCCACAGCCTCTTCACAAATTTCAATGCCTATAACTTTTTCAATTTTATTTCCTAAAGCTTTGGACAGACAAATTCCAATAGTTCCAGTTCCACAACACATATCTATCAAGACTGGAGGTGGTTTATCGGGATTACAAAGATCTTTTATATATTCTGAACATTTTTCATATAATACTTGCGCTGCTAGGGTGTTTGTCTGGAAAAATGCCCTTGGAGAAATGCGAAACCTTTATATAATAAAAATATAAGTTATTGCATATGTTGTGATATAAGATATTTATATAAGTTTTTTATGTTTATTATATATCTAAAATGATAAAACAAACCTGCAACCCATCATTTCTTCGTGGATAAAAGAATCACCAGAAATAACTTCATAAGGATATTTGTCAGAAATACAGTCACTAACTCCATCATATACTTGCACTAGAAGTGATTTCAAATTAATTTGTTCTTCTTTCGCAAGTGACTCAAAATATTCCGCCAATGAAAGCTTTTCTTTGTTAATTTGATCTTCAGTCAAACCCTGTGGATGAAACTGGACAATGATCATAACTAAATATATGAAATAAATTTATTAAAATTTTATTTCAAGAAGAAATTAAAAGAAATTACAATAATAAAATACAAAATTAATAAATTAAAAAAAAAAAAAACGTACTATCACCACAAGCTTGAGATCTGACACTAGTCAAGCGCCAATTTCCTAAGATAATAAAACTTTTCAGATTTATTTGAATTAAACATAAAAACTTAAAAAAATTCAATACCTTGTTTTGTCTTACGATCATATACATCGTATTCAGATTTTCGAACGTATGTCTAATAATAATAATAATTAATAACAAAATAATAACAATAAAAAAAAATTTGTACTCAAATAATAACATTATATTGATCCTCTTCCCTTATATATTTATAATAATTATTTAATATACCTGCATAGCAGTTGCGATTTTTTTTGCAACTTCACTAACATTCAGAGATTTTTCGGGTTCCTGAATTTCAGTCATCCAAATATAAATTGTTAAATTTAATGTCATTTTACTGATTTATTGATTTTATGCTATCATAAAAAGAATTATTTTTAATCACCAAGACAGTATTAAGTCCATCCTTGTATGCTCCCAATAAGAATCCGACTGTTTTTTCTCCATTAAGATTTTTTCCGATTGTGAATTCACATTTGTTCCGATATCCTTCGAGAATTGGTGATGAAATAATTGTACGAACTTCACATGGAAGATTTGATTCTACTCTACATTAATTTGTTGAAATCAAATTTTACGAAAATTATTCTTCATTTTTTTTTAAATGAAAACAAAATGATATCAAAGGATATAAATAATGAAAATAATAATTTTACTCTTCAGCTACCCATTTGGGTCGGTAACGATCTTTGGTTAATTCTTTAATATTATTACGGAATGTTGAAAGAGATTTTTTAATACCATCATCTTTAAACTTTAATTGCTCGGAATAAGGAAGACTACAAATAATTTATTATGTAAATAAATATTCTCTTTGATTTCTTTTGATTTGTGGGATAGATCTGGGTAAATCTTACCGATGCAAAGGAGTTGTTTGATCTGCAAGCAATTCTTCGGGCGAACGTTGTTCTCCTTGTTCATTTAAAAAACGTTCTTTATTTGCTTCTCGTTTATTATCAAATAAAAGTTGACGCTCCTAAGTTCCAATTATAAATTAGTAGAGTTAATTTAAATCCGTTATTTAATATATAAAATCTTTTATCCAAAAAAGTAATGTATTAACTTTTTCTGTTATATTATCAACTGTCACAACTATGGCTTTATTTTTCAAAGTCACATCTTTCAATTTTTCGATAACCTCTAATTGTTGTTCTCTTGACTATAAAATCGATAATGATTATCTATAAATATATAATGAATTCATTCAAAACAAGATTTATAACTAATATAATTGTATTTACTTTAAGTTGTACAAAACAATAGTTCCACTTTGGAGATTTTTTAACGTTGAGACTTCCACAACCATTCTTTGCTAATAAATCTTTGATCATCTTTACAGATGCAAATTTGGGTACGTTTTTCATTCTCAATCTATATTGAATTCCTTCTTCCAAATTATCTTTCACATTTGCACTAGTTGATGCATCATTATTATCAGTATTCTCTTCAAGGTTATCATTATTATTATTTGAAGTTTCGTTGATCATCGATATGTCTTTAATTATCGGATCGACCGAACAATTTTCAATGATTACAGTATCATCTGATTTTTCTATTTTTAATTTTTTGGTGGTTGGCAAGATATCTTCATTTTCTAACTTGATATTAGTTTTTTCATTTTCTAGCTTGATATTAATATCAGTTTTTTTATTGAAGTTAAGAGAAGACATTGAATAACTTCTTTCTTCCTTTTTTTCGTATAGCTTTATATAGGCAGAAACTTAAAGTTGACTGATATTTAATAAAATTTAGATATGATAAAATTTAATAGATAATAATACACGGGAAAACGTACCCACGTAACTTTCTACTATTATATTCTTTTGAACAATTAAATTTGTTTTATTTGCATATAAACCTCTTAGGATACGAGTTCCTATTCTATGACTTGAGGTAGAAAACACAGGAAAAAGTGTGGTGAACATTAATTGTTAGAAAATATCTTTCGAGATATTGATGTGTTTTAATGTAGATTAATAGATTATGATTGGTCAGCGATAATATAAATTACTCAAAATTTTTTGAATTTTTGTTCACTGAACGCGATTTTTAGCGAAATAAAACTTTTTTTGTTTTTTTTTTTTTGGCTTCTCCACTGAATTGTCGAAAAATGGTGAATTATTTATTATTTGAAACAGCGTTCGGATATGCATTATTTGAGGTTTTACAGACAGAAGAGATTGGATCGAAACTTGAACGGGTTCAAAAAGTAATTGAAGATTTAGTAAAGTTTGGAAAAACTGTCAAACTTAAGTCGTTTGTTCCTTTTAAAAGTGCAGTACACGCCTTGGAAAATGCTAATGATATATCCGAAGGTACGATTTTATTAAAAATTAATCTGTATGGTTTATTATATCCTTTACAGAGGAAACAGTTTTGAATGCGAGACAATACATTAATGTATGATTATGTGATTAAATATTTCAAAATAATTTAGGGGTTGTTAACGAACACCTTAAAGCTTTTTTGGAAATGAATCTTCCTAGACCTGGAAAAAAAAAAAAGTTTGTTCTTGGTGTTTCCGACAAAAATTTAGCAGGATCAATTAAATCAGAATTGGGATATGAATGTGAAACTAGTGAAATAGTACTTGAACTCGTTCGTGGTATTCGTTTACATGCCGATAAATTATTGCATCAAGTAAAAGAAGGAGAACTTGTAAAAGCACAACTTGGATTAGGTCACAGTTATTCTCGAGCAAAAGTCAAATTCAATGTTAATCGAGCTGATAATATGATTATACAAGCTATATCATTGTTAGATCAACTGGATAAAGATATAAATACATTTGCTATGCGAGTTAGGTAAGTTGAAATTATTATATTTTCTATTTTCTACATTTTCAAATTATAAATTGTTAACTAAATTGTCAACTGAATTGTTAACTAAATTGTTAACTGAATTATCAACTGAATTATTAACTAAATTGTCAACTGAATTATTAACTAAATTGTCAACTGAATTTTCAACTAAATTGTCAACTAAATTGTCAACTTCATTTTTTTTTAAATTCATAGAGAATGGTACTCATGGCATTTTCCGGAACTAGTGAAAATTATTAATGATAATCACAAATATTCTCTTCTCGCAAAATTCATCCAAAATAAGAGCAAACTAACCGAACAACATTCTAAAGAACTTACTGAAATAACTGGAGATGAATCTAGCTCGAAAAGAATCATTGATGCAGCTCGTACATCGATGGGAACAGATATTTCAGATTTAGATATGATTAATATTCAACATTTTGCTGAACGTGTGATTAACTTGGCAGAATATCGTAAAAAATTATACGAATATTTATTGTCAAAGATGCATAGTGTAGCTCCAAATTTATCAGCATTGATTGGTGAAGTTGTTGGTGCCAGACTAATCTCACGAGCAGGAAGCCTGACGAATCTTTCGAAATATCCCGCTTCTACTGTTCAAATTCTAGGTGCCGAAAAGGCTTTATTTAGGTATTGCCAATCTTTTCAAATATTTACAATATATATATATATATTTATTTATTTATTTCGTTATAAAAATATATACTTATTTATATATTTAGAGCTCTTAAAACCAAGGGAAATACTCCCAAGTATGGTCTTCTATACCACTCTTCATTCATCGGTCGTGCAGGTACAAAAAATAAAGGCAGAATTTCCCGATTTTTAGCCAATAAATGCACAATAGCCTCTCGAATAGATTGCTTTACAGGTAATCAATTTCATTCAATCTTGTTATTATACTGTTATGTAATAAACAATATAAATTTCTTTAAAATAATAACAAATAATTAATGATGATAATTAAATCTCAAATAATGAAGAAACACCCACATCGAAATTTGGAGAAGCTCTTAAAAATCAAGTTGAAGACAGACTATTATTTTATGAAAAAGGCACGCCAACTCCCAAAAATGTCGACGTTATTAAAAAAGTGATGGAAGAACTTAAAGGAGAAGAAAGTAAAATAAACATGGAAGTGGATGAAATAGATGAAGGTAATATTATTTTAATTATTATTCGAATATAATTTATTGAATGTAAATTTAATTTTTAATTTTCTTTTATTATTATTGATTATAATTTTTTTTATAATTTCTATTAGCGGATACAATTATACGAAAACGTAAAGCATCTTCAGAAGAACCAATAATTATTAGTAAAGCCAAGAAGCATAAAAAATCGAAAACTGAAAATATATCGTCTAAGCATGACAAAAAAGACAAAAAAGAAAAAAAGGAAAAAAAAGAGAATAAAAAAGAAAAAAATGAAAAAAAAAATGATGTAATGGCAATAGATGATGTAAAACCCAAAAAAAGCTCCAAGTCCAATAAAGAAAAAAAGGAAGATGAAATAACTTCCGAGTCCAGTAAAAAGAAAGATAAGAAAGAAAAAAAGAACAAAGGATAATATAATCATTAAATAATTATTCAATTAACTAAAATTCATAGATTTATACTTAAAATAACCAAAAAATAAATTATATAATAATTTGTAGTTTCCAATTTAATTCACTTATTTTTGGTTTTTCAATTACTTTAAGAGTGGGTTGTTTATCTATTGTTAAATCATCCTAATTATATAAAATATACAAAATATACAAAATATACAAAATATACAAAATATATATTGAATTAAGGGATTAAAAGACATTTAATGAATTGAAAAGTGAAAAATAAAAATATTTACCTCCATGATAGTAGTCTCTGTGGAAGTATTTAAAGGAACATCAAATATCTCATCAATATTCTTTTTAATTGATTCTTCTAATTTACTAAATACCATTTGAATTTGTTGAGCACTTTTCATTATTCCCAATGTTATGAGACATTTTAACAGATTTGATATTTCCACTATTAAATTAAAATTAAAATTAAAATTAAAATTAAAAGAATGAATAATAAATAAAATAAAAGAATACAAATTCAATATATTGTAAGAAAAAGAAAACTAACCTTGTGTAGAATTAAATCTTTCAATCAATCTTTTTAGAGAATCAACAAGATATAATTCTTCATATATACTTCCTTTCTTACCACGAGCTTTCTTCCGTTCTGTTCTACGACGGCTTTTCGCACTTTTACTAAATTATAACAATATTTTTTTTGATGAATTACGATACATAATAAACAAAGTAATAAATAAATTTTTGATATTAATATGTTCAAAAGATTACTAACCTACTTCTACTTGAATGAATGCTCAATTGAGTATTTGATTGTGTATAACGTGAAAACCCACTGACCATCGAACTAGTATCAGAAAACATATCAATATTATCTATTGACTTATCATAATTAAGTAGCTCTAATTCAAAGAAAAATAATAATAATAATAATAATAAAACAATTAAAATTTTAAATAATCAACAAAATTATATTCATTATATTCATTATATCCATACCGGGTTCGGGTTGGTTAGCTTTATTGGTTCTTATTTCTTTTAATCTTGTCGTTTGTTGGTTTAATTGATCCAGCATCGAATTTACATCCTGAAGCAATTGGACGTGACCTAGAAAAAAAATTTTGATTTTAATTTATTTTTATTTCTTTTTTATTGCTGAGCTGATATTTTATTATTTTATACCTTCAATTATACTTGGTCTAATATTTGTTTGAATTAAATCTTCTCTATTATGCAAATATGACTTGAAAATAAATTAATACAAACATTATAAGTACCACAAATATTGATAAACATTATAAGTACCCACAAATAATTATAATATTATAAATATTATAAATAAATATAAATATTATGAATATTATAAATATTATAAATATTATGAATATTATAAATAATTAAGAAATTCACTTACAACACGTATGGCTTCAACCCAATGATGACCTTTACATAATAATTCGATTGACTTCTCTGTTTCCTAAAAATTAAATGTGAGTTATTTCTTTTATTTCACTTTAATGACTAAATTTATTAAAAAAAAAAAAAATACAATGAATATTTTTTAAATATAAATTTAAATATATACAACACACCTTTACATAATCTAATAAAATCTGTGCAGCTTCTTGATATTGTCTCTTATCTTCCAAAATTTCTATAATAATAAAATATTCCAATATTGGCATTAAATAATAAATTAAATAAAAATCAAAATAGAATATGTCTAAACATGTTAATAAAATAAAACAAACCGGCAAGGTCTTGGGTCAAATCAAAAATATCATCTAAAGAATATTTCATCTCTTGAGCAATTGTTAAAGCTTCACGCCATGATCCTGCATTTTTATATGCTACAATAGCTTTACGTTTGTCTTCAGCCAATATATATGCTAATTTAAATGAAGATAAAAATTAATTAAATTAATTAAATTAATTTGATCAATTTAATCAATTTATAATAATTTTATGAAAAATAGCAAGTCATTCATACCTAAACCTGCTTCAACGTAATTCGATTCCTTAAAAAGGTAATCTCCATAAATGAACATTATTCTCTAATAAATAAATAAATAAGTAAAAATATATAAAATAAATCGAATAAATCTTAAATTGTAAATACATTCGCTTCAAATATCATAGATCATATACCTTATACTTTTCTTTAGAATTCGAGAATAAAGATATTGCTGGTTTATACAAATTATGTTTGACAATATACTTTAAACATTCTTCAAAATTTTCATCACCTAATGCGGAATTAATGCGAAATTAAAACGAAATTAAAACAAAATTACAACTGTGAATAATTATCATAGAAATATCATAAAAGTAATAATTTTTACCCGCCAAACTTAAATTCTTCAATGCTTTTTCATATCGGTGAAGATGATCATCAATCTTAAATCGTTGATAATGCATAGGATAATTCTCAAGATCTGCCAAAAATGGTAAATATTCTCTTGGATCCTAAATAATCAAATATATTTCCTAAAATACATTTCACAGAATGATATTTACTATGATATTCAAAGAATAATATTTACTTACCTTCTGAGATTGTTGAGCAACCATTAATACAAGTCTAAAATCATACATTCCCAAAGCAACATCAAATAATTGATCTGCGTCAACCAAAAAGATAGAAAACTTAATTGCATCTTCTGCCAAATCTGGATCTTTATCTAATTCAAAAAAATTACTTAGAATTTATTGTGTGAATTTCAAATATGGTGTAAAATATTGTTAAATATTTTATAAATTTCAAAAAGTTATTCATAAAAACCTTTTAATTTAACTAATAAACCTAAGGATGATTCTAAATCTGGAGGACTCCTACGAACGTAGGTCGTTATTATTGATTTAAGATATGTTTTTGAATCTAATGTTTCTAATACTTCTCGTATTGCATCACATATAGTGTTGACTTTTGTAGAAATATCTTGAGTACTTTTAGTCAACAAATTAAAAATGTTTGTTTAAACAACCAATGATAGGTTAAATCAAAGAGGAAAAAAAAAGGAAGAAAACAGATCAAAATTACCTATCAATCTTATTACTGTTTCCAACAGGAGGATACATTGTCAATGTTACATCTTCATTTCTAATGTAAATATAAATATATATAATATATGTATGAAAAAAACCATTTTAATATGAATAAAACTAATATTAAAATTATCAGAAAATAAATAAAAAAAAGAATTTTACCTAAGATTTGACAAAAACAAATTCAAATAATCTACTTTCTCTACTTGTAAAACAAATGATCGAACATTTTTTAAAAACGTTTCCGGCGAATGATCATATAAAATATTTAAATCAATTCGATGTTTTCGACAATCGATATAAGCAGATTTATAATCTAATCTATTCAAAGAAATTATTTTTTTTTAAAGAAAGATATTATATATTTCTATATAAATATGAACATATACTTGATTTATAGATTTAATTGAAAATTTTTTATAAAATTCATACTGATTGAGAGCATCTCGCACAGATGCCAAAACTAGGGCACGTGGACTTATAGTTTCTAAATTTCCTCTTGGCATCTAATAAATTCAAAAATAAGCGTTAAACAAATAATCAAAATAAACAAAATGCATATAAAATAAAGATCAATCAACATAAATTGATAATATAATACCTGCAGAATTAATGATACATCATAATAAACGGCACACACAATCTTAGATCCTCTTTCAATCCTACGAATTGTTTCATCATAAGGCAGGGTCTCGCTTTCAGAAATTTTAAGATCTAAATTTCCCAAAAATAAAACCGTTAATAAAACTTGATAACATTTCAAAGGAAATATATTTATATATTTAAATACCTGAAAGATTCACACGAAGTGGCAAAAACCTTGCAACATGACTTAACGTGGTGAGTATAAGAAAATTATTATGGATAAAAAATGAAGTACAACCCGTGGTAACTAATTTTTCATTCGCGTACAACTTGTTATTTTCACTTAAACCTATTATCACGGTCTATAATAAAAATAAAATATTTAGAAAAATTATAATTCATAAAAGATTATAGAATCAAAATACCGTTACAAATACCTCTATACGTTCTTCTGTTCCAATTTTGGTAGATTCGACCCAGGTGCAAGGCTCGGGAAAACATATAAAAGGCGAATCAGAAACTTTGATATAATTATTTTTCTCATCTTTCCCATTAAATTGATCTAGATTTATTTCCACTATTTTATTAAATTGAATTAAATTAAATTAAATGTAATTAAATGTAATACATTATAATACAAATTTAACAAATAAAAATAAATTTCATACCATCAAATACTATCCCATCATTTGATATCAAATATATTTTCTCATTTTTAGGATTCCAATTTAATCTTTTAATCACAAATGGATTACATATCTTTTCTACATATTGAATTATTGGATTAAATTCTTCTTTAAAATCCATCTTCACAAGAAATAAATCATCAGATTTATTTTCAGGATCATTTAGTATACAAAGTAGAATTTCTTTGTTTATCCAGGCTATTTGTCTTATGAACCCACAATCTTTAGAATCCAAAAGTCTTATAAATAAAAATAAAAATAAAACATAATAAATAAAATATAATTAATAAAGATAAATATTGTTTCACGTAAAATATAAACTTATTAAGAATAATTATAAATGTTTACTTCAATTTAATAGAACCAATCAAAGTTGGTGGTGTGCAAGGCTTATTCATAGCTCCTTCCCAATCAAAAAATGATATCATTTGATTAATTTGAAGTACTGCAAAATCATTACCACCATTATTTGGTGAAAATGATACAAATGATGCTGGTGATTCTAATTTTACTGAGAATGCACACATTGGTGGAGGTACATTCAGAAATCTGAATGGAGTGAGATAGACTGAAGCTAAAAATAAAAATGGATTAAATATATTGTTAAGGATAATAATATTGTCATTTATTTCATTATATATTTAATAAAAATACAGAATGAAATGGTTTAAAACATTTTCAGAAAAAATGTAAATTTATAGAATACTGAAAGGATACATCCATCAATAACAGCTATAGCAGCAGCATTCTTCTCATTAATATAATTAGAACATAAATTATCCCACGCAAATTCAAATTTATGGAATTTCTCTATATATTTTTTTTTTAAAAATACATAATTAAAAAAAATCAATCATATATAAATATAAAGGATATGAAGAAACTACAAATCAAAACTTACTTTGAGTAACAATATACAATCTTAATGCTGTCTCAGGATCCCATGAAACACTGATTACAGAATCATCAGCCTTCATTAGAATTTCTTGTTTCAAGTACCAGTGATAATTATTCATATTCCATAATTGGACTTTTATATAATAATATAAAATATATAAATACATAAGATATTTATATTTACTAAAAGGATTTTCAATGAATTTAAATATAACCTTACCACATGAAGATTTTTCAGATTGGGAGTCTCCTCTTTCCAACCATATTGCCAAAATTGTAGAATCACAATTCCATAATATTTCTACAACCTATATAAAAATTAGATATATCAGATATTATTACCAAATTTATTTATACCTGAAAAAGAATGATTCAACCAACTAATAAGTCAATCATAAAAAATTGCCTTGTGACTCCCAGTCTCTCTCAAAGAAAATTCACCATGTCTTAAACCATTCTTTTCAAAGAAAATTATTTCATGCTTATCAGGAAATTTTTGATTTGAAGCAATCAAATTACCAGATGGTCTAAAAAAGAAAATAGTAATTTCAATAAAAGTAATAACTAAAATAAAGTAATAATAGCATAATATAAAAAATAAAATAAATAATAAAGCATACCTCCATGATAAAGTATATGATAATTTATCTACAGGTTCACTAGTTGATTGTAAGACTCCTTCTCTATTATATACTCTTATCACTCTAAGTCCTAATTAAAAATATAATTAAGAACATATTAAACATATCAAAAATGGAAGAATTATAACCAACCAAATAATAAGTATAATAAGTATTATAAATAATAAATAATAAACATATATAAAACTAATTACCTCTATTAGTATCAATTGCTGAACAACAAAACATGTTTCCATCATAATGCCAAGATATTCTTGGTTTGAAATCATCATCATTAGAAAGAGTGAAATTTGTTATATCAACAACTCTTTGAGCAGCAAGTTTTCCTTCAGACCCATGAAATTGTGTCTCTTTTTTACCCCATCCAACACTTATACTAACAGCTAATTATGTTGTTAATCAAAAAAAAATAATAAATAAATAAATACAATTTATATTTAAAAAGTTTAATAAATTTAATAAATTTAATAGATTTTATAGAAATTTATATGTATTTACCTTCACCTAAATCTTCAACATTAATAGGAAACTCGGTAATGACATCAAAATCTTTGGTCATTTCAAGAATTGTATCATTCCCTAATTTTGTAAATTATTTAAATTATTTCAAGTTCATCCAATATATAAATAATAGATAGATTGATAGATTGATAGATAAAATATAATTGTTTCTTACCAGTGACAAAAATTACCAATTCTTCATCTGGACTCCATTCCATACATTTAATAAGAGAATCAATCGAACCTACCAATTCAATCTATATATTTCCGAAAAATAAATTAATTAAAAATATATTCTCTTTTAATATCTTTAATAGTTTTTCCAATGATTCACCTAATTGAAAAAAAAAATACTTTAAAAACTAATTTTCTAACAAAAAAACTTGGAGTTAGCTATGTGAACTACCAATTCATCATTTTCCTCATTTTCATCATTATCATTTAAACCATCCAAATGAACCGTGACAATATCTCCATTTATAAATGCAACGCATATTGATTGTGTATCAACCAAGAATTTTATTCCACATATAACTTCTTCTAATTCTTGTATCGGATCACCATTCGAAAAAACTGCGATAACAGATATTTTGGGACATAACGTCTAAGTAAAGTAAAAAAATTTGAGACTATTTAAAAAAAAAAAAGAATTATTAAAGATAGAGAATTTTATTTGGGTATATGGAATAAAAGTTTACCTCTGTTTCTGAACATTTTACAAGTTCAACATTTGAAAAGGACGGATTTGGAAATCGTACAAAATAAAAGTCTCCGTTGTCTGGATTGATCGTATGGAAAGTTCTTTTCAAATGATTACCGAATGGTATACATTCAGGAACAATTGTTTCTGAAAGTAATGTCAAGCTCTTCATATTGTTAAAATGATTTTGATTATTTTGAAGAAATTTAAAAATTTAAAAATAAGTAAAATTTTTGTACGACCATAAGTTTTAAAGTTAAAGTTTATCAAGAATTCATCAAATAATATAATTTCTTTGATTATCAAAAAAAAATAATATTCAAATTGTAAATTGAAAATTCAAATTTTTTAAAAATGTCCTGTAAAACGGTATTAGCAAAAGAAATTTCGGAAAGTTATAGGTAAGAAATTTTTTTTTTTTAAAAAAAAAAAAATTTACGATATAAATATTTTCAAAACTATCACAAAAATAAAAGCAAAAGCAAGTATTGAAAAATAATGAATAATAACAAGATAGGTGCGATAATCAAATTAAAAAAAATTGATCATTCTCAATTTTTAAAATCATTGTTAATATTATAACTTTTTAGAAAGGAAATAAAAGACACAATAAATTCAAAAGGAATTCATCCGCGACTTGTTGGATTTCTTGCTAACCAAGATCAAACAGCGGTAAAATATGCAGAAGCGACCGCTCGAACATGTTTGGAAACTGGGGTGGATTTTGAGTTGAGAAAATGTAATCGGGAAGAATTGGAAGATCTGATTATAGAAGCTAATGAAGATGACAATGTTCATGGAATATTGGTTTATTATCCTGTATTTGGAGATCGTCAGGTATTTTCTAAAATGAGGAAAAGATATGAGATTTATTATATATTTTATATTATATTATATTTTATATTTTTATATTATATAATATATTATATAGGATCAATATCTTCAAAATGTTGTTGATTACCAAAAAGATGTTGAAGGATTATGTCACAAATATATATATAACATGTATCATAACATTCGTTATCTCAATAAAGAAGAAACCAAAAAATGTATTATTCCATGTACTCCTTTGGCTATAGTTAAGGTACGAACTTTATTATTATTATTTTTTTTTATTATGAATTCTTTTTATTAAGAAAAATTTATATCATTAATTTTACCAAACCAATTGTATAAAGTATAAATCAATTCCAAATAGAATAATAGAATTTATTTATTTAAAAATTTTTTCATATAATTTATATAGGTTTTGGAATATATTGGAGTTTATAATTCAGTTCTTCCTTACGGAAATCGATTGCATGGTCGTCTCATCACTGTGGTAAATCGTAGTGAAATTGTAGGTCGTCCTCTTGCTGCATTATTAGCTAATGATGGTGGCAAAGTATATTCGGTAGATATCAATAGTATTCAAGAATTTCATCGTGGTCCTGGATTAAGATTAAAAAAGCATGAGGTAAGTATATTTTATTATCATCTTATTTATTATTTCTCATTTATTTTCTCATTTATTTTCTTATTTCCTTTATTCAATTTTAGGTTCACGATACAAATTTGAAACTTGAAGATATAATTCCTATTTCTGATGTGGTTATAACTGGAGTTCCATCATCTACTTACAAAATTCCAACTTCATTATTACGTGATGGAGTAATCGTCATAAATTTCGCTGCATATAAAAATTTTGAAAACAATGTTAAAGATAAAGCTAGCATTTATGTTCCATCAGTTGGTAAAGTCACTATTGCAATGTTAGAAAGAAATTTACTTAGATTGTATGACTGCCGAAATGAATAAATTAAAATCTTATAAATATTGTCAGAAAATGTTAATTAAAATCTTATGAATATTGTCAGAAAATGCTTTTTAAATAAAAAAAAATTTTGAAGTTTCTGTTTAGAAATGAAAGGGAGAATATAATAATAGACGTAATTTAAATATTTTAGCAGTTTTCACAATTAACCAAATTAATTCAAATTATCTTGTATTACGCAGATTACATAATGTACGGATGATCAACATCAACTATGCATAAACTACATAATTGCTTACATAATTAAGGCCCATTACGCAGAGTCCGGACTCGGGCACCTATTATTAATATATTATCACATTTAAATAATTTATTTCCACCCAAATTTCTCTTGATATATTCATAATTATACTTGTATAAGCTTTAGATAAGAAGTTATTATAATTTTATTAAATTCTTCTGCTTTAGATATCAATTGATTCCTAAATTTAGCATGTGTCCAATTCCAACTGTCTTACTATTAAATTTTCTTTCTTTTCTTTTGGACATTTGTTTTATTATTAAATTTTAGTAAAACAATTATATCAAAAGTTTGAATTAACCACGATGCAGCTTTTTTATGCATTTCATCCACTAAATTTCTAATGTATGCTTGAAGCACATTTCATAGAATTATATTTTTTCAAAGGTACTTTAGTGGTGTGTGAAATAAAGGTATCAAGAGAATGACCTAAGTGAAAAATATGATTGATATCCTTATCACCAATGTTTTCATGGCCGATTGTGGGTGAATACCAAATAAGAAAAGTACAAACTCCAGGATCAATAGCTGCGATATAAATTGGTTCTCACAAATAGACTTTCCATGCATCCATATAAATGTTCAATATTCTAATTTCTTTTCATACAATAATTTTGAGTCCATTTTAACTTGACCAATTCTATTTGGCCAATTATTTATTATGTCTCCAAAAGTCATAATGAAATGGTGATTTTATTTTGTATTGTAGATGTTGGGATCAATGGCAAGGAGCTCCCTATTATGCAAAAGTCTAATATAAAAATGAAGTGGTTCACAACAATATTGAGTACAAACACTAATTATTTTTTTTAGATTTGAAATGCAAAACATGAATTTTATCTTTATGTTGTTGTTGATTCTCCCTATTTCTTGTAATAACTTTATCTCTTGCTTGTATAACATCTGAGATGGCATGAACCAATATATCATATGGAACTCTATTTATAAAGCCCATTTTCTTGTATATTGAATCTTTAACCAGAAAAGCATCCTAAAGAAAATTAACATTTATTTATAAACTCTATAATTAATTTATTTCAATTATGGAATTATTCTATTCTCAAATTTTTATACATTAAAAATATAAATTTTTTTTTATACTTTTTCATATAGATAACATAATCGATTCTTATAATTTATAAATTGTTATTTGTATTTATTTAATATTCATAATATTTATAATGATCCCCGCAAATAAAATTCCCCCCTCTATTTTATCGATCCAACAACGCCATTGCCTTCCTATTCAAATAATAATTCGAAAGAATAAAATAAAAACCAATAGGTTAATCATTAAATGATTATAATTATTAATATAACGATCAATTCTTTTACTGACATGAACAAATAAATACAAATTACTAGATGAATTCTTCAATTTTTCGAAAGTTTTATATTTTTAGTTTAAAAACATACCTGAAGAAATCGAACCTCCCGGAACAACCTATTTAAAATAATATGGGTTTTTTTTTTGAATATTTTATATTTACAAGTGTAATAACAAATCATATTACAATAATAATGATATAATACTTACTTTAAGGCCAAAGAAAATGTAGTATACCAAATTTTTATAATATTATTTGTTGTTATTATTATTTATATTATTATTATTACTAATATTTCCTACAAAATAATAAAAACATTAAATAAATATTTTCAAAGCTCACCACTGGACCACGTCTTACGATCTTCCCCAGTATCACCAGAAATTTTTCTATCCCCCCACATATATTTTACGTAAATTTCGGGGGTTAGGGTTAGGGTTTGTCAAGGATAATATATTTATCACCGTGTGTCACATCCTTCGAATATCGATTTTTATTAAATATCTTGGGGACTTGAAATTTTTTTACATGCGGAAACCATATTTGTCACCCAACATTCATCGTCCTATTTTCTTCACGTGAATATAACATGTGAGATCACCCGCCAATTATGGACCAATTAAATTCAGAAAAATCATCTCTACGTGGGGGGTAGAAAAATTTCTGGTGATACTGGGGTAAATACGTCTTACGTTCGTAATCACGTGAGTACGACACACGCGTAAATTTCCAAATTTCAAATAAATATAATATCTAATTATATAATAATTATTATTATCTTACCTCTAAATTCTCTTTCTTTTCTTGGTTCCATATATTTCATAATCTTTAAGATGTCCTGGGAGGTTTCTTTTACGTTTGGGGCGATTATTGTTGTTGTCATCATCGTTATCATCATCATTATCATTATTGTTATCGTTATTGTTGTTATTATTATTATTATTGATGTTGATGTCGTCGATGATGATGTCATTGTTGTTATTATTGGTGTTGTCGTTAATATTATTGTTAGTGTTATTGGTGTTGTTGTTATTATTATTGATATTATTGTTAATAATATTATTATTAAAGTGAAGAAACACTTGTAATAACAATAATATCAATAATAATAGTTGCAATAATAATAAAAATATCAAAAATAATGAATTATTATTGATATTATTATTATTACCATTATTATTGTTGTCGTTATCGTCGTCGTCTTCGTCATCGTCGTCATCATCGTCGTCGTCGTCAGCGCCATCATACTCGTAGTCGTCATCATCGTCGTCGTCGTCATCATCATCGTCGTCATCGTTATCTTCTTCGTTATTATTATCGTTGTTGCTGCTGCTTGGGCGCATATCAATTCTTTGATAATCGATCATGGAATTATAGTTTTTGGTATTATTATTGATAACATTTTTATTGATGTTATAGTTATTATTGTTGAAAACATTTATTACGCGCCAGAAAGCAACACTTCTTGAAATAACTCTTTTATTCATAATTATTTTAAGTAGAGGATGTGAAAAGAGGTATAAGGAGTTATGAAAGTGAAATGTTGAGAATGTAAAAAGAGTCGTGAAAGAGAAATTAATGAATCAAAAAGTAAACCAAAATATGATATATCTGATTTTTGTACTACCGATGCATTATGACGCGTTTGAAATTTCAGCAATCACATGAATTATTATAAAAATAATCGCGTGAAATAATATGAGATATAATCACATGAGCGGACAATAACTAATAAAAAATTATGATATTAGAAATCATAATAAAATAATAGCTTGTAATATGATCTTGGAAATTTATAAGATAAAAATAATATTTTTAAGGATGCGATTGATTTTCATTTAAGAAATATTAATATTTAAAAATCAATTTCAATATTATAGATTTTTTTAAAAAGTTAAAATATATAATTAAAATGTAAGATAGTATTTTAAATTGATTATTATGCTTTTCTTTATTTCAAACTTTAATCGATTTGAATATATGAATAATAAATACAATAATGATAATTGAAATTATTGTCGTTTTATTTATTTATTCAAATATAATTCAATATACTTTATCTAAAACTTTATCCTAAATTACTTTCTATTTAAATTGCACACACTCATGTAAAATCGTTATTGAGAAATTTTTCTTAAGAATTGTACTTTAGAATCGGTTTTCGATTAGCTAATACATTCAATCCATTTTATTGATACACGAATTTATAAAATTGTCTCGTTATTATCATAAGTAGACGATTCACGATAATATCTGTTTTTTTCAAACAAAATGAGTAATTTTTGAATATAGGAAAAAAGATAATTGGCATTGGACCTAACTACATATAATTTATAAATATAATTATTTGTAATAGTTAAAAAAAAATTTATATTTTTATTATCTATTAATATACAGTTATAATTTAATAATGAATTTAATGATAATAAAATTTAATAATGAATTTAATGATGATAAAATTTAATAATGAATTAATTCCAAAAGAGAACATGCCAAAGAATTAGGAAATGAAGTACCAAAAGAATCATTCTTTTTTCTTAAGCCAACTTCTTCATATTTCAACAAGATGGTAGAAATATACAGATACCTAAAAATTCTATTGTCCATCATGAAGGTAAATGCTATAAACAAATAAATAATTAAATGAAATAAAAATATTGTATCTTTTTTGTATAGTTGAATTAAGAGTAATTATTAAAAATCCAGGTCGAGATATTAAACATGAAGATTCTTTTAATCATATTGCTGGTTAGTTTGTTGATATAAAAATATGATAATAATGTATTTCTTTTATTGAAAGAAAATTTATAAAATAATAATATATGCTAAGTGTGTGTATATATATGTATATAGGATATGCGCTTGGAATAGATTTAACAGTTCGAAACTTACAAGTATGTAATATATATATATATATATATTGATATATTATTTATTTCATGTTTACTTTCTCTCTTAAAAAGATGAAAAATGAATAAAAATAAATAAAATAAAAAACAAATTAAATTAAAATTAAATAAAATAATAAATAATAAAGGAAGAAGTTATGAAACGAGGGCTTCCTTGGAGTGCGGCAAAAGGATTTGATACATTTACTCCGATTGGGTATGTCATTTTTTTTTCAAACCACCACCATAAAATTTTCATTTATTTTTTAGTGAATTTATTCCTAAAGAGAAAATTAATGATTCAAAAAATGTTGATTTATGGTTAAAGGTATTTAGAAAACTTGATAATATCTGATATGTTAATAATAATATATAATAATATATTATTCTAATTAGGTCAACGGTAATATGTATTAAACAAAAAGGTAATACAAAAGATATGTTATTCAATATTTTCACATTAATTGAATATGTTGGTTTGTTATTCATTGATAATATAAAATTGAATTTAGGATTGTTGCTGGTGATATTATTACTGCAGGAAGGATTGAAAGTAGGAGATAAATGTTTATCATTATAAATTTCCTGTTATAACAAGGAAAAAATTAAATTCGAAATATTGAAAATTAGAAATTTCTCGAGTAATATTATTGTTATATATACTGTATATATTTTACATAAGAAATAAATATTTAAAGAAATTCGATCTTTCACGAATATATTGTTCCGCCTTTGAATTTTCTTGAGTTAAAATATATTTACATTTGAGAATTAATTAATTGAATTATTATAAAATCCCTGGGGATAGCTTTTTTTTTCTAATTGAGGAAAATTGAATACGAGTTATATACGACTACTATTACTACTGTTATTACTTGAGAAATAATTTACTAAATATTCTTATTAACGAAATTTTGATTTTTGCTTTAAATGAGGGGAATTTTATTCAACCCTTTTGTGCAATACTGATGTAAAGAAAAAAAAATTATATTCTTTCATTTTTAACGTAGCAATTTTTTTCTCTCTCCAATAGCAGTGATGAGTTTAATAATTAACATCCATTTCTATTTTTATTTTTTTAAAGAAATATACAAGAGTTAAATTTCTATTTTTATTTTTTTAAAGAAATATACAAGAGTTAAAACTGACGGTAGTTCACATCAAATAGACAAAAACTTAATTAGTAGTTTGGTAGTTACTCATCAGCACGAAGTTGTCTGGCAACCAATACCATCGTATATCAGAAGAAGAAATTCAAAAATGATGTGATAAATAACGAAAAATCTGACAAACAAGGAACAACACTTTATAATATGTAAATTCTGAATTGGAATAAATATTGTCCTTGCGGTCAAATATTTTATCAATATAATTATATAACATCAAATTTTGAAATATAAAAAAAAATTCCGTCCTGTAAACTTAGTGTACTAGAACTTTTTGACTATCTCTGAGGTTTGCTCTTCTAACATAAACATCAAATAAATTTAATTTATAATTAAAAGATTGAATACATATATATATATATATATAAACATATGAATATAGATTCTCATTACAATAAAAAAAGAACATTTACCAAATTTATCAAATTTACAATTGTTAGAAGGTTCGATATCAGTAAGAACAAGTCACGAATTTTAATAAATTTCTTTTGGTATTTGATTAATAATTATAAAATAAAAGTATCATTGTTGCTTTGTTATATATCTTTTTTTTTGTTGGAAATTCTTATTAAATCTTTAGAACTAAATTGATTTAGTTAGTTTTAACATTTAAAAAATATTCAGTACAGAACAACCATTTAATTCTTAATTTTTAATTTATCTAATTTATCTAATTTATATACTGTAATTAAAAATATCATATGTTTAAAAAGGATTTTTATATTTAAGATTTTTACTCTAAAAATTGAAGAATACTTTACTGTTAACTTGATGAATTAATTGCTCATTTATCTGAATTCTTTTGAGTAAATTTGTTCTGGTGAATTTCTTCTCTCATCTTTCATAACGAATTTCTTTTAAGTAAATTATCATGAATTCCACATGAGCGAATTATCAATGAATCTGAGCGAACCAGAGGTGAAACAACATGAAAATATTTATTTTATTTTTAATACTGTAATAATACATTATATATATATATATAAATATATAAATATAATATATTACTGAACACCTAATTATAATTTCTTCACGGGTAAAATTAATTTTTCATTTCTTTTCCAAAAATCAGTTAATGTAGAAGCTGTTTTTTCTGGGGCATCTTCTTGTATCATATGTCCTGATTCTGGAAAAACGACTAACTGATATTTTCCTATAACAGTAAAAATAAATAAATATTTGTGTAATTTTATAATATGGTACATATAATAATATAATAATATATAATATTGGTTACCTTGCATTTGAGCAATTGTTAATGGTTTATCTAATCGATCAGTTCCTGATTAAATAAAAAAATAAATAAGCAAAAAAATAAAAAATAAAATAAAAGTAATATTTGTTTATTTATAATATTTATATTCACCGGCTAAAATAAGAAGCTTGGCAGCACGAGCAGATAAGAATTTTTCTGATAAACCGGTAAACCATTCTAAAGAATATCAGAATATGTTAAAAATATTAAATATAATATAAAATCAGAATATAGAGAATACGGGTAATTATTAGAATAAAATATAAAATATAAAATAAGAACCTTCCCAATATTTTTGAGTTGTAACTAGATCAGTTCTCCAAACATATTTATTTACACCTTCATCATGAGTTGATTCCTTATTTTCTATTTTTTCTATTAGAAGAGGAAAAGTTGATATTCTGGCTGATTCAGGATTATGAACTGTTCCTGAATTTATACTAATAATTAATTATGTTATATTATATTATATTATATTATATTATAATTATAATTATAATTATATTGCAATATATTTTAATATTGAGTAACTAACCTCCATTCAATAGCATCTTCAATAGATTTAAATTCAGTAGATCTATTTCTCAAGAAAGGTAACATGCCTTTAAGTGCTTCTAATGCTGATCCTAAATGATAATAATAATGAATTTTTTTTCAAAAAAATATAATTTCAAACTTTTAATTATTAAATACTATGAATTATTAATAATTATTTATAAAACTAACCCTCAACAACATCTATAACAGCTAAACAAGTCATCGAAGGAACTAATCTTTTTGATGCAACATGTGAAACAACGCATCCTCCCATACTAATAATTAATTATGATGATAATGATTTATGATTATTAATTAATAATAATAATTATAATAATTAAATCTATTTACCTTTGTCCAATCAAGAAAATATCACGTTTTTTTACAACTTCATCATCAAATGCTGCTTTCAAGACATCAACTAAATCTTGACTTAATCTTTCTAAAGATAAATCATTATCATCTGATGTTTTTGTTAATCCTAAAAAAAATAATTTAAATAATAACACACATATAATTAATACACATGATATAAAATTCAAATATAAAAATTCAAATATAAATAATTCAAATATAAATAATTACAAAAACATACCGTGACCTCTACAATCATAAGAAAAGATTGTACACTTATTATCCATTAATCGTTTAATATGTGAAGAACATAATGCAAATGATAAACCAGAACTTCCTGCTCCATGATGCATTATAAATAACGGAACATTATGATTTAATGTACTATTTATTTCATAAACTCGAAAAATGTAAAAAAAAATATATATTTCATTGTCAACTGTCAAGGATTGTTGAACAATTATTATTAATCATTATTTTTATTTTTTTTTTAGTTTTGGGAATTTTCAAAAGGATATATTTTCAGAATTTGGTATCTTTATATCACGGCATCTATCAAAACAAGTTTCCCATGATACTATAGAATAATTTTTTTTTCTACGAGGTTTTATGAAGCTGAATAAATTTTATTAAAATTATTAATTAAAATAATTAAAAATGATTCAAATAATTAAATTATATAATTTAAAATAATTCAAATAATTAAATTAATTTAAATAATTTAAATAATTAAATTAATTAAAAATAATTCAAGTAATTTAAATAATTCAATTAATTTAATTAATTAATTCAATAATTCGATATTTCTTAACATACGTAGTAGACATAGTCGAAATTCCACTTTTCCCTTCTTCCTCCTCTTCATCTAATATTTCTTCCAATATTTCTTCCAATATTTCATTATTTTCATTATTTTCATTATTTTGGTTATCTGAAATTATTAATGCATTTGGTGTATGTCCAATTTTTCCTTTGAGTAAATTTTTTTGTAAAAGAGACATTTTGTTTTATATTTTGGGGTCTTCGTGAAACTTGGTTGAAAGAGATTTCAGTTTATTGTGTTAGTGTTACAGACATTATTCCGTTTTTAATTTTTAAAAGATATTTCTTTATTTAGTTAGTGGTACGACGGCATTTTTTTCGGGTCCTTTTTTTTATTATTTTTTATTTATATTGTTGAACGTATGTCATAAATTTAAACACTAAATTTATTTTTATTTAATGTTAGCGGCTAATGAATTTGAACTTGAAGAATTAAACAAATTAGAAACTCGTCTCAATTTGAAACTAATGCTTGGTTAAAAACACATTTCTAGTCCATCATACTATTGTAATAATACTATTGCAAAGTATTCAAATCGTGTTTTGATGCAGAATATGTACTGGAAGAAGATAAAATTTGGGACTACACCCATCAAGTGGGGGATTGCTCAGAATCCTATTCTTCCTACAAACCTTGAATAATGGATCAAGGATAATTTTCTTGTATTAAAAACTACACTGCATTGCAACAATATTTACCATATATTTTTTCATATCTTAGCTGATGAAGTCTTAAATAGAATCGAACCTTATAAAAAGATTCTCGAGAAATAACTTTGGAAAGATATCAATCATCATTTATTATCGCTAGAGAAATACATAGGTACAAATGTGCCGATTCAATTCATAATATCAAACATTGTCATTTTTTTACTACTAAACCGTGCGGTCCATTCAGAACAACGCCATTTTGAAATAAATATATCAATATAATTTTTCTGAAAGGCATTTTCCATTTTGGCTAGGAACAATTTTTTAGTATATAAAAGTTTTTCCATAACACTTTAAACACTGAGTCTTCTAAGAGTAACAAAATAGATTTCGGAAAGACACTCGAGAATCGTTTAAAGGTTTATTACGTATTAATGTCTCGTGTTTTATAAAATGCATCCAACCCTCATATTGGGATTAGAAGTAGTGTTTAAGGTTAATTTCCATTCTTAGTTTATTTTTATTAACAATACAAAGTTGTTTTAAACACAAAAAAAAAGAAAATAATGGAAAAACAAAAAGAAAATTTATTAAGAGTAAAGAGATTGTACATATACAGTAAATATTTAGATTATACAAATAAATGGATAGCAAGGAAGAAAAATTTTACAGATAATTTATTTCGTAATTGAAAATTTAGCGGGTGTACCGCACACGGATGAATCTGTCTTGAGGCAGACGTTAGCATAATAATTTTTGCCCTACTACCAACTGTACCGACTCCATTTTTTCTATAAAATGTGTAATTTATAATTTGTAAGTTGTGTAAAATAAAGAGATGTATAATTTTTACCTCTTGAGTGAATAAGACCTCACCCGCTTCAGATTTAATAGTAGCGATATAAATCTCTATTTTTATTATGTATAAATAAATAATTTATAAATTTTGTTCATTTTTTTTTTTAAAAAAAATAAATATAGTTATATATTAGTTATATTAGGAATAAATACTAACCATAAACTGAAATATTCGAAGACAGTGGCCATCAAAAGTATTGCATCACCCGATTTTTTGCCTTTAAAAAATTCTGCCTCCTGAACGATTGATTTTAGAACAATAGTTACTATACTCATTTTAATCTTTAAGTTTTGAAGAATTTTTAAAATTTTTTTTTGTACCAAATTAATAATGCTGATTTTTCGCAAATGGTGACATCAACAACTGGCACTTAGTAAAATTTCGATCAAAATTTTATATGGCACATCTACAGTAATGATCATCATAGGGTTGATCACCCCTCCCAATTGATATATCTAATTTCGTGCGTAATTCATTCTCAAAAATTGAAATTTTACGTATGAAACAGTAAAAAAAATATTTTATATGTAAAATTTCAATTTTTGAGAATGAATTATGCAGCAACCACCGGCCCGATCGGCACGAAATTCAATTCTCTTTGGGAGGGGTGATCAACCCTATGATGATCATTACTGTTAAAATTTTGTTCAAATGATCGAAATTTCTTCAAAACTCAAAGATTAAAACGAGTATAGTAACTATTGTTCTAAAATCAATCATTCAGGAGGCAGAATTTATTAAAGGCAAAAAGTCGGGTGATGCATACTTTTGATGGCCACTGTATATTGAAGGCTATTAACTTGCCAAGGGCCATAACCTGGGGAACTAATATGAATTACTTTAGTTGAAGCACGTTTGACCTCATCGACTGCTATTTCGGGTAAATACCAATGAGAAGAAAAGAGAAAAAACAATCAAAAATATGACGAAGGATCTCATTTTGATTTTATTTACGAAAGAATTATTAAATAGTAAAAGTAGTGAAAATAATTTGATGATAATTTTTTTTTTCACTGAGAAGATGGAGAAAGATGGTATTTTAAATTTTTTTAGAATTTTTTACGTGATTTAACGTGTTTACCGTATATAAAACAATAACAGTTGATATCAAAAGATATACTATTAAGTTCTCGCTAATTAATTCTTTCTCGGAGAAAAAAAAATAATAAAATATGGAATTTCCGGTTTTGAATTTAACATTCGATAATAGAACCTTCTCTTTCACTCATTTCAATCAATGTTTAATTATTTCTTATTCCCTTTGTTCATGGCTTAACCCGTAAATCATTTAGCAAAAAATGGATATTATTTCTGCATTTCCTACATGGTTATTTCTGTTAATTTTTAACTTTAATTTGGGATTGAATTTATTTGTCCGAATGTTTTAATATAATTTTATGAAACTCAAAATTTACAAAATATCAATAAATATCAATTAACAAAATTTTAGCAAAATCGCCCACAATTTTTTGCTTAGTAAAATTATTAGTTAGAAGTCTGACTAAACATATGTTAACATATTCTTATAAATAAAAATATAGAATATTTGTTATATTGCCTTGACAGCTTTAAAATCTGCAAATTTTGTAAAATTACGTAAATTTTAAGAAAATTTCATCTTTTTGATTTTTTTTTTTAATGTTAAATATCTCGAATTTAAAATATTTGCCCCGCATGTGTACAAATTATTCAGTAAAAAAAATATAACAATTAAGTTCTATAATCGGCATTAATCTTGACATAATCATAACTAAAATCACAAGTCCACATTTTCGCTTCTTCATTGCCAATACCTAATTCTACTCTAATTTCCAATTCTTCCATTTTCAATATTTCCAAAGCTCTTACTTCATCTACATTTTCTGGCTCACCGAGCGTAAGTAATTTTAAAGGAGCCGATCCATCGATGGGAATAAATGATACAGATACTTTATTCGGAATAATTGAAGAAACACCGGAATAACCGACGGCACAAAGAATACGACCCCAATTAGCATCTTGACCAAATAAAGCTGTTTTGACTAGTGCTGAAGTTGCAATTGTTGACGCAACTTTTTTAGCTTCGTCGAAAGTTGGCACTCCCTGTTTAAAGAAATTATAAATAGATATTAATAAATATTAATTAATAATAAATAATATAATAATAAATTTAATAAATATTTCCATAAATAACACGATATAAATAACAAATATTTACCTTTACGTGAATGGTTACAAATTTTGTAGCACCTTCACCATCTCGAACTATCAATTTAGCTAAATCGGTTGCAAAATTTGTAAGATCATCTCTAAATCTCAAAAAATCTTGTCCTTGTACATCATCGATAATCGTTTCTTTAGTAGCAGCAGCAGCTCCATTGGCTAAAATGGCAAATGTGTCATTTGTACTCATATCACCATCTACACTGATAGAATTAAAAGATCTATTAGCAGCATATTTGAGTGCTTCATTTAATGCAGGTGTGGAGATTGGCGCATCAGTTACGATAGTTGCCAATAAAGTCGCCATATTAGGATGAATCATTCCTGCTCCTTTAGCTATTCCTGCCATGCTATATGTTAATCCTGATGAAGGTAAAGTAAATTGACCTGATCGTAATTTAGGAAAAATATCAGTGGTCATAATAGTTTCAGCGACTTCCATCCATCCTTCGTGAGATCCATTGACAGCTTTTTCATGTGCAACATTTATTCCGTTAATGATCTTTTCAATTGGTAAATGTTGTCCAATAACACCAGTAGACATTACTAATGTACTTGTTTCTACATTAGTTAATTTTGATACTTCATCAGACATTTTTTTCGCATTTTCCATTCCTTTAATACCAGTTACAGCATTAGCACATCCAGAATTTATAACTATTGCTCGAATATCTTGACCAGAATTTTTATTTAATATTTCTCGTGACAATAAAACGGGAGCAGCTTTAAAAACATTAGTTGTGAATACTGCAGCGGCAGTGCAAGGTTTATCTGATACAATTAAAGCTAAATCTTTTTGCCCATTTTTTTTTACACCACAATGAACTCCTGCAACTTTAAATCCATTTGGATAAGTACCAGAAGTAGGAACTAAATGTTTTTTATTCTCTGGTATAGTAGTAGAGTTAGTTAATGTTCGTATTATATTTGTAATTACAGATGGATTTGGTGAATTTTGTAAATTTGACATTTTATTAAATTTTGAAAACAAAAGTTTTTGCGTTTTTAAAGATTTTATTAAATGCAACATTATAAATTTTATATTTTATAAATTTTATTTTAAAAAAAAAATTTTAATAAAATAAATTTGCGACCATTATATACATTTGTCATATATTTTTAGATCTTTATTTTTTGACATTAAAATCATGTGAATAAATATTTACTGCACTGCGTTATCATTGTTACACACCACAATTACATCAATTCATCAATCAAGTGACATATCATATATACTACGCAAGAATTGGCTTCTTTGTTCTTTACATTCCTTCGACATTGACGATCGGAAATTGAAGCCACCACATATAAGAAAATCTAATAACAAGAATTAAGTAATCGAATCGAGAATATCTTTAGTAAATTTGATTAGGTCTCAAATGAAAATTTAACATAAATTTCAAAAAAGAAAGATAGGCTTATGATAATCAGAGAAAATTAGAAAATCATCTTTTTATTTTATTACAAAGTCTATTCTATCAATTACATCTACTAAAGAGTAAAAATAAATTCTATTATAATTTCTATATATACACAATTATATTATTATTATTATCGTAAAGCGTGATGATACACGAAATTTTAGAAAAGAAGATATTAAAAGAATTAGATAATTACGAATCTATATACATTTTTTTAGATCTATATCACTAAAACGTAAAGATATTATTTATATGATTTCACCATAAATATTAAGAAGATATTAAATTAAAATCTATAAAGAATGAACAAGAATTTTGTTTTTGAATTGGAGTAAAAATTGATTTTCGTCCAAAATATGGAACGATCCGTTTTTCAAATGGCACGGGTCTTAAGTAATGCTCCAAGGATAATTTACCATTTTCGCTTTTACGGAATTTTTCAAATCTTTTGTTAAAATTTGTAAATTTTTTTTTATCTGAGGTAATCTCAAATGAACATGAATTTTTCTTAATGGTGTAAAAGTTTGTTCTAATGTGATATGATGGTATTTTTTGATTTTCATGAGGAATTGATTTTAAAATATTTTCTAAGGATAAAACAAAGAAATCTAATTCTTCATTTTTTGTGTAATCAACTTCAAAGTATCCAGAATCGCGTCTAACCATTTTTATAAATGAATTCAAATAAAGATTTTTATAGGAGTTTTAAATTTGTTTAAAGAAAGAAATTAATCGAATTAATTGAAATGATTTATTGAACTTTTGGACATTCTCCCGTGGTTTATATTTATAAAAATTTTTTATTACGATGACTTAATTCAATTTTGTCAAATTTTTATTTATTTCTAAATAATCATTTAACAAAGAGACGGAAATTTTTGATCTCGATTTTATCGCAATAATTGTAAAACTAAAAAGCAAAGTCCCAATCTAATCAATTGAAAAAAAAATTTATCGGTATCTCTTACCAATATTATTAAGATTTAAATTACATTTTTTTTTGTTAATTTAAAGTTTAAGAGCATTCATTATTGTTTTATTTGTTCCACGCTAATCAAAAAAAAACAATACGAATAATTTTTTAATTAATTAATAGTTACACATATAATACTTATAGTATGTGATTAAATGTATGATATATATATTGCATTTATTTCAAATTACAAAAAAATAATGATAAAATGTATAGAATAATGCACTGTATTGTTAAGTCCTGGTTGTTATGGTTATTATTAATGTTACATAATCATTTCTTTATCATTTTTATTATTATTTTTGTTATTAATTTTATAAAAACAGAATTACTTTTTTTAATTGCTGTATTACAATTTACCTATTTGGTTCATTATAAATATATGTCGGTTAATCGAACAATTTAATTACGTAAAGAATAAATTTTTATGTAAATTTAAGAATGTTTCAAAAAAAAAAAATTTTTTTTTTTAGTTTACTTGAGTTGTTGTGGAGTTTTTTAAACTTTGGAACGGAAATTATATCTACCCAATAACTTTCAACCTTATTTAAATTGTTTGTCAGTTTGGGTAGAAAAAGAAAGTAAAGGGATATTAGACTCTGCCACCATTTCAAAGACTGTTTTTTAGAACAACAATTTGTTTTACTTCAAATCCGAAAGCCCTCCAACCATGTCAATTAGAATTTCGACTCTAACCGTCATCATTTTCAATTAGAGTACAAATATTAGAAAATTATTGTCAGGCAAAGAATTTTCTTTTTTTTTTAAAAAAATTAAATATTATTTCAACATAGGCTAGGGTTCCGCAAAGTCGGATCGGATCGGATTTTTACCAATATTCGAATATCATTCTCGATCCGGATTCGTCATATACGGATCCAACTTTTTAAAATCCGAATCCGAATATTCGAATATTTTTTATGGAATAAAAAGTTAGCAATATATAAAATCGTCGATCGTTGACACATATAAAACTTTTTATTTTATAAGTGCATATCAGAAATGGTACTAAGTAACCACAAATACAAGAATGATTGCATATCATATAAAAAGAAAAGACTTATATCATCAAAATCGAGTGAATAATTGACATTTTAAAATTTTTTCCGTTTAATTTTAACTGTTCAGAATTCTCTCAATTTTAATTATATAGGTCTGTCCTTTTTACATAATAATGTAATTTTCTCTTGTCTTTATAGTTACTTAATACCATTTTTGACACTTATTAAAATAAAAAGTTTTATATGTAGCAACGAATGACGATTATTTTAATTACTAAAGTTACACTTAAATGGAGAACAAAATAATATTTATTTATTGTATCACAGGATTCAATCTATTTTTGGATTCGGATCGATTTTGATTCGCGGAACCCTATTTTTTTTGATATTCACACATTATATTGCTTGCTTCCATTAGTTATTGAATCTAATTCAGTAAGTTTGCCATTGAATGTTTATATACACCGCCATCACTTAAATTCGCGTGGATAGACGCAAAATAATAGTAATTAATTTAATTTTTAATTTCATGTCTTCGTATTTTGTTTATATAATATTGACAAGTTTCTAATTAAAGAATTTATGATAAAGATAATTTCAAAATTTTAATAATGATTTAAAGTTTTATCTTTTGATATTATTTAAAAGTTATATAAATTAGGAATTTCATATGTATGTAATCTATGAGTTATAGTATTCTGTGGCTAGGAATAAACTATTAATAAACTGGAATAAACTTATTATAAGATATTTTTTTTAAATACAATATATTTATTGATGTTGTTGCCTAGCTAAAAAAAGATCAAATATAAAGAACACGTATATTATAAACTTTTGTAATAGTTATTATTATTATTATTATTATGTATTTTTGAGTAAAGTTCATAAAAACGTTTCTTATGTTCTTCACATTTTTAAAATATATAACACAACAAGAAATAATTGAAACTAATTAACTAATATTTTAAATTGATTTATAAATTATAGAATTTTTTAAAATTTCAATATATATATATATATATATTTATATATATATTTAACCTTTACTAATTTTTATTAATATTTACCCTTCGCAAAATGTCTTTTTCTTAATATTCACCTTTTGTGTAATGCTTATAAACACCAAATATTAATGCGGTAGCTACAATTGAACCTAAAACGGCACCAACTGGAACAACATACTTTTTAAATCCACCTGGGCTAGATTCATTTTGGTTTTCTTCATTTGCATCTGTTGTGGGTTGATTAACACCCACTGTAGTGTAAGTTCCTTTACCATTATCATTATTATTATTAGTTGTGTTTTTTGGAAGACCGTAACCTTCTGGTGGCCATGATGTTGAAGAAGTTTCATCTAGAATAAAAATTAATTATTTTATATTTTAATTATTTTAAATAGATTGATGAATATTTTAATTAATTAATTTATTTATTTTTTATTTAATTTTAATACTTACTGTAACAAGTAACGTTTACCCAATCGACATACATAGTATAAAATTTATTGTCTGACCAATCAGTTGGGGTACCTGCCCAATCAGCAGTACCTGGAGCACCCATACCACCATCCCATATGGAGAATGCAACGCGTGACATTTCGGTAGGATATCTGCAGATGTTATCTGTAGCATTACAAGTATCTTTTTTATAAACGGTTCTCACAACTTTTCCATTGTATCCCCAGCTGGAATAATAATAAAAATATTAATAACAATAATATAAATTAATAATTCATAATAATTAATTTTAAATACTAATAATATTCAATAAAAATTTATACGGAAAATAAATGAAGAAATATTGATACCTAAGAGAATCAGCTTTCCAATCGATAAAGTAGGTGAAGTATTCGGCAGTGGTGTCAATTGCCACGTAATGATGTTTACCTTTAGTGTAATCTAATGTACCATTCCAATAGTAATTCGATTGTACTTCGGATTTATTCAAACCGACCCATTCATAATCAATTTCATCGCCGATCAAATCAGCAGTCTAAATTTTGTAATAAAATTTTGTTTTAACCAAATTTCATAAAAATGAAACAATTTTTTTTTAAACATATTATTTTTTTTTCTTTTTTGAATACTTACATTATTAGAAATAACCATAGATGACACTACACCTTTAGACAAACCAGCCGTCTTTATTCGAGCTGTTACTAAACCATATTGCATCCATCTAGTTGTACTAATGGTAACTCCAAATCCTTGATATTTACCAAAATCATTTGTTTTATTTTTATTTAAATACATATTCAAATTCAAATTACCATCCTTATCAATGGCATGATTATCAGGGACAAAATCCGAAGTCCATTTAAAAGAATTAGGATCGCCATTGTAATCATTAATACTAATAATTTGATCTTTTGAGAAATCATCATAAAAATTTCTACATCCAGGTTTGGGGTAGCACGACTTAGGGGAGAATGAATTTTCGGGTTGACATCCTTTAAAAATAATGTAAATAATTATAATAATAATAATTAGATGAATAAATTTTATTAATTTGATTAGAAAGAAAGAAAAAAGGATAATGATAATTCTTACCTGTTGAACAAAACGCTGGATTATTTGAACACCAACCACCATTACAACATGGTGTTTCTTCAGGACATTTTTTGCCTACATATTTGCACACCGCACTTACTTGACTGGCTAAAGTGACAATTGCGGAAGCTATGAATAATATCTAGAAGAAGAAAAAAATTTAGTCAGTTAAATTTTCAAACATTTTGTAGAAAATGATAATTATAATGAATAATAATGAAAATAATGAATATAATAAAATATACAGTTTAAATGTGATACCTTATATGGTCTCATATTTTAAAGATAGGGTAAGATAATAAAAAATATTAAAGAGAAGACTGATGAGAATAACGATATTAATGTTTTGAAATTTTTTCTATTGTATGATAATAATGGCTCCTTTTTTTTTCACCAATATAATATCTAACAGTAATAATAAAGAATGAAGGAAGGAAGGAAAGAGGAATGGAGATAAGATGAAAGAAGGAAAGAATTATTGTATAATGAATGATAAAAAAAGGGAGAGGGAAATGAAGGTGAAAAGCGGAAGTGTAAGAGATAGGGAAAGGGATAGGAGAATAAGAGGAGAGATAGAAAATTCAAGTTAGATTTATTTGTATTCCAACCAGACACACGCATTTCGTTGAGACAGACACGACATGATATTTGGAATAAAGAAACCAATGCATTCTTTACAATATAATTTATATTTTAAATTATATAATAAAGAATATATTTTATTATATTATATTTCAATAACGAGAATAACATAAATTAAAATTAGATAAATTAGGTCGAAATTAAATTTAATTCGATTTGTGGTGCGTTATTCGATAATTCATTATGCACTAATTTAAATGCACTAAACTATATTCAATTATGATTGATATACTTCTTAACTAGTAATCGAATTATATCTCGTTGTTTATTTTTGGCAAAATAAATTTTAGTTAGCGTAATAATAATTTATATAATGCATACTTTACTTTTTTTGGAGGGATTCCAAACAACCGGAAATTTCATTGGATATCTTTCTAAATTTTGAATCTGCTTTAGAAGATCTATGATACAACATTCAAATTCAGATACCAAAATAAAATACTCGAAATAAATTATTTATTTTAATGAAAGCCAAGAATCCGAAATATATATATATATATATATATATATATAAATAGGTCACATCTGGGTTTTGCTTAGCCAGTGAGAAAATTTGTACTTCGAAGCTTGCGCTTTATAATATGATTCAACATGTTAATTAGAGTAGAGTATCTGTTATACCACAGAAATTCTTCAATCTATTTTTACTTACGACAATTATTTAGTCAAAAGAATCAAAATCGTTTATATGTATCAATGCTAATACTATAGAAGTTTAAATTATTTTTTTAAAAAAAAATAGTATTTACTAATCTAGCTGATCAAAATTCAATAAATCCCACAATTCTTTTCTCAAAAAATCACCGGATAAAGAATCGACAAAAAATAGATCGATATAAAAAAAAAAAACCTTTCTAATTATAACATCACCACTATATTATTCTGTATTATAAATTTGTTCCCCTTTCCGCATCAGACCAATCCTTTCAAAACAGCATCAACCTCTTTTCAAACAGCACCAACCCTTTTTCTAACACATCTCGTAAAAACAATTAGATCAGTTACACCTCCCAAAATTGTCCACACCGTTTTTCAATACATGCATATGTGATCAAGATATTTATCGGAGAATTTCTGTTATCTATAAAAAGAAATTAAAGAAATTCGTTATTATTTAAATAATAATACTAATATAAATAATAATAATATAAATAATAAACATATATATAATTTAAATAAAGAATTTCCATATTATAAATGTTTTAAATGTTATAAATGTCACACTGCAGATTAAATCGTACGTGCCGTGCTTAACAACAAATAATTGGTATTTCTTTTTTTTTTCGGTGATCTATTTGTTATAAAAAAATATATTAAAATTTGCATAATTCTAATAAAAAGGATAAATATTACTAGTACGAGGCTTTCACGTACATGCATAAAATATGTATTAAATTTCTTGTAAAGAAAAATTCTATGAAGCATGCGTCTCAGTGTCTCGTATATTTTTCTTGGCTCTTTCAATGGTGTCGCCTTATCTTTGTTTATCATGTCATGTATTTTATCATGTATGTGTGTGATATAAATACATACAAAAAAGTTCGCGTCCACTAAGAATACCAAGAAAATACATTTAATTTTTGATAAATATTTCATTATACTGTGCATATTTAGAAGTAAATTTTATTGGAATAATCATTCTTGGTGATTTATAATTGTAAATAATAATAATAATAATAATGGGTCAAGGTTTATTTACTCTTGACATTTTCCTAACATATTTATTTGACACGTTTTGAAAATTTTGCCCGTTATACATATGCAGATTATAGATAAATCTTTTAAAATAGTCAAATAAGGGATTTTCCGAATCAACTACATAATTAAATCTCGACAAAACTCTCATTTGATACTCTTTGTACTCTTTAGATCAGGGAGATACTACGTGACAGAAAGTTGCATATTATGTATTATCCTTCTCGTGGTAATAGATTACAAATAACATACCTCTCACATTATCTTAATTACTGGTATTCTTCTTATGATCAACTGCGCCAGTTATTTCGATAGGAAAAAAGTTCCGAGTTGGATATAACCAAAACGTAACCAAATCACTTCTTCAACAATGACTTCAGTAAATAGTGAAATAAGATAAATTTGCATGTGCGACAAACGTAATAAAATTATAAAGAATTAAAAGAATTAGGTTTGTTTATTAATTGATGGTAAAAAATTTCGTTATAAAATATTTATTTTTTTATTTATTTTGCTTAATAAAACATACATTGAATAATTAGAGTAAATAATTTTTCTTATCATTAATATTTTTTTTGTTCAGCAAAACAAAAAAACAAAAGAAATCAAAAATGTTAAAAATGTAAAAATGTCAAAAGCTAATTTATTGAAAATCTTGATCTTTAGAAATGTTCCTAGCGAATTCAATTATAGAACGAGTTGGCCGTCCTGGTTATTACAAAATAATAAATTATTAATAAATTATTCATAGCAATTATAATTAAATGTATATATTATACAAACCAGTCATTCCTTTCACATCATATCCAGAATCTTGTGAAGTTATCATAACTCCTGCCATGTCAATATGAGCATAACGAATCTTTTTCTCTTTATCAGCATCCCCTAATTCCTTATCAATACTTATACTTCCTTCTCCTTTTTCTTCTCCCTTTTCATTATTATTTTCACCTTCTGTTGTCATAGTCAAACCACTTACAAATTCTTTTAAAAATATTGCAGCTATACATGATCCTCCACCTCTCTCACCAATATTTACCAAATCTGCTACTGTAGACTTTTTAAGAGATTTAATATATCCTTCATTTAAAGGCATACGCCAAAAAGGGTCATTTGTAATTTTTCCAGCATTTGATAATTTTCTCCAAAGTTTTTTAGAATTAGTAAATACTGCAGAATAAATTTCTCCTAATGAAATAAATATTGCACCAGTTAAAGTGGCTATATCAATCAAACTATGAGGTTTAAACGTAGAACTAGTATAGTATAATGCATCAGCAAGAATAAGACGACCTTCAGCATCCGTGTTATCAATCTTTAATTATAAAATCAAAAAGAAAAATAAATAAATATTTAAAAGGAATTACTTTAAAAGAATAAAATTTACCTCAATTGATTTACCATTCATAGCTTTAACAACATCACCAGGTTTAATTGCACGACCTGAAGGCATATTTTCACATAACGGAATAGTTGCCACAACATTTATTGGTAAACCAAGTTTAGCAATACCATAAAATGCTGATGAGACTGCTGCTGCACCTCCCATATCTCCCTTCATTTCTGCCATTTTTGCTGATGGTTTAAGTGAAATTCCACCACTAAAAATTATTTCACAATTGTTAGTAATAAATGTGAATGTTAGTGATAATTATTAATAATAAATTGTTAATGCGAGGAATAATTTAAAATACTCACGAATCAAAAGTTATTCCTTCAGAAATTAAAAATTAAAATTAAAACTAAAATTAGAAATTAAATTAAAAATTAAATTAAAAATTAAATTAATAATTGAAGCATAATTACCTTTACCAACCAATGCTAATGGCTTTTTTCCTTCTTCACCGCCTTTATAATGAATTTCTAAAAATTTCAATGGTTCATTAGAACCTTTAGCTACCGATAAGAAAGAATTCATCCCATTTTCTATCACCCATTCTTTATCATGAACAATAACTTCAACATTGGAAATATCTTTTAATAATGATTTGATTTCCTCCACAAAATGAGTTGGCGTCATATGGTTTGCGGGTGTTTCAGCAAGTTTGCGTGCATTATTTTGAGCAATTGCATAAATAAGTCCGGTATTCCATGTTAATTCTTCTTTTATTGAAGATTTGGATTCTTCTAATGACACACCAATTGGTTCAATATTAACTGGTGACTTGCGATTTTTTTCAGACTTTAAGCTATCAAAATTATACAATCCAAGAGTTGCACCTTCAGCAGCACCTAATACGAATAATAATAATAATAATAATAATAATAATAGGTTAAAGAAAAATGTGTATAAATAATATAATGAAGAATCCCCACAAAAATTATTCACACCGTGTTCATGTGTCATCACATCAACTCCAATATTTTTTGCTCCTATTTCGCGTAAAGAACGTACCCCAATTGCGGCCTTTGTTAAATATAATTATTTTAAAAAATTTTATTATAAATTTTGGAATATTCATTTAATTAATTAATTAATTCAGGTATAATTCAGGTATAATTTAGGTTACGTAAAAATTTCTACCGCTTTACGTGCTCTTTCCAAAGCTTGGAATTCTTCTTCATTATTGTTTTTATTAGTTCCTAATCCAACCACTGCTATCTTTTTTGGAATATCTTCACTTCCTCCAATACCATAAAATAGTCGAATTTCACCTAATTTTCCTTTGATTCCTGAAAACTGTAATTGCTCTTGAATATTTTTTTGAAGATTTTCAGGAATTAATTTGGATACTGAATCTGTAAGTGATCCATCTTTATAAGCACCAAAAACAACTCCATCAAAATTTGATAGTGAACTATTGTTTCTAATATTAATATTATTATTAATCCTCAGATTAATTATTTGATTATTTCGTATTTGAGTCTTATTGTAAAATGAACAAATAAATGAAGATGAAGAATTGTTTTTTATATTAAAAAATGCTTTTCGAAACATTTTGGGTGAACTAAAAAAAAAAATTTAAAATTGTTAAATCAGATTACGTAATTATTGTTTTAGAGATAATCTTAAATTATATTTTCGAGAAGTGACATGTCGATCAACTACTATTCTAAGAAATAATTCGCCATATTTGGTAAGGAGATGGTATTAAAAGTTCTTTTTATTAATCTTTTGGATAAGTTGATCCTGTTGATTTATCATTTCTTTTATTTCGTTTTTTATTAGAATTGTAGAAAGAACAGGTATCGTAAAATAATCAAACATTTTTTTTTAAAATACAATAGATTTTTAATAAATTTTTAAAATGTACAATTAAAGTTTTGGTTATTCCATTAATTGCTTCGTTTTTGATATCACCTATTGATCTTTTTAAATTCTTTTTCTTAATTGGAGTCATTGTAAAAGAGATTTATTCTTTCTTGTATCATTTGAAGTATTTTTTTTTTAAATATAGTAAATTTTTAATTAACTAAAAATTGCAATACTTTTTCTCGCGAATACCATGATTACTATTGTTGTTAAGAAAAGAAACAAGAAATTTATGAGAAATAAAAAAAATCAACCATATTACATTATCACATTATGATTACTGCACAAAAAATTTGCCGGGTAAAGAACTTTTTATGGATATTAATACAACACCTAACATTTCTCAGGCACAATTAAAGCTCTCAATCGGTTTGGTTTAATAATATGAAATATTCGGTTCGGTCCCGGTTTAGCAGTGAAACCGGACCGTTTAGAGAATCGGCAATTACTATCAAATAACTTTATTTTTCCAATATTAATATTCAATTTCTTAAATCTGGTTTATTACAGAAATAAAACTAGTTTAATTGTAACACATTCTGCGACATTTGTTGTTTAACCATATAAAAATAAAGATTACAAGAAAGCAAATAATATTCAATAATGTTTAAAAAAAATAATAATTTTACAGTATCAGAATCAAATCCCCTATTTTTTTCTGAATCAAATTGAATCAATATTATTTCCTTTTTCCTCTATCCAGACTATAATTTTAATTTTTTTTTATCTTATGTTTTTTGACAAGTACGAAAAAATGTTGGTCATTTGATTAATGTTATTAAATTGTTTTATTCTTTAATTTTAAATGGGTGAATTTTTGAAACTTTGTCATTTATTTCACGCCTCTGTTTGATGATCTCATGCTAGAATTGGACGCCGCCATTGCAAAAGGAGTTCTGGTTTGTGTAAAAGGTGCTAATAAAAAAAAAGAAAAGAAATTAATTAATTTGATAACGGATAGATAATAAGATATATTAACATTTTATTACCTTTATTTTGAAAAGTATTTATTTCATTACCATCTACCATTCTCCTTCCTCCACCACTACCATTACAACCATTAGAAGGATGATTAAAAGGAGTTTGCTCACGCATAATTGAATAATCAGCTTGTTGTAATTTATTATTATGATAAGTATCACGAATTTTTTCTTATCAATCCAATTCAATTTTGAAACGAAGATATATTTTTTAAATGAATAATTTCATTTTCGATATTTTAAAATAAATGTATACATATATGCGTATGTGTATTTTACCTTGACCATTTCCCGAGTTCCACGTTTGCGTTCTATTATTGTTCGACATTAAATTATCTCCGTATAAACGTTGCTAGTTATAAACAAAAAAAAAAACATGAAATATTATTAATTATTAAGATTATTATTATTGTTATGAATGTGATTGAATATATATAACATACGATAGGAACACCACTTTGCCTTGTTCCTATACCAATATTTCCGATACCAGTAGTAGTATTATTTATCGTTTGTTGTATCGTTGGAACTAACGATCGACGTTTTAACTTATCATACATCGACTATTAAATATTTAAATTAATTAAAATATAAAAATATAATTATATAAAAAAAAATATAAAATGCGATATAAAAACCTGTAGTTTTGAAAATTGTCTTCCTTTTTCTTGTAACTGTTCTGCTAAGTCATGACTTTTCCGTTTTTCAAGTTCCATATCTTTTGTTAATGCTATGTAATTTGATATATTTTTATTAAGAATGTTTTTGAATATATTTGAAAATAATTTTAATATTTTATAAATATAATTATTTATATATATGTATATATATAACCTTGAACTTTCGCTCTCAAAGCTATTATTATTATTATATAAAAAATAATAACAATAAACATTAGATAACATTGGAGACGATAACAAATAATAATAATACAAAAAAAAAAAAAAAAAAAAAAAAAAAAAAAAGTAATAATACTTGTAATTTCAACTTGAGCATCTCTCATTATTCCTTGTACTTGTTTCTCCAATTGTGTATACTTTTCTTCTAAACTTTTGTACATTATTTCTTGAAAACAAGCTTCTTGAGTTGTTTGATATGTCCAAAATGATAACGCTCTTGAACAAATTTCCACTATAATGTCTGGTCGTAAACCCGAAAGAACAGACTAATAAAATAAATAGATGAAATAAATATTTATTTATTTTCAATTAATTATTTCTCGTAATGGAAAATCAATATCAGTATTATTATTTTTATTATTTACCGACTTGTAGTCTTCGCTTGGGGTAAGATCGGCAAATACAATGTCATCACTAAAAGAAAAATAATATTCAAAATAATGATTATTCAATCTAAAAATATATTCTATCAAAATTTATAAACCTAATCATTTTACTTTCAAGCATTAAAATTTAACATAATAAGAATAATTTATTATTGAAAAAAAGCTACTCTCAATTGGGTGAACGAACTTTTCTGTAAGACTAGTTTCACAAGCTGGACAGACCAAAGCCGACGTAAATGAATTATTAGCACAATCCACTATAATATATATAATATTATATAATTTTTTTTTAATGTCAAGAAATGAATTCTTTTTTCGTCCATTATTAATGTGAAATTAAAAATTTATTTCTTTATATACCACAAAAAATATCTGAAAAATAATGATATTTTTTTCAATATGCATATGAAATGAGTAAAATGAGCAAAAAAAAAAGGAATTAGAAAATAAGAGGAATAAAAAATTCTCATAATTAGATAATACTCTTACGCGAACACGTCGTTACGCAGGCGCGACCTTCATTATTTAAAGCTTTACGACATTGCACGACGTTGCATCTTAAATCCGCTTCCATGGTAATAATATGATGATGAACAATTTATTGTATAATATTGTGTACATATAAATTGTAAACCAAGTTTACACTATTTAAACGGTTTAACCCAAGAAAGCAAAACAGAAAATCAAAAAAAAAAAACAGAGAAAAAGCAACAAAAATGATAATAATGTAATATCAAGAAGAAAGAAGATGAATTCAAAGTTTATTTTTTTAAATTATATTTTTCATATAACTTTTATTAAAGTTTCAATAATTAATATATCACGCTTTTTTTTACATGTGAAAATTACAGTTTTCATAAATATTTCTTTGCTCTCAAAAACTAAAGGAAATAACACATGATTGAGGATTAATCTTTTTGTGCCACTTATTTTCACTTCTTCTATATAAGGGAAGTTTATGTAACTTTCACTTTCACAATTTTATTATTATATAAAAAAATGGTGAATTTCTTTCTTCTAATTAATAAACAAGGACAAACACGATTTTCTAGATATTACACTAAAAATCTCATGAAAGCCGAAGAAAGAGTTTCAATGGAAGCCGAGATTGCACGAAAATGTTTGAAACGTAGTGATAATCAAGTAAAATTTTTTTTATTTTTTATTTTAATAAATAAATTATAAAATAAATAAATAATAATAAATTCGTAATTTTATTCTTTTGATGAATAAAAAAAGTGTTCTATATTTGATTATAACCAATATAAATTAGGTAAGTTATAGTAAGTTATAAAGAATGAAAGAAGTTCTTTACTAATGGACATTATTCTATATACATTATATTATTATAGCTTATAGAAGATATGCCTCATTATTTTTTATTATAGGATTTGATGATAAAGAGGTTAATAATTTTAATATTACAGATTATCTGAATTATATTTGTTATATATTTTATATTATATATTTGTATATAAATTAACATAATTTCAATAATATTATTAGAATCATTTCTCAATACTAGAACTGGTTCAAGCATTTGTTGGTAAGTGTAAATTTAATAAGCAAGATTATAAATATAATAATAATAATAATATTATTATTATTATAATACTAATTTATTAGAAATATTGAATACTTATTTTGAAAATGTGGTATGTAAAAATTATAATTTCTATTTAATTACTTTAAATAATCTTAATTAATTTTAATTAAATTTAATTTTATTTAGTGTGAATTGGATATAATGTATAACATAGAAAAAGTTCATATTGTTCTTGAAGAAATGATTGTAAATGGTTGTATAGTAGAGACCAACAAAAATCATGTATTATCTCTAATTATGGACATGAATACTAAAACTTAAATTAATCAATAACAAATTAAATAAATAATAATGCAGTTGATTTTACAAATCAATATTTGGTTTATTTTTGAATTTTTTTGTTGCTCTTGTAGCAGATCTAAATCTAAGTTGTTCCCCATATAAAGTAAACATGTAATCTTTTAATTGAAATGTAAATACACTGTGACCCTTAGGAATACTTTTCAATTTATTATCTTTGGTAATTAATTTGAACATATTTTCAGTTTCTTGAATATTTATTCCTGTAATACCAATATATGAAGCACATCTTGATTTAGATACTGGAAATAAAATAAAATAAATAAATAAAGTTATCAGATAATGTGATAATAATGATAATAATGATAATAATGACAATAAAGTAATCAGTATAATTTTTAAATTTTACCTGTAAATAATGCACCATGAAAATCAGCTTTTAATAACTTTTGTGCAAAAATTGCTGGACTTGAATTTCCATAAAGCTCTTCCATATATTGAAGCCAAAGTTCATTCAGAGGAATAAAAAGATCATATCTAATAAAATGAATATTTTAGATTAATCAATTAACATTTGCATTATTTAGATTTATATTTTATTATCTTACTTGTGACATTCTTCGGGAATTTCATATATTTTTGTTTCTTTCTTTTCTTTGGCACTCATAACTTTAACTTTCTTTTTCTTTTGTAATTTAATCCGTTTTTTCTTTTCTTCTGAAGTTTTTAAAGGATTATCAAGTAATATTACTTTGCCTTTTAATTTTGAAACATATATTTTAGCTGGATCCTTAGTTGATGATTCTATGGAATTCATAACAAAATTTGGTACGAATTTTTTGGTAATTTCAGAAACTAGTGGTTGTCTCTATAAATTAATTTATTATATTTATTATTTATTGATTTTATTCATAAAAGTGTATGGAATATATGAACAACAGTATAAAAGAAATATAAGAAATAATATACTTCATTTTTTGCTTCTGGGGAATCTTGGATATCTTTTGGAAGATTGGAATACAAATTATTAGACATTGAAAATTTTACAAAAAAAAAATTTGAGATAAATAAGATAAATACTATTAAATCATCACAAATTGTCATAAATTACAAATTATCACAAATTACAAATTATCACAAATTGTCACAAATTGTCACAATAGTATGTGATATTCCATAATTATAACTATTTATATATTTATTATATAAAAACATATCATCACTTTGGTTTTCTAATAACATAATATTATTAGATCAAGAAAGTAGTTTAAACAATACAAATAAAAATACACAACCAAATAAATCAAATGAATCTAAGAAATAAATAAATATCCAATAAATAAGTAAATAAATAATTAAGAAATATTAAAAAATTGGTATATAATTATTAATTTTGTCTTTTTGTTGTTGACTAATACATTCAGCAATCCATACAATGTTTCTAACTTCTTGTTCTTTCAATTTTAAAAATGCATAAAAAATAGCGTAATGAAATTGTTGTTGAAAAGAAAGTTTGTTTAAATGTACTTCATATTCAAAAAAATGATCATCTAATGTTTTAGCTTCACTTGTTTCAGTTCCACCAAAAGATGTTAACGTGGTATCAAAGAATGGACGATATTCCTAAAATTTATTAAAAATTATTAAAATTAAAATTATTATTATCTTAATTATAGAATATAAAAATTCTAATTTTATATATCTTAATTTACCGCCCAAACTTCAACACTAGATTTAACTTGTTCAACATCATCTGCTCGTTCAAGTTTTGCTTGTCCATCGGGATATAATTTACCGAAACTTGGAAATAATTTTGCACGATCATATCGTGATAATTCTGTACCAAAAGAGTTTATAGTAATATTGATAGTACGACGATCTGCTTCAAACTATTATCAGGAAAAAAAGAAAATGAAAATAAAGATAAAATAAAATAAAATAATAAAATAAAATATGAAAATAAAAATTTATCTACCTCCAAGATTCCACACATTATTTCTGCAGTTACACCTCCAAGATCTTTACAATATCCATAAAAATCTTCAAGATATGCTTTATATAAAGTATTACGAATTATCTCAATATTTAATTCATCAATGTCATTAGCTGAACATTTCTCGAAATATGGTGCTATAATAAAATTCAAATATAATAATAATTTAAAATCTGAACTAAAATAATAATAATAATTAAAATAATAATAAAAAGTAATAAGATAAATTTATTACCAAGTGGAGTTTCCACCATCACAGTTTCATAAAGTTCTTTAACATTTGTAGCGACACATAATGCAGGCATGGAATCAAATACTCCCAATGGATGACATCGTTCCAGTAATTCATTAGTATCACGTTCGTGTAAAGTGCCCGTTATTAAAAGTATAACATTATCAATCATGTATGCATAACTAAAAAATTTATTAAATTTATTAAAAATAGTTATTAAGTTATTTCTTTCGTTATATAATAAAAATATTTACGTACGTCAAATATTCCATAAATTTGGATAATGGTTCAACTGCATTACTTTGAACATATTTGAACTCAGCAACTAATTTTTGTGTTGCCTTTTCGTTTATAGTTGAAGTTGAAATGGGTGAAGGTTCATTTGCCAAAAAGTTACCATAATCTGTTGCACTTAATTGAAGTTTTAAATCTGAATAATATTATAGAATTATTGTTGTTGAGATATTTATTTTTAATTATTTAATGAACAATTATATAACATTTTCTTGTAATATTTACCGTCCAAAGTTTCACATTGGGTAAGATTTAAGTATTGTGTGGAATTTAATATAGCGCTCTTATAACCTCTCACAATACCTTCCAGATAACCATCGTTAGCATTAAAGTATAAAGGCTCCATGGTGATTTGTGAGTTAACAATTTAACAATTGATGTTTTTATTGATTTTAGATGATTTTTAACTGATTTTTTAGATGAAGATTTTCTAATTTTCTAATTTTGGAAGTTACAGATATTAACAGAACAGATTTTCATTTTAGCGAAAGTTAACAGCTGACAATATCGCCTGACCAGAACTTCGGGATCAATTTTCGACTCTCGAGGTTGGTCGTTTTTTTTTTGTGAAAAATTATTATGTGCGAAAAGTTACACGGAGAAATAACTCTGGAAATTCATTTTTTTTTCTTATGGCTTATTATCGACGTCGTAAAAGTAAAGATAGCAAACCATTTATTAGGTTTGCATAATTTTTAAATTATTAAATTACATAAACTTCATTCTATTTTTTTTTATTATATAATATTATCTCAATTAGAACCAGATCAAACAATAAATGAATGCAAAAGAAACTATGAAAAAGGTCGTTGTAACCCTGAAATAAGGCCATATCGTCAGAAGTAGTTTTTAAAGAATTGGCTTATTTATTCTTTGTGAAGTTTTCAATGAAACTGTGAAAACCTTAATCAACGGATTTCCGTTTTTGAAAGTTTCACTTTTCTTAGGTGCCTGTTTATTATTATACTTCAGTTCAAAGATAGCTTTTCTAATAATTTCTTTTCTTTTACATATTTTACATACTTTTTTTACCTAATTATTCACACCCAAATACTTCAACAATGTATACACCAGTATTATCCAGTATTATCCACACAACCTCAAACCATCATTTATGAACCAATTTCAATAATTAAAATTTATTATTATTAAATGTTTGATTACAACAAAAGTTTATTTAATTGTACAACGGTGATATGAAATAGATTGTCTCTTTCGTTTTGTATAATATGGTAAAATTCTTCTTTTTTTAAAGTGTACTTCAATTAAGAATTGTTTTTACATTATATATTTGACTCAATTTGACATTTATTAAATTTACCGCTTCGCCAATATATCCAATCTTGACTGCGGAATTTGTGTATCGTTTTTATCACGATTAGACTTGTAACTTTTGCTTCTCTTTGCTGATGGAAGAATCGTTTCTATTAACCCATATATGCCTTTATATGCCTATATATGCCATTTCATTGTCATCCTTTATTATAGACAAAATGGCATTATTTACTACACAACTTACTAATTTAGAAGCAAAAACAAATAATAAATATATAATCGTTAATTGTTTTTCTCATTCTTTTTACAAGTAAAAATGAATTGTACTGTATGTAAAAAATCTACAATCAAGCGCTGTTCAAGATGTAGGGTTAAGTATTACTGTAGCCCGTCGTGTCAAAATAAAGACTACTCCAGTCATAAGCTCGACTGTACTCCAAGGTCTGCGGACATTCTTGTTAGGAATGTTTTTGATGATATAATGCTCACGAATGATGCAGTGCTATATGAATATGGTTTATTAACTGCATGGGCAATCGCCGGGATGAAACGAATCTTTTAGGCTTGTATATTGGCCTTATTAAAATTATAGGTTGCAGTGCTGAACAAATTCATTCATGGTGGGAAAAGGGCTTAACATAAAAAAGGCATATGATGATGCGGGCGCTACTAGCGAATACTACAGTTGGTTTTTTAAAAAATGAACATTTGTTGCAAGATTTACATAAATATGAAGGAGAAAAAACTGATAAAGTTTTATCTTTCTGAACGTGATCAAACAGTTTTCATCAAATCTTTTCCAGAATCAAAGCGTAAAGTTATAGCTTTTTTTCAATATTATGGTCACTGGATGTATGCCAAGAATAGAATTTCAAATGTGGATTGACTTTGGGTTTTGTTCTTGTAAAGTATGTAATGACTACTTAGGAGAATCAGAAGAAAGAAAGTTAAGTGATTTGTATCAGGAACTTATCATTCAAAAGGACTGTCAAGGTCGATGAATTCCATGAAGCCTACTTGTCTGGATCAATAGTGGATTTATTGAAGAAAAAAATGTAATAACTGGAGTTGACTAATAGAAAACAGGATAGAAGTTTGTGGATATAAACAACCAATCAAGTCTGTCTACTACCTCAAACAATATGTGCTGAGTGAATTTTTAAGTCTCGAACTTTCTGTGAATGTAGATTATGGATTTATGAATTGTCGTACAGATGAGATTAAAAAGCTCCGAAATATGTATAAGAAATTATTCGAAACTCTTCAATTTGATCCTCAGGATTTACACGAGGCCTGTATGGCAGGAAAAATCTTCAATTATATCAGATCAATTCTTCCTAACGAAGTGGTAAATGCTAATCTTTTAAAAAACCCGTATCCATTGCGTGATTATTAGTGATTATTAGAAATAATACACATATTCTCTACTCCAAATATATATATATTTCTCTTTGCATTCCTTATCAATTTTTAGTATTTATAATATTATTTTTTTTAAAAGCAATGAATATTATTTTGTATTTTTATTTTATAAAGTTATTCTATATTTACAAATGACACAGTTTCATATCTCAGCTTCAAAATTGGTTTTGAAAAATAAAGATAATTTTCGCAAATTAAAACTGTAAGTTTAATATTTTTAGAGCCAATAATCGTAGTGAAATTTTTTGAAAAACGAATATAAACATTAAACTGATACAATTCAGATAATAAATCAACCATTCTTTCTATGAAATTCGTTCATATCAATATGCTTTTCCTTTAATGACACTATAATTAGGGGTGCGGACATATAAAATACAACACTTCTACGCTTATGACGTGCCGTAATTAAAACTTTATGTCCGCACCTCTTCTATAATTTCCATCGATAAACATTCAATCGTAATAATCATTTAACAAGTAAACATCTTTTTATCAGAAAATGCCAGTATTTATCAATAATAAAATTTTAGTTTTTTTACTTTTCGACTTTTAACTACATTTATTACAGTATTAGATAGTATTGGAATGGAGGAAAAGTTCGATGTTTATCTGTTTTTTGCAGTAATTACAAAAGCAAATTATAACGTACACATACAACTTATACATTGTTCATTATCTAGTGGTGCTCCAAATCATGACCTGACTTATACTTTGACTTTACTATCTAATATCAAGTTTAAACTAGTTATTATAAAGAAATCAACTCTCTTGTCCTTGCCTTGCTGTGCCGTGCTGTGCTCATCATCTTGACCCACTGCTTCGTTTTACGCGGGTATCGTAATATATTTTTTATAATATATATGATGTAATGTATGTATATGATTATCTGCAATAAATTTTCGTGTGACCAATAATTATTGTTTATACAAAAATTTTTTCATCAGTTAAATCAGTTAATCCTTTTTTTCTTAAACATTTTTGTTCGCATATTTTTTTTCAAAAACTTTCCTTCGACAAATTAAAAATTATATTTCTTTCTTTAATAAATTATCACATCAGTAGTTTTTTTTGTCAAATATTTTGTGTTATTTAATATTTCTACTTATTGTTCTTGGGTCGTATACATGATATCATGAGAATTTTCTATAATTTTTGACCACCAAAGACGGTTATAATGGTTTGAACTTCATTTTGTTCAGTAGGTTCGATTCCTACAATAACCATTACTGGGGGCAAATTACTTGGGTTTCCGCTGTGTAGGGCACAACCTTAAGTTGGGATAAAATTCTAGGTTTCAGGTTAGACCGGTCTTTGCACTGGAGCTCGAACTAATTTGGGAGTAGTCAACTAAGTTGTAACGAGTTGTAACATTCACTCTTAACCTCTAAAAGCTACTGATTCCGGAGAAGGAATTGGTTGGTCGTCTACTCACTCCCCAGGGGTTTTAAGTAGCTTTTCCAGAAAAGAATAAACGCTTCACAGGGGACTCTATATGTATGTTAATTTTCTCACACTTTTCATAGGACGAATCTCACATGTGTAATTCCTTCTCCAAAATAACTGACGCTTATTAAAAACATACTCTTAACTCCTTATAAAAACCCCACACATTATTCTGTTTATGTATATTGTCCCCTGGGGTACACAATGGCCTTTATAACTCGATGTCGTGGTTTCTTTGAAGTTCTTCTACGCTAAAAAAAGGTTCCAAATGGTTTAAAGTCTAATGTTTCATTATTCTTTAGTAGGTTCGATTCCTACATGGATCCAATTTTTTTTTCATCCGTATTTTTGTTATTCTTTTTTTTAATTATAAGTGGGGAATAATTCATTCTAAGTCCATTTTTTTGAACGATGGATAAGGTCTTGTGATAAATTTGTCTTAAACTAATTTTCTTGTGGCGATGGGTATGTCTCGCGATGGACATGTGCTTTTGTCCTAAGCCCATTTTCTTGTGACGGCGAGTTATGTCTTGTGGCGGACTGGGCACTTTTTGTGATTCCACATTTTTTATGTTCCACATCTACACCATTTATTGGAAAGTGTAATTCGCTATTGACGAATGGATTTAGTTTAACTTATTTATTTCTTGTAAAATTCAAATTAAAACTAATTCGAGTTGGATCAAGCAACACTATATAGTTGATATAGAGATGAGGTATGACTTACAATACATGAGTTATATATTTAATTATATTGTTATTTCGTTTTATTGCTTAGCTTGTCAACGAAGTTGCAAAATGATTTTTATTATGTAAGCGAACTACTAATTGCTTGTCTCTTTTTTTTTTATTTTATTTTTCAACAAAGAAATTTACTAACTGCTTGTCTTATATTTAAAACACAATTCATGACCTTTCATGTGAACATCCATATACTGTGTTCTCTGTGAAGTTACGAACACAAGTGTATAATAAATATAATAAATATTTATCTTTCGGTTATTATTAATTAATCCGGATTATTATATTCAATAACCATGGAGGATTTCATCTCGAATAAGTATATGGAAGGCTCAAAAATTAGTAGATAAAAAATGCTGTATAAATTCTGTGTAACTATATGCGAAAATCATCCCTAAATGTGGCAATCAGAAAATGAAGAAATTGGTTTAACTTGTGCTAAAATTAAGTTAAAATTTTATTATGATATTTTCGATAAATACGATACACGAATTGCCGTCAACTATCATTTGTTATTAAGCAGGTATCCTTTTCAAAATGTAAACGTAAGCTTCTTCAAGAGGTGGCTGTGAATTCACAACTTTATCATCATTAAATAAAACCCATTTTTGATCCTTAAACACATGAGCAACGTAATGGCCACAATGAACAGATGTCCCTTTGTGAGATATAATACTCTGAAGTTGATAATTGGCAGGAAACGAAGAATCTGAAAATTAAAAAAAAAAAATTTTAAATTTCGTCTCTCAATGCATGCATCCAATGATAAATAATAAAATAATAAATAACCTCCAAATGTATTATTAATATTCTCTTGTTCTGAGAAACTTTCTGTAAAATCTTCTGGATGACTAAACAACCATTCTACCGCTCGCTCCACATTATTGTTCTACAAAAGAAATAAGAAATGTAAGTAAAGTCATAAATCAGTAATATCATGAATAAATAACAAAAAAAAAAATAAGAAATATAATATCTGTCAAAACCAACAGTTTCAGCCAAAGCCTTCTTGACTTGAGCTACTTGAAATCCCATTTCAGTAAGCTGAACAATGTCACTTTCTGATGGTACTTGCTGATTAGTTGAAGTAGATCCCCCAGTAACAATTGGAGAATCAATGTCTAAAAATAATTAGGTTTTAATTATTATTATTATTTTTTTTTTTAATATTAAATTAACCAACAAATACATCGAGTTATAGATTTCAAATATACCAGGATCATCCATATGTTCAAATAACCAATTCATCGCAACTTCGGATCCGATATTACCAGTAGTAATCAATGCTTTCTTACATCTATTTTCCGGAAATCCCATCAAAAGTAATTGATTCAAGTCCATTTCATCTAATATGACCCATTTTCAAAAATCATTTTGTGTAAACAATTATTATTTGTGATATTATTCAAATTAAAAATTAAATTAAATTCATACCAACCAACTGATATTGATTCACCAGATGATGATGGTTCATCGGGAAGTAATTCTTCATTTTCTGGTTGTTCAGGAGCAATATATTTATCAAGATTAATAAGATCTTGACTAAAAATAATGGGAACACCTAAAAATTTATATATTATATATATTGATTAGAGAAAGATAAATAACAACACAACGAAATTTAAATAAATAAAGAAAAAAATGAGACTTCATTATCTCACTTATTTTGCGTGAAACCCAATTTTCAAAATCAAATCTTCGTGTATGAACAACAAGGACTTCAGGAAATGTCACAAACCTTGTGTTTCTGTAGATAGAATTAAATTAATTAATAGATATACATTGATACTAAAAAAAATGAATTGAAGATATAAAAATCCTTACGTCGCTGCATTTGTCTTTCGTTTGCAAGCTGGGCATGAATATTCAATTATTGCGTCGCCTGCAAATGATTCTAAGCATTGTTCAAAAGTAACTGGCTCATATATTTCTTCACCACTATCGGTTTGGATGGTTTTTGTAGGTACAGGAATTGAAATGTGTGATTCGGTGGTGGTTTGATATCGCACCCTTTTGCATTCCAAACATTGAAGACGTTGTTTAGCGGTAAATTTAAATGCCCTGGTAGGATCTTTTTCCGGATTATTATGTTCTTTACGTTCAATTGTGGTAATAAGATGTTGAAGAAATTCAAAAGCATCCTAAGTGTAAAATTTGCGTGCCGAATTAGACGAACCAGATGAATTAGGTTCTGTTAATATATTAAAAGAATAACATTATATAGTCAAACTGTACCTGTTGTCGCATTGTGGAAAATTCAGAATGATCTTTTCCAATAAGTGCTTTAAACATGTTAGGAGCTATTCCTTCTTGACCACGATTGGTTTTCTCTTCATCAACTGGTTGAATAGGTTGTGAATAACGACCACTTAATAACCCATCAGCAATCTTATATAATTGACATTGAATACAATTTGCTGGATCCAAACAACTAATTTGGTGTTCCAAAGAAGTAGGATAATATCTTTTTTTTTTAATTAAATTTTTAAAAATTTATTAGTTTTTGAATAATAAAATTTTTAAATAACAACAGGAAAATATAATATTTACCTCTTTTGAAAGGAATCAAGAGAAAACACGGATTGCAAAACAGATCCCATATAACAACTTTTATTATAAGATTTAAATTAATAAATTAATAAGAATAATCATTTAATAAATTTAGTAAATTGTAAAATAGTCGAACCTGTTACCCAAATTTTTAATACCAGTATAACCTGGTCCAAATAGAGGTTCCAATTCTTTACCATCCTCAGTAACCATACTGAAATCATACTTGAGGTTTTCTTCAATTTGCTAGAAATCACAAATTTTACCAAATTTTTTAGAATATTTCTATTTTGAAGTTAAATTTTTATTGAAGGGATTTTTTTAATACATACAAGTTCTGTCATATTTTTCTCCGTCTTTTGCTGTGATTTAACGTTAATTCCAAAGTTAGACAAGTGATTTTCCAAGAAAGGATCCAATTTCGAATCGTTGCATAGGTAACAATATATATCTAAATTAACAAACATGTTTAATGTCTTTCTTTTTAATACATTGCAAAAAAGATATATACACATATATATATTCGAATCACGTCTCACCTGCTGATCCCTCGGGAGTAATAGTACCCAATTTACAACTTATTGGATGACTAGTGTTTTCGAAATGAGCCAAGCCATGTCCATTTCCACCAACTCCACCAAATTGTTGACGTCCACAACCGAGATTTCCACAAACCAGGCATATCCAAAGATTTTCTTTTAATTCACAATTATTACAATGCGCTAAAGCTTTTTGTATAATAATAATAATAATTTATAAATTTAATTTATATTATAAATTTATATATTTCCGTTCATTGCAAAAATCTCTTAACGTACCCTTTGATTCTAATTCCTTTGGAGAATCTTGTATCAAGTTTCGCGCGTGTTCACATTCTGTAATTTCTTCTTCCCATGCTTTAATTTCTGATTTCCTAGCTGCTGAAACTGAATTCATCACTGCATCGATCACCAAAGGTAGCTTATTTAGGCATTTTATAAATACAAATAATAAGCATAATAATAAATCGGGGAAGAATTTTTTTACTAATTTAAGTATCAATAACCTACTTCTCCAATTGTCTTTTCCACCTCAATCCCACCACAAGAATAACATTTTACGTAAGTGACGTATTCATATTTTTTTTCCTCATCTTCAGGAACAATTGCAAGTTTGCTAATCTTTTGAGGTGGTTCTTCATTTTCGTCAACCTTCGAAACATTGCAATATATTATAATAACGTCAAGCGTTAATTAATACGATAATATGATAATAAAATTAATATTAAAATCTCAAATATGATATTGATAAATACTCTTTTAGGTTTATCTTTGATTAAACGAAGAATAATTAAGACTAATGGGTGGTTTGTTTGTCCATAATGAGTTCGAGCATGTTGTCGTTCTGGACTATTACAACCGGCGTTGAAACAAGTCAAACACACCTCGATTCCGGGAGCCAAATTCTAGTAACCAAGCACATTAATATCTCAACATTCTTAATATTCTCAATAATAATTCTCAATATTTGCTTGTCTTTTTTTTTAAAAAAAATTTTGAGTTTAATGAAACCTGTGAATCAAAACAAAGGGTGCATTCTTCCTTGTAGACTAAAGTAGTAGCTGAAGGTATTTTAATACTGGAAACGTGTGGGCACACCGCCATCTTAATGATTTGAGATCAAATGAACAATAACTAAACGAAGCTACTTCACGTGAAGATTATATCGATATCTATATATATGTGCACCCTGGATATCAATATGTGCACATGATACATCATCTCTTTATAATCATCCCGTGATAATTTTTTAAACTTTGCTCTTTTTCAATTATGACCAATATTAATCTTCCCAACGTTCTTCCAATTGTTCCGATTAGAAATAGAGTTTTACTTCCTGGCCTACCCATTCGTCTTCAAATAGGCCGTAAAGACACGGTATTGCTTATGCAAAAAATTTATAAAGCTGCCGATAACAAAGAATCAAAAAACCTTATCGGTTGTGTACCAGTTAAACCCACTACTTCGAAATCAAATCCCGACGAAAATATACCTTCTCCTGATTCCCTTGGTTCTCTTGAAAGTGTTTCCCCGAAGAAAGCTATCGAGCAAACATTTGATCAATCGAATCGTTCGTCAGATTTACACAATTATGGTTGTGCAGCTCGAATTATTCGTCTGGAAAGAACTGTTAGAGGAGGTTTCACAGCTGTTGTCGAAGGTATGTAAGCAAAACTTTTTTTTTTCTCTTATTTGATGCTTGTAATATATTTCAAATGATCGATTTATCTAATAATCACGCAATGTTATTGATATTACCAATATTACAGGGATTGCACGAATTCGTATTGATAGATATGTCTTCGAAAGACCTTATCTCGAAGCTGAAATAACAGTCTTTCCTGAACCAGGTATTATAAGTCTCATTTAAGTGAATTACACGTTTTTTGTATGATATTTCTCTTTACCATTATTCTTCTATTTCATTAATTCTATAAAAGTTTTGTTAATGAATTCATATATATATATATCTATCTATCTATCTATCTATCTATTTATTTATTTTTTCTTATAGCTATTCCACATGATGATCAAGAATTGCAAGGATTAGCTGTTTCTCTAAAGGCTACTGGACGTGAACTTTTAGCGATGTTGCAAGATTTGAAACTTCCCACTCCAGTTTTGACTCAACTTCAAAAATTTATTGATGGTGCTTCTGCCGGAGCTCTAGCGGATTTGTTAATTATTACAGTTGAATCATCTTATGAAGAAAAATTGGTATATATTTATTTATTTGTAACAAGTTTTATTTATCTTGATATATCTAATTCATTAGAATTGCTTTTATAGAAAATTTTGGATGCTCATGATTTAAAGACGCGAATTACGACTTCTATAGATCTTCTAACCAGGCAAATACATGTACTGAATTTAACATAATATTATTTATTTTTATTTTTTTATTGTTTGATGATATATTTCTAAAATTGCATAATATTACTGATTTTAGATATTAAAAATATCCCAAAAAATTCATTCAAATGTTGAAGGGAAGCTTAATAAAAAACAGAGGGAATTTTATTTAAAGCAACAGGTGAGTTAAACATTCTCTACATTCTCTTAATTATAGTTTTCTTATTATTTTGTTTGGTTGCTTCTTTAGCTCAATGCTATAAAAGAAGAATTGGGAGAACAATATGATTCACCTACAGATGATGATGATGTGACAGACTTGACAAAGCGATTACAAGAAGCTGGATTGACGCCAGAAGGTAATATTTCGCAAATATCAAAATTTAGGAGTATATTTGTGCGTTTATAACTTTAAGGAGACTTAATTTAATAATTTATTATACTGTGTTCTCTTTAACAGCTGACCGAGCAGCTCAACGAGAATTAAAACGTCTCAAACGTATGCATCCTACTCAAGCAGAATATCAAGTAGTTCGTACATACCTTGAAACGCTTTCCGAAATTCCTTGGAGTAAATCCACTACTGATATTCTGGATATTGATAAAGCACGTCATCAACTTGAAACTGATCATTATGGTCTTACAACAGTTAAGAAACGTGTATTAGAGTATTTGGCAGTGCTGAAGCTAAAAGATGATATGAAAGGTCCAATATTATGTCTATTAGGTCCACCTGGAGTAGGAAAAACTTCACTCGGAAAAAGCATTGCAAATTCTCTTGGACGAAAATTTCATAGAATTTCATTGGGTGGTGTAAGAGATGAAGCTGAGATTAGAGGACATCGTCGTACATATATAGGAGCGATGCCTGGATTAATTTCCCAAGGTCTTAGACGTGTTGGAGTAAATAATCCTGTATTCTTACTTGGTAAATTATATCATTTTTATGGAATAATTTTATTATTACCTTTTTTACGTTTTCTTTGTTAGTTAATTTAACTGATATCTTGATTTTAGATGAAATTGATAAAGTTGGACATTTAAGTAACCACGGAGATCCATCTGCAGCTTTGCTTGAAGTTCTTGATCCGGAACAAAATAATACTTTTAATGATCATTATATAAACGTTCCTCTTGATTTATCTAAAGTATTATTTATTGCAACTGCAAATCAAATTGACACTATACCTCCGCCTTTGCTTGATCGTATGGAGCTTATCACGATTCCTGGGTACACATTTGATGAAAAAATTCATATTGCTCAACGTCATTTGTTGCCGAAACAAATAGCAGCTCATGGCCTGTCACCTAATGATCTTAAAATATCTAATCATGTGCTTCTCAAGATTACTACTGGTTATACTCGTGAAGCTGGCGTCAGAAACTTTGAGAGAGAGATTGCTAGTGTGTGTAGGGCGAAGGCTGTAGAATATGCAGATGCAAAAGATAAGGGAAGAATACATATATATCATTCTGAAGTTACCGCAGACGATGTTGAATCGATTCTAGGGGTATGAATTCAGGTTCATTAATATTTTTCACAACTCACTTTTTAGAAAATAATTTCTTATTAATAATATGAAAACTTTGTAAACAAAAGGTCGAAAAGTTTGATAACGAGGTAGCTGAGTGTGCTTCAAAACCAGGAGTGGTAACTGGATTGGCATGGACAGCATCTGGTTCTGGTGATATATTATTTATTGAGGCAACTCAAATGCCTGGGAAAGGCATTCTTCAGTTGACTGGTAAATTACTGCATTTTTCATCATTCATAATAATTATCTTGGTCTGTTATATTCATTTAAATTATTGCATTTTTTTTTAAGGAAAACTTGGCAATGTCATAAAAGAGTCTGCTCAAATTGCACTTTCATGGGTGCGAGCGCATTCTTTTCAGTTAGGCATTACCAACTCTTCTACCGAATCAACTTTCTTCTTTCAGAAAGATGTTCATGTGCATTTTCCTGCTGGAGCGGTTGGCAAAGATGGACCATCTGCTGGAATTGCTTTAACTACAGCACTTGTGTCTCTGTTTACTCATAAAATAGTCCCTCCCACTACAGCAATGACTGGAGAAATGACATTGCGTGGTATAGTTCTTCCTGTTGGAGGGATTAAAGAAAAGGTTATTGCAGCTCATCGTGCACGTATTCGAAAAGTTATTTTGCCTTCACGAAATCGTAAAGATGTTGAAGGGGATGTACCTGCCAACGTAAAAGAAGAAATTATATTTATTTATGCCAATAATATTTATGATGTTCTTCAAGCTGCATTTGAGGGTGAAAAAATTTGGGTAGAAACTCCTCCTATTGTAGAAGTTGAGAGTCACCTTTAAATAAAAATAGATTTTTGCATTTTATATAGAACTCATTGCACTATTCATTATAATATTTGTAATTATTTATTTAATATATATCATTTTAATGTTTTTCTTAAATTTGGAGTTATACATTAGTCTTAATTTTCATCTATTAGTATTTTCTCTTAGTACACCATAAGTAATGTGATTTTATTAGTACTCACATTGCCTCACAAAGAATTTGTGGCCTTTTTATATCTATCCACCAAAAGCTGAATTTTATCATGTTTCTGATTCTGTTTAATAATATATTCAAGGGATAGATAATATAATAAAACTCAATTTTTGTTTGAAAAGTTTCTACCTGAATGTTCCGATCCGCTCGAAATATTTGTGTATTGTGTTGTTGTCGTGCATAACTAAAAGAAATACAAGTCATTATTATGTCCATTGCACTTTGAAACATTAAATTGTGAAAAATCGCGTTCAGAGTTGAAAAAGCTAAAAAACGCGTCACAGTTGATATACGAATGAAAATCACTACTCTTTCTGACATGTTCGGTTTCTACCAATAATACAACTCTGTGTGCGTTTAGATTGTCACGTGTTAAATTGCTAATGCATAAAAAATGTTCTGACGAGTTAGACATGTTCGAAGGTCAATTCAAATGGATATGAATCAAATTGTATATGAAACACTCACGCATGCTCTTTCATCAGATCCTAATGCGCGAATATCAGCTGAACTAAGGCTGAAAGAACTTGAAAATATGCCCGGTTAGTTGCTTGGACACGTGTTGCTACGCGTTGAATAGACTTTTTTGGTGAAATAATCTAATTACTTATTCATAGAATATCCTATTAGTCTTGCCAAAATGTTTAACTCACCAGAAGTAGAAATTTCTCTTCGTCAGATATCCTTTAATTTATTTTTTGACAATTATCCAAAGGAAAATAAAAAATGATTGTAAATTTTCCTTGACAAAAGAATATTTAATTTTTCGTTGCACCTGGCAGTAATAAATTTGAAAAACTATATAGTATCTCATTGGTCTTCTACGAGTGAAAAGTTTTCAGGGCATGAATTGAATGAAGAGGTTTGCAATTTTTTTTAAAAAATATTTCTGATTGATTGATTGATTGATTGATCCTTATTTCATTAAATCAATGCAGGCAAAAGTCACTATACGCAAGATGGCATTCAACGGATTATCAGATCCTTTAAGCAAAATTCGTGTTGCATCGGTATTATCTATTATCTATTATCTATTATCTCTATTATCTCTATTATCTGGTTTATTTTATATCAAATTTTGATTTACGCTCGAAGAAAATCAAAAGCAAATTATTAATATCTATATTTACTTTCTAATAGGCTTCTGTTATTTCGAAGATTGCACACAATGATTGGCCTGAATATTGGCCTAATCTTTTGGACTTGTTATTGTCACTTTCGAAATCGGGTTCGCCAGATCAAGTTCATGGTACAATGCGAGTCCTGTCAGAATTTTTTAAATCTGATATCACAGAACAACAATTTGCCCAAATTGCACCATTATTATTGCCAGAACTTTTGAGAATTTTGCAGTGTGAGGAAGTGAGTAACACGATAAATTTATCATCCATCCAAAGTTCAGATCAAATAAAATAAATTTAATTGATTGATCAATTATTTTGAAGACTTATTCTTATAGAACTCGTGGACGTACTGTTTCAATATTTCGACAATGTATCGAAATATTGTATATGGTTAAAGAAGAGCATTCCGAAGCTACCGAATCATTTCTAATGACACCAGTTATATCGAAATGGTTACAAATGTTTGCAACTATTTTGAAACAACGAACGATTGACAATGAAGAACGCGCATACGAAGAATGTGCCTTAAAATTAGAAGTTGTTAAGGTATTTTTTTTTTTATGGTGACTTGTTAATAAGTTATTTAATAAATATTAATAATTTGTTGTCTTCAATATTAATAATAAATAAAATCGCATTTTTATAAATAAAATTTTATAGTGTCTAAACAATATCATTAAATGGTTTCCAAAAATACTTTCATCATCATTGATTGTACTATTAGAACCCATTTGGTCGGATTTAGTCCATCAGCGCGAAAGATATCCTAATAATAATCTTCCTTTTTTTTTGTTATCGCATTATTTTTAAATTCTATTCTTTAACTCTATTCTTATATTCATTTATTGGTTTTTCTAACACTTTCATAAATAAATTTATTCGTCCATCAGCTGATTCGATTAGTACCTATCAAGATTCAGAAGGAGAAGTATTTGGTTTTGAAAATTTGCTTTTTGCCCAATTTGAATTTGTAGGTCTTTCAGTTCGAAAGAAATCAGCAAAATCACTTTTTATTCAAAATAATGGAGAAGGTTTATTCCTAAAACAAGTAATTTGGATTATCCTTTCATATATGCAAATGACTGAAGAACAGGTTAGCAAAAAAAAAAAAATGATTAAAAAAATAATTAAAAAAAAATAATTAAAAATAATTAAAAATAATCAACGTTAATATATTTGGTTTCTAGGTTGAATTATGGTTGTCTGATGCTAATCAATTCGTCTCTGATGACGATGATGAAACTTTCAACTTTAACGTCAGAGTTGCTTCAGCAGATCTTTTAATTGTAAGCTTATCTTTCTCACGTTTAAATATCTTTTTACTTATTCTTGTTTTGATTTCACTCAAAAACTTTAAATTTTTTTTAAAGATTTTACTTGACCAATTTCCCGAACAAACATTACAAGTTCTCGCAGATACAACATTACATTTAATAGATGAATCTAATAAAGCTCGAGCTGCAGGAGATCCAATTTGGTAAATAAAGTCTATAAATATGTAACTTTCTTGATTTTTTTTTTATCTTATTTTGAAATTTGTATATAATCTTTGTAGCCTTTATGATGTATTTTATAAACATATATAAATATATATAGGTGGAAAATTCACGAAGCTTGTTTAAAAGCTATTGGATTTGTTTCTCATGAGCTTATAACTGTATTACAAGATACTTCATCTAAAGTTAAATTTGATCTTCCAGGGTTATTCGAGCACGTAGTTTATAATCATTTGTCTGAGACAAGTAAATATAATTTAATTCTCTTAAATTGAAATAAAGTCAAATCAATTTAATTTATCCTTTCCTTTTTGTAGATATTCCTTTTCTTAAAGGTCGTGCTTTAGTAGCTGCCAGTCAATTTGTAACTCAATTACCCCAAGAACTAGCATCACGTTATGTCATCGCAACAGTTGATGCTATTCAACAAAACGGGGCCATACCCGTTAAAGTATCCGCTTTACGTGCTTTACAAAAGTAATTTTTATTATTATTGAACTAATATTTTAATTCTTTTAATTCTTTTAATTCCTTTAATTCTATTCATATTTCTTTGAGACATAATATAATATATATCATTTCAGTATCTATAAATATCTAGATAATCAATACGTGACGCCATTTCAGTCCAACGTTATTGAAGGCATAGCGAATCTTATAAGTGTTGCAACTGAGGATACTCTAATACTTGTATTAGAAACGCTTCACGAAGTTATTAAAGTACATCAAATAATTAATACCAAAAAAAAAAATTGTCTTTTCTTTCAAAACGTAAATAAAAATTTAATTATTTTAAATTGTTTTAATAATAAAAATTAGATAAACAGAGAAGGAACTGCACGTTATGAAAGTTTGATTGGCCCGTTAATTATTGATGTCTGGATCAAATATCCTACTGGTTTGTTTACATTCAAATTTATTTTATTCGGTTTTCGAATTATTCATTAGTGACATTAAAAACATATTTATTGTTTTCAATCTAGATCCCACAATTGCGCCAATAGTTACAGATCTTTTTGAAACACTAGCAAGCAATCCTGAAGCTCATGGTGCCTTTCAAGCCAGAACTTTACCCCCGTTGGCCAATATTTTAATAGTTAATTCTGATTCTGCTGTGACAGCTGTATGTTATTTATTTTATTTATTTTATTTATTTTTATTTATTTTATTCATTGTATTTATGGTGAAATTAACTTGTTACAAAATATTTAAATTAAAAATAAATACTTTTTATTCTATCCTATTTTATATATATATATATATATATTATGCATTTATTAGTCAGCTATAGATTTGATTTCAAGTCTTGTCAAGGGAGGGCCCTCTCCTCTACCGAAAGAATACGTCGAACATGTTTTCCCTTCACTAATGCATTTAATGTTAACAACGGAAGATAGGGAGATTTTACAGGTTTTACCATAATGTATTAAAATTGATAATGGATGTTAATTTCTTCTTGACATAATATTTATTTATTTATTTCGTTTTTTGTTTAATATAGAATGGAGATATTTGTTTGAAATACTTTGTTCAAAAAGATTGTGAGCGAATTGCACAATGGTAAATAAATTATGTTTTTATTCAATTGAATTCAATAAATTCAACTAAATTTTTGCGCTTCAATAAATTTTTTCTTTCGTTTAGGATAAATAATGAAACGGGCAGAACGGGTTTAGATTATGTTATTCAGTATATCGCGAAAGCTCTTCAAAGTGAGAGTGAATCTGCAACTTTTCTTGGAGATTTAGTCGTTAAACTTATTAAAAAAGTATGTAACTATTTTAGAAATATTTCATCACTAAGAAAACTATAAGAAAAAAGAACCTAAATTTATTTATATATATATATATATATAACTTTAAATAGGCGGGAGATAAGATAGTTTCCGTAATACCGGAATTACTTAAAACAGTTGCTACTAAACTAGAAGGAGCTCGAACTGCTACATATATACAGGTGATTATATTAATCAAATTAAAATAATAAATTTTTAGTTATTTAACTAAATTCTTTCAAAAAACTCTTTAGTCGTTAGTTTTAATATTCGCGCATTTAATTCTTAATCAACAATCAACGGTTATTGATTTCTTGGCTAACTTGGATATTAATGGTCGAAATGGACTTGAAGTTTTGCTTAGTACGTGGTTTGAAAATCACGAGAGCTTTCATGGATATTATAGTATAAGAGTAAGGTATGATTCATTTCATTTTGTTTACATTTCTTATTGTCCTGTTTATTATCTAAATATAATCTAAATGTAATCTAAATTTTCTCTAATTATATTCTTAATATAATTAAAGCGCTATAGCATTGTCTAAGCTTTTCCTTGCATGTGATTCACGAATACAAAATATTCAAGTCAAGGGAGACTTAATTGTACCGAAATCTTCAAGTATTGGATTTTTATTTATTTTTAAATAATTTGTGATGTGGACATATCGGTAGAGTTGTTTACATTTATGAATTATCAATTAAAATTACCATTATTATTCAGGGATAATGACGCGTTCAAGATCACGTCAAAGTATTAAGATTGATATTTCTATAATTTTTTAAGAAATATTTCGAACATTATTCAATATAAATTTGTTTTTTTTTTAATCCATTTTCTTGATTAAATTCTTTAATTATAACAATTTTTTTTTAGATCCTGATCAATACACACATGTTTCTGCAAATGGAAAGATCATCAGATTACTTTTATCGGATCTTCAGAATTCATCAGATGGTGAAAATTTTAAACGTTCAGAATTTGATGAATTTTTTGAAGAGGAAGAAGCTATCGAAACAGATGATGAAGTAATACAATTTTTTTTTATTTTATAAATCATTTTGATTATTTGAATATTTCAAAATATTTTAAATATTTAATATTTTATTTTTTATTGTGATTTAAAAATATAAATAATAGGATGATGAATGGGAAGATGTTGAAGAGCCATCACCTTTCGGACCTTCAGAAGATTATATTGTTCTTTCCGGTAAATCTTTTTTAAATCTTTTAAAAATTTTATTTTAATACAAAATTAAATATTTAAAATTTATTTAATATATTTGTGTTACAGAATATGCCAAAAATCATGATCTAGAAACCCTAGAAGATGATCCCGATTTAAAGGATGATTCAGTTTATAATACTAATTTCAAAGTAAGTAAAAAGATTTAATTATAATAACATAATCCTAAATTAAATTTTTAATTTAATCAATTTCATAAATTTCGATCATAGGAATATCTTATAGAATTTTTCCGACATTGTGCTTCCCAGAATATTAATAATTTTATTGAAATTTGTTCGACCCTTAGTCAAGAACAACAACAGAAATTGCATTATATAATTCATGGTAGTTAGTTTTATAATGAATAATTATATTATATTAATTATATTACATTATATTATATTATTACAATTACTATTATTACTACTACTATTATTACTACTGAACTATTACATTTCTAGTATTTTAGAAAATAAATAAAATAAAATAAAATTAATATTAATATTATAGATTAATATCTTCATTTCCTTCATTTAATCTGTTATCTGTCATACGTTGATCAACGCTAAGAGAAGTATATGGATGCACGTGTTTGCCACGAAATATAATTCGTTCTCCAAATATATAAAATATCAAAGTAAACAATGAAAGTAATGAAATGCACTGATACATTACGAAAGGATCATAATTAGAATAAATGAAGCCACCTGTAATTGAACCGATTCCAGTTGCTAAACCACCAAATACACCAGAATAAATACCAATTGATGTAGCTTGATATATTTTTGGGGAAATGCTACGAGTAATTTTAAGTCCAGCTGGCCATATCAATGCATAAAGAACACCTTGTAACTGTCAAATGATAACAATATTTTAGTATAAAGACATTATAAACGCATTTTCTTTTCCTACCTTTCCCACCTTTCCCACTTTTTTTTAGTCACTTACCAGTTCAATTGGTAATGCCATCCATGGATTCAATATTTTTCCGAGAAATCCATATAAACCAACCCTGATCAATAAGGCAACCTGACCCAAAATTATCATATTCCTTGGACCAATGGATTCCATAATATTTTTGGAAAAATAAAAAAATACAACTTCTAAAGAAACACTCATAATTTGACTTAATCCTAATAAAGTTCCACTAGCATTAAAAAATTCTGATTTGAATTTGATTTGAATTTGAAATTAATTGATAAGATTAAATTATTATTTAAAGATTAAATTATTATTTAAACATTAAAAAGAAATTCAAAAAACAAAAGACAAAGTTCAAACCTGATAGAAATAATAAAAGGTAAGCCGCTGCTACCGCTTTGACTATAGCAATTAATAAAATTATAAATAGAAAATATAGAAATTGAGGATTTCCAACTAACAGAGTTAAGATTATCCTAAAATTCGAAGGTTGATGATCTATTAACAATCTGTTGTCATCTATTTCTAACTCTTGAACATCATTAAAATTTTCTAAACTTTCTAAATTTTCTTCATTATTAATATTTAATTCTTCAAGTGATACAGTATTATCAAAATTTGTATTAAAATCACTCGGATTGATACGATAAATAAATAATAAAGATCCCATCATAAAGAATATATAACCAACAAATATAATAAAAATGGAAATATAATCCGTTAAAATCCCCATAATAGAAGAAATAATTCCACATGAAATTGTACCCCATAATCGCTAAATAATAATAAAAAAATTTTTTTTTTTGCTTTAGGATTATTAGTTAAATGAATAATAAAATAACCAATAATATTTCCGATATAAATTACCGAGAAAAAAGATTTAAATAAAGGCGCGCACCTGTTTACCGTATTCATATTCTGATTTTATTCCTGACATTTTAAGTGTACCTGAATGTCAAAATAATTAATTAACTTTTTAGAATTCATTAAATTTCATTTAAATTCCAATAACTACACTAATTAAACTTTTATACCTAAAGTAAAATTATCCACTAGGGGTATTATACTACCATTAAATAAAGATAGAACAACGAATACTAAAACCACGAACTCAAATTTAAGTATACTTCCAAAAATTGGTATAATCATCATGGACATCATTGCGTTCATTAAACAAAATAAAAGTGTTTTGCGATGAGCGTTATTTTTGTCAGCATATGCCTAAATATATATAAAATAAAGTAATTGAGAATACTGGTACTAAAAATAAAAATGTGATAAAAAATTTTCATATTAATATCTCTACCAACAGTCCAAAATGTCGCACTAAGGGATTCAGCAAAAGGGACCACGGAAAACAGAATACCAATTTCTTCTGTAGGAATTAACAACACTCTTGACAAGAATATTGTCATATAAGGTGCAGCGGAGCAAGCTGCCGCAAATAACAACGCGTATAAGAATTTAAGTCTCAAAGTAGATTTTATTGTTATCATGTTCGAGAGAAAAATTTGAAAATTAAAGATTAAAATTTCTGCAGTTTTTTTGCAATTTTTTAATTGGATAAAAATTTCCACTTATGAATTAATGTTATTAATTTTAAATAGGTTAAAGTTTTTTTACTTTATTTTCTCGCGAATCGAAAAACTTAATGAATTTACTATGAATTATATAAAATGGGAATTTATAATACTTTTTTATTGTGGTAACAAGATTTGATATAAAAAAAAAAAAAAAAAAAGTCCCAATTTGCCCTCTAAAATTTACAAATATCGGGTACGACTAAGGAAAAACGGAAAACGAATAATTCATACAATAAAAATCTGCTTAAACTAAACAGACAACCATTCAAGTAAAACTCCTGATTCAAAAATTTAACTTAAAGCATTCCAAAGAAAATAATAATAATAATAATAATAATTTAAAAATCTAGTCATTCATTTCGTTGTTTTTTCTTCGCCGGTCCTTGTAAATCTTCAAGTTCCGCTCTAAGTCGACTGTTTTCGTTCTTGAGCATATCCACCTGCGTTTGTAAGTCCTGAATGGCTTGATCAGTCAACAGTTTCTCCAACGTCCATTTTTCGATATTAGCAGCTTCGTTTTCCTTAAGTTGTTGAATATATTGAACTGCTCGATTAAGAATGCTACCTTTATTTTTTTCACATCCAGGCACAATTTTTGCCAATTCGTTAATTCCGGCGTTGATTGTGTCACGACGACGACGTTCAACCTCTTTGTGATTTTCGCGACGTTGTCGATGCCACTCTTCGCTACCTACAGGTGGTTTCCCACCTGGTGTTGTTTGGGGTGTTGTTGTAGCAGACAATGTATGAGACCTCAAAGGAGTATGTTGTTGAGACTGTGGAGACTGTTGCATGACATGTTGGGGAGTAAGTGGCGCTGGTTGGATTGGTAAAGGAGCAGGATGAATCGTAACTGGATCCGATTTTTGTTGAGAAACAGTAGGAAGTTGCACTGGAATAATATTAGGCTGAACGCTGATAAATAAAAATAAAATTTTAAAATAAAATATAAAGTATAAAATAAAAAATATAGATAGAATATTAAAATATACTATAATTTTTTGAAAAAACATCATTTTTTTAAAATAATGTTTACAAATTTACCTTTGTTGGATCGAAGGAACAGCTACGGGTTTTGACTGTGTCTGTAAGGTAGGTTGAGCAATAATATTAGTGGAGGAGGAAGTTGTAAAGTTGGATGCAGTTACTGGAGTAATGGTAGTTTGTGAAGTTTGTGTTAGATTTGTGGAATTAACTTGTACTTCATCAGTTTTTGAATTCATATTTGACTGGTTTGAAGGATTCTCTTTATAGGTACTCTAAATTATCAAAAAAAAAAAATTTTTGAAATGATATTAATAATATTTATTCAAACTGACGAATATAATAATAACAAATCTCAAAAGTTAACTCAGAGCATTCAAACGAGTTTGATATATATAGAATTCAATTTTATTAAAGCGCGCCCCATTAAAATTCAGGTAACAACTGAATGGCATACCATTGGCAAAATTGATTCTTCAGTAGACATTTTAAAAGTTTTTTATGTTGAACTGTTTTTTGATAAAAGTTAAGATAAAAAAGAAAAACCAACAACGCGAGTAGACAGTGCACTTTGAAATACTGTACGTCTCACGGCCTCAAGGTTTAAAGTCAGGTGAACTGTAAAAAAAACGGTCACGGTTTTTTTTTTATTGATGTTCCTTCTTGAGTGCTGCTGAGAAAAGGGGGGAAGGGCAAGGATATGACTGGAAAGCTGATGATAACCTGTGACAGTCTTGTGATCATCTTGTGACATATAGATGACGTAAATTTCCTGAAAATGGAGACATGCATGATTTAAGTACATTGTCATACATTTCAGAGCGACTCAGCAGTTGATTTTCAGGTGATATTGTCCAAGATAACTCCGACTACGTGACACAAACGAATAAGTTATATTGTAATCCTTGATCAACTTAACCTACGAAAATTATAATTTCCAATTTTAGATGAAAAAGTCAGCAAGTCAGGAGAAAATCAAACATTGTGTTGCATCAATATTATCTATTAAATCAGATGCCCATTTTTAAAATGACTTGGATTTATTTTTGGATTTATTTTTGGATTTATTTTATTTATTTTAAATTTTTATGAATTTTATGATTTTATGGATTTTATGTGGGAATTTTAGATTATTTTGATACGTAATTATTTATAAATAAATAAAAAAGCGCACCACAAAATTACTGGCTAAAATTTCATCGTTTTACAAAGTCTATAATTAATTTATCTTACATAATTGTTGCGCCACGTTGTGATTATTTGGGCTGACTTGAAAGTAAACTTTTTATCCAATCATGATTGTTGTTTTGATCAAGATCCCGATTGTTGATTTGCTCACTTTGAGATTTTATAAAAATAAAATAAATAATTTTATTATGTCAACTACTTTTCATTCTCTAAGTAAAAAAGGGCTCAGCAAAAATTATACATACATTCATTACTATTTATAGTATTTTGGTATGTAAATAAAAGCTTGACTTTCGTTTAAATGTTTGAACTATATACCTCTCATCAAAAAACCTGTTAAATCCATTTCGAATCTATTACAACTTGTTTACTAACAATATATGTGTAACAGATTGTTAATAAAGTACATATTTTTTCACATTGTATCACAAAAAATTTTTGAATCTGTTTTAGAATTTCTTTTTACCTACAATTCAAATAGAAGATAACAATAAAAATAATTTTGTTAAATTCTTTGGCAAATAAAGAACGAGATGATGTCATTTGACAAAAATGATGTTGAGATGATAACAAGATATGCAACAAACAAATGAAGAATTGAATATTGTTGATGGCAAAAAGATTGTGAATTAATTTTTTTTTATTAGACACTGCGATCATGCAAGCTTAGTTTATTTAGACCTATAATGCTAACTAGCTACTTACCCATTTAGTGCCTTTATGGGTTCGGAGTCTAAGTACAGGGTTTATTCATACTCTAGATTATGTGAATTAATAGGTCACTGGCAGATATTGTTAATCAAGTGATTTAGATTATGTGTATGTATGTGCCTCATTTCAACTTTGATCAAAAATTCCAAATTACATAAAAGTACAGAGCAAAGTCATATTCAATTTTGAAATGATTTGGTTTCATAATTATTACTATTTTACAAGAGAAAAAAGTTGTAAGCAACATTCTTCTAATATTTTGAACCGAGTAATGGGAAATCTTAACCTAAACACCTGAGTCTAAGCTCTTATCCTAACCCTCATGTGACATTATGTTAAATATATGGGTAGAATATTCATCACCATGTATCAACACCATATCTGTCACTCACCTGCAAAAGTTTCATTTTTGATAGACTTATAGTTAATTTTTATTTGATATATCAAGATACGCGTGAAAAAAGTGGTTATTTTTTTGATATGCTTTTAATTATTTATTTATAGATACATCAAAAGATAACTATTTTGTCACATGAAAATTTGGTATATCAAAAAAATAACCATAGATCTATCAAAAAAGAAGTCTTTGCCACTCATCTACATAAAATTTCACGTGAACCTTTTTTAATCACCTGTCCCATTATAAACCAATCAAATTCGAAAAACCATGGGTGTCTAGAATAAAGGATGCTCAGTAATATTAACATCATGTATTGGACAAATCAATTGTAAAGCATTGAAAAAATGTGATAACATATCCATACAAAGAAAATAAAGTCCTCAATTTATATATGTGAAATGTTTTGTAAATGTAAATAATTCCTCAGAACAACTTAAAATAGTTGGTCAATGGTTAATTACAATAGGAAAGTCTAATGAAAATAAGTTTCAAAATTTAACTTTATTTGCACCTTCAATATTTCAAATATTTCAAATATCAATATTAATACTTCCATCATCTCTTAATAAAAATATATCTGCATTTTAGAGAATTTTTTATTTATTAATTGTTATATATATGAAAAAAAGAATGAAAATGCCAAATAAAAACAAAGTCAAAGAAATAATCTAGTAATCTAGCACAGGAAACAAAAATTATTTCTTTATTCCTAAAAATTACATCTCATAATGAACATATTTTTAACAAAATCCAAATATTTGGAATTTTGTAATAATTGAGGATACAAATTTCAAACAAAAAGACTTTCAATTATGGTAGTATTTTTTATGCAACTTGAGAAACTTCCCATACAACAAATTAGAATGGTTTTCAATTTGAATTACATGATCCAATTAATGATAAAAAGAATTAATTTCAGATCAAGTTTTCGGACACGAGCTTTTATTATTCTGATTATTCTGATTCAACAACTATATACAATAAAATTTTGGTAATCCCTCTCATGTAGTAATGAAGATATTGTGACCAAACAAACCTGTGTCAATTCCTGATCAATTCTATTTTAAATATTATTATTAAAAGTTTTTATAGATTACACCTCATGCATGCATGATCTAAACTTCACATGATCTAGATTTTTACTAACTAAAAATAAATTCAATAAATTAATTTCACATGCGCGTTAGTTAGAAATTTTTATTGCATTTCGAGATCTTAAAATCCGTACAATGACACCACAAACATCTCCGGATAATGAAATTTCACAAACTGATTCCGTTGAATTAATTGAACCGGATTCAAATCGCGAAAATGACCAATTTATAAACCCTATAAACGAAGAACAAGAAGCCGTTCGTTCGTCCTCTTCCTCTACGATTTCCTCATTAATAGCAGGAATTAAATCTGTTGCTTACGACGTGTCTTCTTATTGGGCAAAGGTACTACACGTGTTTAAATACTTTAATTATCGAGTTAATTCTATTCATTATATGATAAATAAAATTTACACCCGTTTATTATCAGAGATTATATGATGCTATTTTGTCCCCTCAAGATCCTCAAGCTTATTACAAGCACCTATTAGAAGTTGCAAGCAACTATGAACAATGGTCAGACGCAGCAAATATCTTGGATCAATTACAGGGTAATAAAAATAATAAACATAATAAAATTGAATAAAATAATAATAATAATAATAATAAAATAATAATAATAATAATAAATAATAATAAAAGCAATGCAGTTTACATACAAAGATTACAATTAATCATATGATTTATATTCTAAAAATTTTAGGAAAAGATAAATGGAAAACTGATCCAGTTTCACCCGACTACGATTATGACTTATTGGTAAAACGGTTAAAACAATTAAAAGAAGCTCGCAGGTCGGGCGATCTTTCGCAAATGATCTTTTTATTAAGAACATCATTAGCCAGAAATTTAGCTGATATGGGACAACCGAAGGTAAAATCAAAGTTTTTTGACTCAAATTTATTATTATTCAAAACATAAAATAACGCGTAAAATAATTCAATAACTTCATTTAATATAGTTATATGCTCATACGAATATTGGTACCAAAAAATTGATAGAAGATTATATTAATGAAGTAGTAAAACAAATGAATATAATCTGTGATACAGAATCCGAAGAAATTTCCGCTAAATATAAACTTGATTTTTTCATCAATACAAGACAATCTTTTGGAAGAACAGCCCTTTTATTGAGTGGAGGAGCAACTTTTGGTGAGAATTAATGAATTTAATTCTTAGGTTTTAAATAATCAACATAATTAAAATAATTAATATAATTCATTTCTAACGGACAATTTTTATAGGACTTACTCATATTGGAGTCATTAAATGTCTTCACGAATGTAAACTTTTACCTCGTGTAATTTCTGGAGCTTCAAGTGGATCTATTATTGCTGCTCTTTTATGCACAAAAACGGACGATGAAATTCCTGCAACATTGAAAGCTATTGATTCAGGAGGATTCGATTTGGAAGTTTTTCAAAGAGAATCAGATCCAGAATCTTGGAATAGGAGATTAAACAGATTTTTAAGACAAGGTGTTTTTTTTGATGTTAAAATTTTGAGAGATTGTATGCAACGAAATATTCCTGATATGACCTTTCTGGTAAGTTTTTGGGGGATAGTTAGGTAGTTTCCTTTAAATTAAGATTAAAATAAAATTTTAAATATTTAACTCTCGAAATTTCATTCAATTAAAAGGAAGCTTTCAGACGCACACGAAGAATTTTAAATATCACTGTTACTTCTTCTACTAAATTTGAAATGCAATGCCTTCTTAATTATTTAACAGCACCAAATGTGGTAAGAAATGACATTTTTAATTTATCAAAAATTCATTTATATATTGTATTTTATTAATATTTTTTTGTGGTTTCAAGCTAATTTGGTCCGCCGTGTAAGTACATTTTCTACATTATTATTATTATAGAATTTATGGAGTATTTATCGTTAATGAAATTTTCAATTTTCAGTGCAGCGTCTTGTTCAGTTCCATTCATCTATAGTTCCTCACCTTTATTAGAAAAGGATAAAAATGGAAAGATTGTTTCATGGAATCCTTCAGGTATTCTTTTAGAAAAAATATTTCAAAATTTCAAATTAATTAATTAATAAATATTTTCAAAATTTCAAAAAATTAATTAATTAATAAATAAATATTTTTTTAAAAAAATCAGGATACCGTTGTATTGATGGTTCCGTAGAAAAGTAAGTAAATTTATTTACAAGATCTTTTTTACTTATTTATTAAGGAAATTTATTAAATTATTAACTTGTATTGTGAAATTTGTGAAATTTAGTGATCTTCCTATGAACAAAATTTCTGAACTATTTAATGTAAATCATTTCATCGTTTGTCAAGGTAAATTCAATAATAATTCCGAATATAAATATATAAACATACCAATTTAATTTATATATACATATCTCTTTTATTTATTTACAGTGAATCCGCATGTTGTGCCCTTTTTGGAAACAAAATTAATTCCTTCGCCAATTAGTAGAGTAATTGGCTGGTTTTTATTTTTAGCATTTTCTGAATTACAACATAGGTTAAACCAAGTTTGTAAAAAAATCCTTTATAATTTTGAATTTATATTCGATATATTCGATAATATTAATAAAATTTTAATTTTAGTTAAGAGAATTTGGAATTATGTCGGGTTTAATCCATCGTCTTCAAGCTATTATGTCGCAAAGATATTATGGAGATATTACTATTGTCCCACATATTTCTTATGCAGATTTCCTAAAAATTCTCTCTAATCCAACTCCTGAATCACTTCGAGCGGCAATTCTAAGAGGCGAAAGAGCAACATGGCCTAGCATCCTTTTTATTAATCTCCATTTTAATTTCTATTTTATTTTATATTTCTTCGTTCAAAGTTTTAAAATTATTATTATTATTATTATTATTATCCTTAACTTTTCAAAGAAATTTCTATTATTAGAAATCATTGTCAGATCGAACTGATTCTAGATGAAATTATCTATAGACTTCGTTTTCGTATACTTGAAGACGTATTTGCGCCCATGAATTCTGACGAACAAAACGAATCTGATCTCGGAAATTCGAAATTGGACAGTAGTCATGAAAAAAGAATTAAAGATATACATCACAAGGTGCAACCTTTCTCAGCGATAAATGGATTATCTGATTCTCGAGTTGATTGAATGTAAATATCGTTTGGTTTTATTTTAACGAAATTATTTACCATAACATTTTTAAATTTTGAATAATTACATCTATATAAAAATATATATTTATATTTTTAGGGTTTCTTCAATTTAAAAGATATGAATCGAATGCGTAATTTAATGCTAGACTTTAGTTATGTATGAACATTTATTTGTAACATAATAATAATGTAAAATAATTTTAATCAGAACAAAGTTTAGATGAAATTCCAATAATGATTCGTCAGTGAAATATATTGATTATGCGCTTTTGAATCTCAAATGGGTTTCATAAAAGCGAATTATCTAAAAAAATTTTGGTCAATAATCTTGGTTAATATATTGTTTAAATATATTAAAAAGATAAAAATAATAAAAAAATTTGAATCTCGAGATAACCTTCTGTGGACATTTAATGTTAGCTTCCGCTGATGGATGTACTGTTCTATGGCCACTTTTCCTTTTTTTTTAAAAAAAAAAAAAAAATTCTTTTATGTAGCAGAGAAAACTTAAAAAAAAAACATATATTATTGTTAATGATAAAAATACCAGTTTAAATAAATCAAAAGTCCGTGTTCCTTAGTATTTTTCTCTACGGTTTCAACCTCTTCAACTTCATCTTCCCAACTCGTTAAGGAAGGAGGTGGATATTCTTCAGAAATATCATCATCAATTTTATCAACTGATTCAGGTTTACGTTTTCTCAAGGTTTGCAATTTAGGTGCGGTTTTTTTTGAATTATTTGTTTTTTTTGAATTATTGTTTTGGCTCGGAAATTCTTCGTCAGAAAGTTCATCTTCCTCTTGATCCGATACTTCTACTTCTCGTTCTCGTTTACGTTTTCCCGAGTCGGACGTGTTGGTTTTCTTTGAACTGGGAGTAGCTTTTTGTGTTTTATTCTGTTTTTTATTTTTGGATTGTCTGTCTGTACCTTTTTTTTGATTAGGTTTTCCCCCACATGATTCCCAATATTGTTCAACAAGTTCTGTAGCATATCTATATAATAATAATTTTCGAGGTGTATAAATTAAATTATATACGAATAATATTAAATAAGCAATAACACTTTAATACAAACACGTTTCTTTCTTCCTCCCATGTATTTTCCTCATCAGAGTAATCTTTCCATTTCAATAAATATTGATATGTATTATCCTAAATAGATTTATAGGGTAAAATAAAATATATAGCCTATTTACTTAAAAAGGTTCATTCATACGGTTATTTATGAGAATTATACTTACTTTTTTGAGCCTATGATTTAAAACTTTTTCGACGATAAATTCTGATTCTTCTGACTCGGAATCAGGGTTTTCATCACTTTCCGCTTGTTTAGGATCGATATCCATACTTTTGCTAACTTCTGTTACCATTTTTTCACGTTATTTTTTACGCGAAATAAGCAAAATAAAAAGATATTTAAAGATTCTATGAATATTAAAGTTTAAAATGTGTTGTCTCTAAGATATTTTTTTGAATAAAACAATAAAAAAAGACACGAAATTAAAGAAAACCTAATGAAACGCGTATGTGAAATGTTTAATATGTCACGAGGATAAGTGGGTCGATTTTCAAATATTTCGATCAAAAAATTATTTCAAGATTGAATTAGTTTTGTGGCTCGACTACAAGTTTATCAATCAAGCGATATGGCTGGCCCAAATTTTCTTATCCTGGTCGTACTTAAAAAAAAATATTTGAGAAGTCACAACCCCAGCAACGAGTCGTATGTTGAATCAAGTTTGTGGTAGTACGCTGTACTAACCAAAATATTAGTACAAACTATTCGAGTTTTGCGTGATAATCTAATAAATCTACTCCAGGCTAAATATCAATAACCGAACACTTGCATTAAAGGATGGAATCATGTGACACAATTTAATAATTATTCCGTTATCTCTTACTTCATATTTATACTCCAAAAGCGCATTTATTACATAACCAAAAATTTTTATAGAATTACGAGCTATTAAGCATTTTAATCTCAGGAATCCGAAATTTTTTTTTTTAAATTTTTGGTTATAGACTGTGCGCATTGTAAGATGTATTTAGTTGTTTCTATTTTAATATTGAATAATTATTTCATAATGAATACTCTGATATCAATATCTTCATCTTTGCTACAATAACTATTCTGTATAAGATTTTATTCGTGATTGAAATTTTATTAAGCGAAGATCGCCTGTTTACACAAAATCAGTATTATTAATTTGATCCAATATCTCAAAAAAAAAAAAAAATCTTCAAAACTTGATTAAAATGAGTTTAGTAACTATTATTCTAAAATCTATCATTCATGGGGTAAAGACAAAAAGTTAAGTGTTGTATTACTTTTGTGGATCACTGTATATTCTCCCTCACTTAAACTTTAGGAGCCATAGGGTAATGCTCCAGAATTGAATTTTTTTCTTTTGGATGTTTCTGAAATTAGATTTCAAAATATTCTAAAAATCATCATATATTCATGAGTTTTTGGTAGTTTCATAAAGTGTAGCTGATGATATGTCCCCATTTGTTCTCAAGAAGATTGCCATCTAAATAATATATTCAAATAAATTTCTATATTAATTATAATTTAAAACATCATAATTTATATCATATTTTTTTCCATTGTAAATCCCACTGTATAATATATATCCATCAACCCAAAAAGCTTAATAAATAGTACATAACCACCTTTTGTTATTCGTTTAATACTTTGAAATCTATCATAGTTTAGAATCCTCAATTAATTTGTCTATTGTGTTATCCATTAATCAAAATCATTATTAAAATGTGTTGAGTTGCACAGTTTGCACCTATAAATCATTAAATCTTGATCGCGTTCACATATTTCTGTTTGCTTATAGTACGTATGGTAGAAGTTTTTTTTTTTAAAAAAAAAAATCAATAAATAAATTTTTTATTTTTTGAATGAGTAGATTAAAATATCAATGAATCGCTTACTTTGCGCGTGTGTTCCATTAATAGAAGCGATAGAAGTTATTTCGCGAGAATTTTCTCATTGATTTTTTAGAAATTAAATATTCAAGATTTAAAAGATATCTAAATGCTTTCACAATATTTTCTCTTTAGAATGATTACATTTATATTTAGAATAATTAGAATAGAATATATAATTGAAATATAAAAAAAAATGGTTACACGTGTATTGAATTTAATTCTATTTCTAAAAAAATATTAAACGTATCTGATATGGTTAATGAAATTTCTGTAAAAAAAACAATTGTATTGTTTGCTTTGATAAATAAATTAATTACAATAATATAATTTATATTAATTTTTAGTAACGTATTTAATTACAGAATATTTTATTAAATAATTCAACATCGATTTTATATTGAATCGATAATTACTTTTTCAAGTTTTACAACTCAATACTTTAGTCCTTCATATATAAATCACAACGACAACGATATGATTACGCAAAAAAAAATAATTTAATTATTTTATTTTATGATATTATGTTTAAATGAGAAAATCGTTATGAAGATTTTATTATTTCATGGAAAAAACAAATTTATAACAACATAAGTATATAATCTTGATTTTTCTTATTCTGAAAATATAAATAAAATAAAAGCCTTTTTTTTCGTGAGAATGTTTAATAAGCATTGTTTTCTATATTTTAATTTTATAATTCTGTAATGAAAACTAAATCAAGAAGATAATGAGAAAAACAATATTTATTACCAAAATTATATTTGAAGGAATAAATTCAATTCTGTAAATACATTATTGTAAGTTTTAAATCATTTTGTACGCAATACAATCAATACTTCGAAAGTAACGTAACACGTAACAATAAAATGATTAGCATCATCAAAAATATACGCATTTAAACGGAGAATTTCCTTTTCATTTTCATTTTTTCTTTTTGATTGTCGTGTCGTACAGAAAATTCATACTAATGTCTTCCAAACCTCAAATCGATATTAATGACTTGTTACTTGTAAAAGCAACTCCTGAACAAGCTATCATGTATGTATTGTAAATTTTTAAATTTTATCCAACAATTTATTCAAATGTACTCACTCTACATTTTTTATTATTATTTCAGCGCCAATCAAACTTCTTATATTGAATGGGGTCATCCAGAATTAACTTTAGAACAATATCTTGAACGAGAAAAAATTCTGGAAAATTTAGAATTCACAAGGGATAACTTTCAAGTTTGGATTTTGATATCAAAAAAAGAACAACAGCAAGAGAGTACTCCAACAATTCTTTCTGCATGTGAAACATTCAAAAGAAAAGCTTTGATTAAAGATATTACTACTATTACTACAGATAAATTAGAAAAATTAAGAGAGGTTGATGATGAAGAAGGAGGAGGAAATGTTAAAGAAATAATTTGTTATGCTATTGCATCAGTATTTACACCACCAAATTTTAGGAATAAAGGCTATGCATCTTCTATGTTAAAATTGTTATCTGATATTTTGGTGAAAGAATTGAAAGCTGAATTTTCATTTCTTTTTAGTAATATTGGACCTCATTTTTATCAAAGATTAGGTTGGAATGTTGATGATCATAAAGAAATTAGATTTAATGTAGATAATAATAACACACATATTTCAGATAGTGCGGATAATGTGAATAATGTGGATAATATGAATAATAATATTATAGTAGAAGAAACCAAAAAAATTACTAATCAGAATGATCTGGAACATATAATTCAACAAGATTGTCAATTTATTTATCAAGAATTTTCTCAATTAGATTTTCCAGCTTTTTTGGTTTTACCAACTAAACCAACTTTCGAATGGCATTTTGAAAGAAGTAAAATTTACGCAAAATTTAGAAATATTAAAATAACTACTTTTGGTGTAGAATTAATTGGAAAATCTATCAATAATAATAATAATAATAATAATAATAATAATAATAATAATAATTATTATAATTATAATAATCATTTATTGGGATTTATCCTTTGGTTCCATGACTTTAAAGAACAAAAATTAACAATACTTAGATTTCGTAGTAATGATCAAAAAATCACAAAGTTATTAATCGAACATGCAAAACGAGAAGCTCTTAGATATAATTTAAAGCAAGTTGTTTTTTGGAATCCTGATATGAAATTATTTCCAAATGATGATGGAGAATTAGTAGAAAGAAAAGATTCTTTACCCAGTTTGGCTTGTCATTATAAAGAACCATCATTTTCTTATTTTTCTCATTTCAAATGGTTATTGTTAGAAAAATATACTTGGTGTTGATTTTTTTTAACATAAAAAAATTTTCTTCTTAAACACAATTCAAATAAAATAAAAATTGAAACCGATGAAATATTTTAACTGTTTCAGTATTCTTTCTTATATTATTTAAATTAAAATATTATATTCTGTTACTGCAATACTATCATATTAATATTATTACTATTATAACACGCGTTCCTTATCTGATAATTAAAAGACAATATTAGATACGTATCTATATTTTTATTAGTATAATTACTAATTAAAATTGGCGTGTAACATATGTCAAACTTTCTTTAGCCATAATTGGTCTTTAAATTACTTCGTATACGTATATCGTATTTTTCCTTTTTTATGTATAATAAAAAGTATTTATACATTTCAAAAATTATATGAGTACCTACTGTATATTCATTTCAAATAGATGAGTTTCTTCATTAATTTCTATTAATTCTGGATATTATCCGCAATGTAGCATGTAATGTCTCTCATATATGTTTTCTTTTGGTATAATGGTAAGACTCCAAATATTCTTGCATTTTTTTAAACTCTCAGATTAAATTATATTACTCATACGATCTTTCATGTCTTTCTGTACATAACATATTGTCGCGGTCTGCGCAGAACAAGTGGAAAGTTAAGCCAATCAGTCAATAAATTTGGGTCAATCACACGATAATTCAATGTACTACTAACACACTTTCTCTTGTGCGCAATATCCTAAAACACAGCAAGACAGGCAATCAGTCGATCTAAACCTGCTTACTAACACTCACAAACAATGCAATTACGTGTAATATCTGAAGGTACGATGAGCAAGTGGAGTAAAAGTATCTTTAACAACTACTTGCACACTACCAAAACTATTGTAGACTTTTTGATGTAACTTGCCAAGAAATAAAAGAAATAGTTTATTAAAGTTTAATATTGGATATAACAAAAGCAATATATTACTGCTTTGGCGTATCTTATCACTTTTGTTATTCCGCTACACTAAATTTATGTTTGAAATTATTACAAAAATATAAAAGAAATAAAAGAGAATAACAATAGCGATATATTACTGCTTTGGCGTATCTTATCGCTTCGCTAGTCCCGCGACTATATTATTTATTATTATTAAAAAAAGTATTACGAATGAAAAGTAAAATAAACTAAATTAAAATGTTCAAAACATTTAAGTAAAGAAAATAAAAACTAAAATCAAAATTGTTCGAAATATCAAGAAAAATATTTTTATTTTTGGTTCTTGTTCTTTTTGGCAAAAAGGAATCTCCCTTTTCCTTCTTCCCTACTACAACTATTTTATAATTTTTCTTCTTGTTTACTGTTATCCTCTGTCATCCATAAAAACATTTTCGTGCCAGAATGAATAAACAGTCATCCTGAATAATAGTTGACACACAAGGATAATTTATCCAAATAGTGACACATATTATCTTCCATTATCTCCTATGACTCCAGCTATTTTTGTGCCACCTCAATAGTCCAAAATAAAAAATTGTGACATTTATATCTATAAGTAACTTGAGAATTGAGCCAATTAAATATCTATAATTACGAAAATTTTCTTAAAATTTTTGGGAACTTCCATTAATCTAAAATAATTCAGAAATGAATAATGATTTATTATTAATTTACATATCTCATGAAATAATATTCTCGATTTGGTATTATTATTATTGTTATTATCTTTATCAGAACTAATAATTTGTTGTAAATATAGGAAAATAAAATAAAATAAATTATCAGTTCCAACTTTATGAGTGAATGATGGATAATCAAAAATGGCTTGAGGTAGTGATGATGATAAATCAAATCCATTTTAAGTAAGTAAAGTTCTAGTTTGAGTATCCGTATATGATATATAAGTTCAAATACATAATGCTTTCTTCTTCAACTTCATATCATCTATGCAAAATCCTTGACCAAAAGGTAATTCTCAAAGCAAAAGTACTGTTATCTCTATTTTATTTTTATATTTATTATTTATATATTTATATATTTTATTATCTTATTTATTCATATCTGTATTATTTTATTATTAATTATTATATATTTT